AGCTCAGATGTTTGCGGCAACACACCAAACACGCCAGAGGCAATCTCCAGGACTGGCAACACTTCTGGGGCTTCATGTCTCCTCCTTGAGAGGCTGATACAAGATGGTATCTCTCTCGAGCTCCAGGACCATCAACTTCGACGTTTGTGCCATGGTTCAAGAAGATGACTGCGGGCCCAGGACACCGCTGTCAACATGAGGCACCGCGAAGCATACTGGCATGAGCATTCCTAGTCCCGGTTCAACAGGCTGTCGACTCTCCTCTCAGGTTATCCAGGATCCCAGAAGTCGTGCGTCGGTACAAGATATCAGGCGCAGACGCTCTGAACACGAGGCGTTGATGTGTATCGACAAGACCAGAGGCATATTCCAGGACCAGGACCGGGATCAAGACTTCAGTAGCACCAGACTGGTATTCATGGCTCCAGACAGACCTAATGGTCAAGTCCAGCGTGGTGAGAAGACATGATGTTGTTGTTGAGTCAAAGACTATCGCAAGCAAAGATCGACACCATGAAGTCCACTGTGAGCGGCCAGTGCGCGGAGAGACGCCCGGTTAAACTTCGGCTCTACCTAGAAGGTGCTGGTATGACCCGGGCTCAAGAAGGGCAGCGGCATTATCTCTTCGACTTCATGGTCTGCATACCTCAGGAACCGTTTGCTTAGTCTTCTGGAGCAGGTCTTTGTATGCCGTATCCTTTTGTGGAGACTAATCACCGACATAACCTAGTTTTGGGCAAAACAAGAAGAAATCTCATCTGGACTCAGAGGACCATGCTAGATCCCAGTCATCCGAGTAAGTCATGTTGGACTGAGCACAGTAACCAGGTTCTTTGCACTATACCTACTGATCCTTACGCAAAGTACAAATACTATAGCCATGATCTATCGGAAAGTACAATAGACGAAAAGACTCGCTGATGTGACTGTACAAGACAAACACTCAAGATCGATCCGCCGTATCCACCGTATATGTCCCTCAGCACCGTATCTAAATCGTACTCATGGACGCTACAGTAAAGAACAGGATAGATCAACGATTATGACATATAACGAAACACACCGGATCAACACAACACAAAGACCGAGAACTTCAACAGCCAGCTTCACCGTCAAGGCCGGCAAGAATTTCGGGATCTTGTTGCATGCCTCCGAAAGATGGCCAAGGCATTGCCTACCTCGATAAGTGGTACATCGGTTCACGCGGCATTCACGTAGAAGCAATGTCGCTACCAAGAACAAAGACGACGAGCTGTTGAAGCAGCAGATTTCAGGCACGGTATCCCATCCAGTCTCACACATTTCCGCAAGTTTGTGAGTGTTCAGGTCGGACTCAAACCGACAAGAAAACTCAGGAAAGACTGGTTGGATTTACCCACATGGCCCATCTCTAGGCCATCGCCCGCTGAATACCACATACAGTAGCAGCAACGATGGCGTCAATGACCAAGAAGGTTCACCTCGATACGCTCGTATAAACCACCGTCTGTCTCGAACAGATCATGAAGCTCTACCAACATCTATACGACTGCATGGAGAACCCGGGAATCATGGTTAGCTATGGTATCGATGCGAGACCGCCCTCTTTGTTTGCCTCCTTTCATCGCTCGTCCCGCTGGAAACCATCACCCTCACCAATACAGAAGTGGAGCACGAGGACATCGACAACTTGTGCTTGCGAGAGCCGACTCAGAGAGGTAGAATATGTGTTCGGCGATCGCTTGTACGAGCCTCCGTCACGACGAGGAGGGAACAGGCTGATAGTCCCGGCGCCATCTCTGGAGCGCTTACGCTTCTGCTCATTGTTGGGGGGAGGGAAAGGAGCCTCGGTACCGATGACCTCCAATTTGGGCATGCCTGCGATGGTGGGCAATTCCATGGAGTCGATGCTGCCAACGCTCCATTATCTCGACATGACAAACACAGAACGGTATTGCAGGATACGAAGAAGCAGATTTCTTGCACGACAGAAATGTGTCAAAGACAGCGAACAGCTGATCTGAGACACCCTCAAGCCGGGCATCATCGCGTATCTGGACATGTGGCAGACGTTTTGCACATGTGATTTGGAACGAGATTCTGTATACAAGTACTATCCAGGTCTAACCTCTTCTACGAGTGCTGGGACTCTTGCCCTTGGTCTCAGCACTGGTGGTCATAGCAATGGCCTCCTTTCTTCCCGACTCATTCAACTTGTGCGAGGGAGCGCTGACTTTGCTGGGCGTGCTGTTCCAGTAGTAGATCATCTGGAGGGCGAGAACGGCGTTGAGGACGAAGCCGGAGATGAAGCCGTAGAGAATGAGCTTGTCGTCGACTTCTTGGAGGGTCGTAAAGATGCGCGACAGCGAGCCGAAGAGATAGTTGAAGACCNNTGGGAGCAGCGAAGTCAGTACGAGTCGAAGGGTACGGGCAGAAGATCGATGACTTACAGCGAAAGCGCTCAACTGACCAGTGCCGCCCTGCTGCCAGACAGTGATGATCTGGGGCAGCTTGCTGGCGACACCAAGAGCACCAGCGCCGGCTTGGAGAAGACCCATGGTCTTCATGTCGATGATGCTGGGGTTGAACAGCGAGTAGCCAGCGGCAGCCAGGCCAGCGACAAAGACAGCGGCAGCAGCACCCTTGCCGCTGTACTGCAGAATCAAGGCTGCAATGGCGACGTTCTGGATGGCAATGAAGGCCGTCTCGCCATATGTGCTGAAGGGAAAGCCCATACGAGCATTGTAGGCGAGCGAGATGAGGTATGAGCTGGTCTCGAGAGCGTAGGCCAGGAAGCTCAGTCCGGCGGCTGACTGCGAGTTCAGGAGCTTGAGAAGCTGAGGGATCTTGACGACAGCAGAGGCGCCGATAATGCCAATACCGAGACCCTTGGAGATGGCCAGCTTAAAGCAGGATGCATCGCTGAGTTGGACATCGTGGACGAGAGTCTTGTAGCAGTGGTTCCCGAGCAATGAAATGCCAATGTCGCGAATTGGTCCAGGGAGGTTCTGAGTGATGGGCTGCAGCACCGGGCGGAGAGCGGACTCGAGGTGCTCCATTCTTTCGCTATCTGAGGGTGAATGTCTGGGTTGATGGACAAAGTTGCGAACAAAAAGCTTCCCCTTGTTCGTCTTGATGCCACCTGTCGAGGGGCTTGTTTTTGGCGTCATGTGGGGTTGACTTCCCCTTTCGGTCAACCCTCGACGTCAACGTGGCACCTTCTTCATCACCTCTTCTTGTTACTTGACATGGCTGATTCCCTATCTTTCGAGTTCTCTCTATCAACCGCGCCGCGAATATTCACCTCGCTCAGCAATTTTAGATGCCACAGCCTGTCGTCTCTGGCCTGTCAGCAGGACAGCTGTGCTTTCTCATACGGTTTGTTGTACTATGACTGGTCTCATTTGATCTTTTAGAGAATCGCCATCCAGGAGCTTACTGCTCGTTTTGAATGTCTGGACTAGAAGATCAAAATCGTTTCTTAGCATTCTTACGATTGCAGCATGGAGAGACATGCTTACGGATCAAGTCGACTACCAAGGCCTGGCACATGTTCGTTCATAGGGTCAAAGGCAGATCCTCCAAGCACTACGCCAATTGGAAGAGGAAGCCCTACTATGATCCGCATATTTTGCCTGTCATCGGGATACATCTCAATCCTCATGCTGACCTCGAAGCCTTATGAGACCCATATCTCTGGACATGCCTGGACACATTCGACAGGCTTGGCCCGTTCTCAAGGTTGTCAGCCATGCCTGATCAATCCACATACAGGTCGCCATCGCCATCGCCCTCGCTTTTTGTCAACCAGACAGCGGCAACTTTACTGGCTGGACACTTGCACCATACTTTCACCTCGTCGAGGACGTTGAACTGCCCTGGCAGGTCTGACGGTCGAGATGTACAGCACACAGCTGGCTGTTTATATACCGTCTGAACGACCTCATCAACATGTCAGCAGCCAGTTGTGTCACACAACTTGATCATCAGACCTGCCGGGGTAGCTCAATCGGTAGAGCGTGTGGCTCTTATCATNTCGATATTNCCAAACCTCAAGGTCGCGGGTTCGAGCCCCGCCTTCGGCTATTCCTATACATTCGCTGTCATCTCTTTTTGCCGCTTGGTTGTCGTGCTAGAAAACTCATTTTTGAGGCGTTTGTCGATTGATGAAAATTTGAAGCCTGCCAAGACCTTTTCCGCGGACCGACGCCTGTACATTTTTGCCAAAACCTCATATAACTTTTTCTTCGTGACTTCCCCTTGAACCTTTTACCTGTTCCTTCTGTTGCCGTGTACAAGTTTTGGGTTCTCCTCGACTGAACTTTTCGGTATCATGCTGGCGCTCACGACGTGGCTTGCTCGACACCTGATACGAAACCCTTGATCTGCTTTGCGAGGTGAACGCGAAATGTCACAACATTTCGGAACGACGATGAGATGTGCCCAAGACCGCGTTTCTCATGTACAAACATGATCCAAACGTGTGCGACTTGTTCGATGTGCATTTTCCGTCGAGCGGCTTTGACTCCAGAACCAGAAGATTGCATCTTGTCTTTTCCACAAGAGCCACACGATCTTCTGGTCTTTCTAACCTAGCAGCTTTTCTGTCACATTGCAATCCATCTTGCACATACTGTACGTATATCCTTCCTTGTTACTGTCTTTGTTACACATTGCATACACTCCTTCCTCTTATATGATGATCAATAATTTCACTGATGGCAAACGGAGATTGAATCCCTCCATGCCAGATTGATGTTTTTTATTATTAGCTCTATCTGATATTTCTTTGATGCAACCACTTCTTGTTCATATCGATATGTTGCAAAAACATTGTGCTAATTGATTCGAACAGGTAATCGAGTCTCCAATGGAGGGACGATCGCAATTCAAGTAGATCGTAGATTAGCATCTACAATACATAGGTCTTTCAATTGGTCTATAATTGAATAACAAATTGTTCATCCAAGCAAGCGCCCATGAGATATCTTCACGTAACTACAGATCGCCATGGACGGCGATCATATCCTCGAGTATCTCTCTACTCTAGCGCCACCGAATCCCCATTGCTTCATCCACAACTCCATCCACTCACCACTGACAGGTTGTAGACTTGCCAGAGTCTGACTCATCTCTTGCGCGTTGGCAGTCGAAAACCTCGGGTTCAGAGCGTGTTTGTTTTCTTCAAAGAAGTCAAGCAACTTGATAGCAGGGTTTGCCTCGTCATGCTCTTGTTCCGCAGAAGCTTGCAGATCAGACAGCCACTCTTCGTAAGGCACGACCTGCAGTTCTTTGTCGAGCGATTTCTGTACGTGCGGTAGAACATCTTCCCACTTGGCTTCGTGAGGGTTGAGGAGATGTACGAATCGGGAGGTTGTCTCATCAGAGCCAGCTAGCAAGACTTCCACGACCGTGTTTGCGAGGATATCGACGGGGATCCAATCCATGCGACCCATCGATCCAAGGCTGGCAGGGAGTTTGCCTAAGTACATGGACGTCTTGATGAGGCTTGGAAACCACTCAGCGTCGTTCCATCGGCCTTTNTGATGTTGCACTGGTCCGGTGATTTGTCCGACACGACAGACTGTTGAAGGCACCTGATACTTCTTGCTTGCGTGGTGTAAGAGCAATTCAGATACTTGCTTTGATTGAGCATATCCCATGTCTTCGGAGAATGACATGTTCTCGAGTACGCTTTCCGGTACAGCCTCTTCAGTCTTGTCAGACCACCGGTTGGCGGCTCCGACGCTGGAGATGAACTGGATGTGTGGTCTGTTGACGCTTTCCATCGAGAAGCCAACCAGGTTTCGGCAACCTCGGATCTGATCTTCGAATGTAGTAACGGAGAGGTTGAAGTTGACGGTCCAAGCGTTGTGGATGATATGCGTGGCTCGTTCGCTCAGACTCCTATACGACTCTTCGTCCAACCCAAAGAAGGCCTTGTTGAGGTCAACCTGCTTGAAGTCAACTCTCGAAAAGTCGGTGCTGAGACCCTTTTCTGCGTTGATCCTCTTTTGTTTCTTGGAGTCGGAGCCGGCTCGGTTGAGGCAGGTTACTGTGATGTTCGGGTTGGTCAGTAACACATCCAGGATGTAACTTCCCAAACCACCAGTCGAGCCTGTCAGCAGGACATGTGTTGTTTGCGATGAAGCAGGTATCTTTTTAGCGGTTGCATCGGTTCTTTCGAGAGAGTCCAGAGATTCGTCAAGAATCCTCTTCATCTCGGCCTGTGCATCCTCCGAGCGTTGACCTTGCACATCTTCTCCATTCTTGAGCTTTGTAAGAGATTGAGCAATCTTCTCAATAGTTGGATTGTTGTAGATCATGGTCTTCAATACCGAGCTGTTGGTGCCATTGTCCAAACTCGACTGGAAAGCCTTCGAGAGTCTGAGGGTCTGTAGGGAGTCAAGACCATAGGCAAACAAACTCTCGTCGTCTCGCATATGTTCAGCATCCCTAAGTCCAACTTCAGACAGAGCTTTGGTAACACTCTTACGAAGTGCATCAATGCTGCTGAAGTCCAGATCATGCGTAAGCAGGCCGGACTCTGCATCTTGATACACCTTCTCGATATCGTCTTGAAGTTTGTGAGTCGTTGGTCGTCTCTGCACCGTGCCCTTGGTGCTTCTCAAAAAGGCCTCTGAGTCTCCCAAAATCTTGGTATGTGCTTGGTCAACCTTTGCATGGCCAGGTAAGTGTTCATTGGCTTTTGACACAAGGTCCCAGACAGAGTCTGTCCTGTCCTGCTCGCTGAACTCAGCGAGTTTCGGCGTGGGCTCAATCAAGACGGCAGGCTGTTCTTTAGAAGAGCCGACAATGATCGCAGCCTTGATTTCGGGATGCGATGAAATAATCTGTTCGGCCTCGATTGGGTTGAACTTCTCGCCATTAGACAACACCACGATATCGTCCGCCCTGCCTTGATACAACCATAAACCTTGCTTTTTTNNTGGGTGGGGCGCGTAAAGGTCCTTCATCGAGTACTCGGATTCGAGCGGAAATGTGGTGAAAGGAGCGAAGTAGATTCCGTCCTCAGGTTGACGTACAAAGACCAGCTCGTACAGATTTCCGGAGTTGTGTCTGAAGTCGAGGCCAATTGACGGGTGGAACTCATGATATTGCCAGTCTTTAGGGTCGGCTGGTGTGAGTTCAGGTAGATTGGCTGTTTCTGTAGATCCAAGTAGATTGTAAACATTGGTATACTTCGAGAGAGTGTTTCCCGATTTGCCAGACAGCGGTCCGCCACCAAATGAGACACTGCTCCAGGAGGATAATATTTCTAGTGCTGAAGGTGATTCAGCCAGTTCTTCTAGGATTATTGGTGCCATCACGGCAGCGTCTGCCAGATTTTGCTCAAGCATGTGTTGTACAATCTCGAGTGATGGGATTTTATCTGGAGGCCCGAATATGAGTCTCGTTCCTTGGAAGACTGAGAAGCCGAGAAAGTCGATGCCGGCAGACNNTAGTCTTGTCAGTACACGCAACAAGTAGATGTCGATATGTCTTACATGGAAAGGTGGTAGAGCCGTATACATCTTGATGTCAGAGTAGTATCGAGTAGTGATGTGTCTGCCATTAACAGGCGGTAACAGCTGTTGATCGTCTCTGGCACCCATAAAACTGTGTCTAACCATGACCGGTTTTGGTAGGCCAGTCGATCCCGAAGTGTGCAGTACGAGCAGGGGTTCTTGTGATACCTCATCGTAGGTCTTGTCGTACGGGAACGGTCGAGCCTCTGTCGTGTCGAGAAGGTCTTCGAGGGACGGAACATCCAAAAACCTCACAGATGTGTTCTTGAGGATATCATTGACGACAGAGTTCTTCACACCAATGAGGGTGCGACATTGTGTTTTTTCTATGAGCGAGACGTGTGCAGCGATCTGATTGCGAGGTGAGGAGAATAGTGCCTTGATAGCCTGTTAGTCTGCAACTCATTCAAGTCATTTGATCGCCAGTCTAACCTTGAAGCCAGCTTTGCAAGCCGCAACAACAAATATAAAATAGCGAATGTCCGAAGGGCCGACATAGCACAGAGTCTCGAGGTACTCGCTATTGTCCAGTCGTTCCGTCAACCACCATGCTAATCGATTGATGGCGTTCGAGAAGGCTTTCCAGGTGATATGTGTCAATTGCCCTTGCGCAAGGGCTTCGATAGATGTGGGATAAGCCGCCCATATGGTGTCTGGTTGACTTCTAGCCCATTCATCAATGACATGAGGTACGAGTCTCTCTCCGATGGACATGATGTAAAAGTTAGTGGTGATTTTGGTTACAGGGGAGGTTCAGTAGGATGTCGCTGCATTCGACGGCGGAGTTGATGTTATAAGCAAAGCTTGTTGCAACCAAGCAAGATACTCCATATCTCCGCCACGAGTCACTTGCTGATTTTCTCAACATTTGGTGTTTATCCAGGTGACATCACGTCGCTTTAGGTGCTATTTTGCGGCGGTCAATTCTTGGGACTGGGGTGCAACGACCGAAAAGAGGTATCAACGTTCTACAGAGCTGCTCAGACCCTAGGGGGGACATATCTTGTTGATCCATGTGGGCCCGATCACGGTATTCTTAAAGATCGTGATGATACACGTACATCTGCCTTCGAGAGACTTCGCGTTACGAGGATGCGTGACTTTGATCTAGTACAGAGCTGTAGATACTCGTGATTCCGACGCCCCCAAGAGACGTTGTCCTCATGAACAACATGATTCTGACTTGTTCAGCCAAATTCTCAGTGGGTGACAATGTATTGTAGTGTTGAAGGTGAGGTCAAGTATGACGAGGAAGCGCCCCACGCACGGGCCGGCGAGGAGGCTCCGGGCCAGCGCTGACGATCTGCAGATCATGGGTCTATACCCTTTTAGGTTCATCCACGAATTAGGCACGATATCTCTGTTCAAACTCGATCAACAAAGCTGCATAGAGACTCAACCTCAACGATCCCTGTTCTCTACAACGTCCGAAATTCCAGCAGAAGATCACACCCGCAGCTGCTACGCACGTACTCCGTCAAAAAAGCATCAAGCTAGCTGATCATGCGCCTATCTTGCCAGATTTTCCATGTGCATCAATCACTACCAGAGTCCGAAGTATCGAGGTAACTGCTCTGTGAGGTCGAGGAGATTGGTCTAAATGTAATGACGAATACAACAACGACTGAATGCAACTTTGATAACCAATTGACATGTCTGATATTGGCTTTGACGAAAGAAGAAAAAGAAGCAGGAAATCACAACCATGCCTATCTCATCTCCAAAGGGTCTGCGCACAGATGTCAGTGACGTCCATACGGTCTATCGGAATGTCGACAGATCAACCGACCACCCGAGTGAGGTATTGTTGTTGATCGTGGATGACTACTCCACATGATCTGTAATGCCATGGTCTTAGTCTTTTTATCTCCAAGGATACTCAATCTTGCTCTCTTCTTCTCTTGCTTTGGATCCGCTGCCATCATTTTCTCTCTCTTTTCCTCTTTCCGAACATCGAGCCAAAATGTCCTCCACCGACAGCATACACACCGACTCTAAATCCAAAAATGGAGATGTCGAAAAAGATCTACCAAACGACAAAGGCACCCCTACCGACGAACATCCACCATTGCCATTCTCGGGAGTCCACGAAATATGCTTCATCCTCATCATCTGTTTGTCCCAATTTCTCGCTCTCAGCGGATTGGCGCAATCGATAGCACCCCTACACATCATCGGCGACAGTTTCGGCATCAGCAATCCAGGAGAACTATCCTGGTACCCCGCTGCCTTTTCTCTTACTGTGGGTACCTTTATCCTACCAGCAGGACGACTTGGAGATATGTATGGACACAAGAAACTCTACATCATTGGTCTGGGCTGGTATGCCGTGTGGAGTATGGTAGCTGGTCTGGCCGTCTACTCCGGAGACATCCTGTTCTCCGTCGCCCGAGGTTTTCAGGGTATCGGACCCGCAGTAATGGTACCCAATGCTTTGGCCATCGTAGGAAGAACATACCCTCCCTGTGACAAGAAGAACCTTATCTTTGCTTTGTTCGGAGCTGCGGCACCAACAGGCTGGGTCGTGGGCGCTGTGTTCTCGTCCATCTTTGCACAACTTGCTTGGTGGCCTTGGGCATTCTGGGCTCTGGCTATTGCTTGTGTGGTCGCCGCTGTTGCTGCACAATTCATCATCCCCACCGACGAACTCGACCATGGAGGTGCCGTCAAATTCGACTTCCTGGGCTGCATCACTGGTGTGACAGGATTGATTCTGTTCAACTTTGCCTGGAACCAGGCCGCTGTCGTGGGATGGGCGACAGTCTACAACTACGTGCTGTTGATCGTCGGCATTTTATTCCTTGTAGCATTTGTCTACGTCGAACTCAAGGTAGCCGACCAACCTCTTGTCCCGCTCAAAGCATTGAGCAAAGAATCCATCCTCGCTCTTGCCGTCATCGCAGCCGGCTGGGGCTCCTTTGGCGTCTGGGTCTACTACCTCTGGAACTTTATAGAAGTTGTTCGAGGATACTCTGCCCTTGCCGCCTGTGCACAAAACGTTCCGGTCGCCGTATCTGGACTTTTGGCTTCCGTCGCAACAGGTGTCCTGCTCTCAAAGACAANNAAAGTCAGCAATGTGCTGCTCATTGCTACATTATGCTTCCTCGTCGGTCAAATCCTTATTGCTACTGCACCGGTGGGTCAGATCTACTGGGCGCAGACGTTTGTCTCCATCATCATCATGCCTTGGGGCATGGACATGAGTTTCCCCAGCGGCACAATCATTTTGAGCAATTCGACGGCAAAGGAACATCAGGGCGTGGCAGCCAGCTTGGTCAACACAGTAGTCAATTACAGTATCTCGATCGCGCTGGGTATCGCCGGTACGGTGGATAGAAATGTCAACAAGGGTGGTAGTGATGTGTTGGGTGGATATCGCGGTGCGTGGTACTTTGCCATTGGACTTGATGTTGTGGCTGTTGTCATTGCTTTGTACTTTGTCTGGCGGATGAGGGGCTAGATGAAGAATATCTCCGATTAGATGTTCTTAGTGTATCTCCAGATTTATGATCATGACCATAAACTGTAACCTCCATTTTCTACTAAACTCGGCATTCATCGTACAACAACTCTCGAGTTATGCAGTTGTCTTCAGCGAACAGTGATTCTTAAAACCTTGGCTGCAGTCACTTGAAGATCTGGACCTTTGGACCTCCATCGCTTGACTAGCCATTCCGTCTAGACTGTGACAACTCTATCGCTTCCGCTTTCGACAGAAGCTGTTTCCGCAACACTGGCAGCAGTGCCTTGGTTCAGCAAATCGCCCACATCGCGGAGTTCAAGGGCCGACTCGTTTGCCTGAGAGTTTCCAGCAGCACTTTCAGAGTTGCCGAGACCGGCCCATCTCCTAAGCACACTGACCAATCTCCCTCTTTGCGCCGTGCCTGGAACTAAGAACGCCCGCTGAATGTCTTCGAGACTTAGACCTCGAGTTTCAGGCATACTGAACATCAAGACCAAGACGCTGGCAAAGCAGATGCCACCAAACAAGAAGTAAGCTCCATAGCTTGATTTGGCAAGTAGCACAGGCGTGATGATGGCGACGATCCAGTTTGTGAAGAAGCCGAGTCCTTGAGCAACAGCACTTGCTGCAGACCTCGTGGCAGCTGGTTGAATCTCCGAAGCGTAGATCTTGCCGACGATACCCCAGGTTGCTGAGTATGCTAATCCAAAGACGAAGACCAGAACGATGACAAGCCAGCGAGCTGGGTTCTGCGGTGTCACAGAGTTTGAAGCGTAGAGTATGCCTATCGTGAACATGCAAAAGGTAAGAACGCAACCGCCGACAATGACGCTGCCGCGGCGCGAGACTTTGTCAGCAAGAAGAAGTGCGGGAATGCTGATCGCAAGTATAAGAATTGCTGACAGACCGGATGCCAGAAATGACGCGGACTTTGGTGGCAGACCGGCCTGGGCAAANAGGGTAGGGGCGTAGTAGAGCNNCTAAGTCGAGTCAGCAAGTCCTTCCTGATGACCTCAGCCATGGTGAACTCACACTCCGTCTATTCCACTGAGCTGAATGACTCCCAAGACATAGAGAGCGAGCATCGCAGGTTTCCGATACGGCTGACGGAAGAGCATTGTAAGTCCCTCGACGGCACCTGGCTGTCGCACAGACATCTGCTGTTCGGCAGCAGGACCAAGCAGATCTTTCTCGGCCTCGACTGCACTGAAATCGAGGCGTTTGAGTTCTAGGATGGCCTTGTCGCGGTGGCCATGCACCAAGAGCCACCGAGGTGACTGAGGTAACACAAATGGCATTGTGGCCAAGACAAGTCCGAGTATGGCTTGGATGATGTAGGGTGCNTGTCCCAGTAGTCAGTAAGGTAGAAAATAACAAAAGCCAGTAGGGAGCGACTGACCTCTCCATGAAAGGCTTGACTCGATCCGGACGCTTCCATAGCAGGTGAAATAGCCAGCACAAATGCCTGCACATGCCATGAACTGAGGAAACGAGACCAACATGCCTCTTCGGGCTGATGGAGAAATCTCAGTGATATANTCTACGTCAAGTTAGCGAGTTTTCATCTTGATCGACGACAGTACTCACACTGTGACGTTGCTCAGCCATAAGCCTTCGCCTACTNNTGGAGGTTAGCAGATGATCATAACTATACACCGTTACCACTTACCTATACCACATAGTGCTCTGCCCGCAAGGAACATGCCGAGTTTGTTGGCACCTCCTTCCAACGCAGCACCGATTGCAAACACCAGCGCACCTACTGCAACAATTGCCAATCTTCCAAAGCGATCGGCAAGTTGTCCGGCAAAGAACGAAGGAAAGGCACCAGTGAGCATGATCAACGAGACAGTAAATCCGCGAAGGAAGGATGTGAGTTCGCCAATGCTGGATGCAAAGAAAGGCATCTCAGTCACAGCACCGACACTGCCTGTATCGTANGCTGAGGCCTTTGTCAACAGGATGCTTTGATGGAGTAGAGAAGGGCACCGATGGACTTACCCGTTCAAGAAGCCTCCGAGCGAAATGGCGATGGCTGACAGGACATAGCCTGGAGGTCGAGAGACGGTGAATTTCATGCCCTGTGGTAAGAGCGATGATTGTCTAAATTCCTAGGTGGACTAAAACAACCATTGAGTCGTGAGTGCGACTTTTGTAGCCTTATCTGTGAGTATTTCGTACCCCTTGGATTGTTCAGTAATCTGAGCGGACGTCATAATGCTTTCTCCGGAAAATGGTTGCCTGCGATTGCAGTCCTGGAGGTGGACGAGAGGTCCAGAGAACAGGCAAGGTGCGGGGTTGGACAGACGGCAGGAGCTGGTTCGCCATATTCATGTGAGATCGACATAGACAACAAGACAAGCAAATACAAGGCACCACTGTTTACTTTGCGAGACGATTGTAAGAGCAGATCGTAGCTTTGTCTATCATTTTTTGTTTTCATAAGATACAGCATCATTTCTATCGCCCAGATAGTCAACATAGTCATGACTTTTTCCTTGCTTGCTCACTAGAGACAACAGCCACAAGACGTATTTGTACAATGTCATAACTCTTTCTCTCTCACATCAGATCATTGCCATGCAGTTTGTTGTTCGATATCTTTGGTTCATGAGAAGTTTAGGCCTTGGCAGAGGGGAAGACAGCCTTTGCGACACCCTTTGCGGCCTCGAGAGCGCCAGACAGACCGAACTGGGTGTTGATGCCCTCGATACGGTGAGTCGAGTTGATGTTCTTGACCATAGTGATCTGGTAGCAGGTGGCGGAACCTTGACGGGAGATGATGGTGGAGTAGGCGAGGAAGTATTCCCAGATCNNTGTGGAAGATCAGTTAGCAGTTGTCAATGGCATGAATTGAAGTAGAAAACTTACTCTGAACCAGCGCTTGCCGTACTTGGCCTCGACCTTCTCGCGGTTGCCCATCCAGTTGCGGTACCAGCGCCAGAGAGTAGCGCTGTAGTGAACACCAATGGTGTCAATGCTCTTGATCTCGAAACCAGCACCCTCGAGCTTGTCGACAGTCCAGCCGAGAGGAGTGGAGGCATCAGCACCGGGGAAGATGTACTTGTTCATGAAAAGACCCCAGATGAGGTCCTCGTACTGCCAAGACTTGCGGATACCAGCGTATTGCATGAAGAAGACACCGTCATCATCGAGCATGTCGTGGATCTGGCTAATGAAGGTAGAGAAGTGACGGACACCGACGTGCTCGGACATCTCGAGACAGGTGATCTTGTTGTACTTGCCCTTGGGGACAGGGGTGTCGCGGTAGTCCATGCACAAGATACGGCTCTGCTCCTCGGGAACACCGAGCTTGCGAAGACCGCTGTTGCCCCAGGCAGTCTGGTTGCGACCAAGAGTAACACCAGTAACCTGAGCACCGTAGTGGGCGGAAGCAAACTTGGCGAGGGTGCCCCAACCACAGCCGAGGTCGAGCATGCGGTCGCCAGCCTGGAGGCCAATCTTCTGGCAGACAATGGCCAGCTTGTTGTCCTGCAGTTGCTCAAGGGACTCTTCCTTGTTGATGTCGGAGATGATACCAGAAGTGTAGATCATGCGAGGGCCGAGGAACCAAGAGTAGAAGTCGTCACCGCGGTCGTAGTGGTCGCGGACCTGCTCCTCGTCTTGCGAACGAGTGTGCATGATGACTTCGGGCATCATACCGGTGAGGAAGAACCAGAAGAGAGACAGAGTGAAGCGGAAGTTGGCCCAATCGTGACGGTACTCCATGACCTCCAAGGCGTCACCGTTGAAGTCGACATCGCCGTCAAAGTACTTCTCGTGGAAGGTCTCCATGGGGATCTTGCTGCGGCCGTGGTACTTGGCACGGTCGGCCTCCTTGTGGAACTTGAGGTAGTGCTCGACGGGGGCGCCGGGGTAGCGAGCCTTCTCGTTCTTGCGGGGNGTGTAGCCGGAAGCGATGGTCCAGAAGGCCATCAGGATGGGAATGGCAGTCAGGAGAGCAAAGAAGACCCAGGTCTTGAAGCCACCACCGATCTTGTAGGCCATGTAGGCGGGGATGCCGCCGAGGAGAGCGAACAGGACATAGTTGTTGAACGACTCGCTGCCAGCTGCGTCGGCGGGGAGGGGTGCGTTCTTGATGGCCGGGTACNNTGTAGAGACTCAGTTAGCAAGTCGTTGGCACGCGAGGTGAGGAGCAAGACTTACGGCAGTGCTGCGTACACCAAACTCGGTGCTCTCAGGAGCAGGAGCAGGCACGGCGGGAGTGTCGATGAAGTTGGTCAACTCCTCCGAGTACTCGGACTTGTACTCGTCTTTGCTGGCCATGTTTGCAAAAACCCACTCGTCTGACAAGAAGCTGCAACAGCGTCCAATGTCTCTCCTTTAAACAATTCTCAACAGACACGAAACTGTGTCCCTTGACAAGACGCGCCAGGTCAAAGCTCAAAAAGTTCAAAGCTTCAACCTGTCGGCGTGTGGGTGGGCTGGGGCTTGCTATCAAGCACAAACGCTGTCTTTGCAAGCACGTCCATGGCTTGTCTTTCTTAGCAATGAACCGAAGCAACATCGACTCTGTCTTTATCAACTGATCGCATCTCTTGTACAGGTCAGTTCTGACTTGTTGACTCTTTGCAACACGCAACCAAGCAGTTGTCAGCACCTCCAGATTGTCTCGTGATTCTTGGCAAGCGTTCGGTAACATGTCTCTGCCCGTTAACAAATCCTGCCGCTCCACACCCGCCATCTAGATAACACTCCCGCGGGACCCTTCTTCAACGCGTTGTCGCAACACTCAAACTCCTGTTTCATATCTCTGTCCCACTTGCACAAGCTACTGGCACAATTCGGTTGTTTTTCTCAACTCTCATTTTATCATGTACCATAATTACTCTGTCGCTGTTGTCGTGAGAATCGATAGACTGCCATCGAGTGCTTCTTCTGCTTTCCTCGACTCATTTTCTCTTCTAGACCTCCCCATAGTTGTACAAATCGAAAATGAGGAGATTGTCAAGCCATAGCAGCAAGCACTGCCCTCTTCTCACAAGTCCCATCTTTTGCTCCTTACCCATCCTTCTCATTCTTTTCGTAGGGTCTCATGTGTTCAGTATCTCGTGTCTTCTTGGCTTTCATGTCTTGGTATCCGGGTGCTTCATCTTTCAATCCTCCTCCTTCTTCTTCTTGGGAAACTCCCTGATCAACATGTATCCAATGGGATCCAGAAAGAAACCCATGTACTCGACGGTGACAAGAGCCAAAGACTTGAACGACTCGTTGACGTTCTTGGAACGCGCAACATCCGTCATGGCCTGCTCAAGTCCGACTTGCATATCCTCGAAGAACTTGCAGTGGATCTTCATCACCATACCCTGGAGATCATGTCTTGGATTGATGTTGGAAAGCTCGAAATATCTGTAGACCAGGAGGGGAAGCATCTCGTCATACTGCTGCATGCTGTTGTCCGTAGCCTTGATCGATACACGCAGGTCGTCCAACTTGGACAGGCTCGAGAGAGGACGTAGCATGAGCATGTAGCCTGCACGTCTCTTCCAGTCAGTGTTGTGCTTGATGGGTCTGAAGGCGCGCTTCAAGCCGTCAGTGACATTTTTCATAGTCAGAGTCACCCTCATTGCGCGGAGGTTGATCATCTTCTTTGCGATTTTGGCAAAGATCGAGGTCCAGCACTGTGTATGCTCCTGTTCCCAGACGTTGTCGGCGGCCTTGTTAGGAATGCCGTAGATACGCACATGGACGTGCAGTCTGGTGATGCAAGCAAGGTTTCTGTCGGAGACGGTCTTGAGGAAGGCTCTCAGGCGCTGAGCATCGTCAAAGTAGAAGGCTGTTGTACCGTAGAGAATAGGACCAGTCTCAGCATAAATGGCCTTGCAAGTATAGAGAAGACTGCTGAGGGTGGTCTCCCAAATGATGCCTTCTCTGGGCTGCGGTTTCTGGCCGGGAATACCATCGTACGAGACTCCTCTGGCTTTCATCGTCTTGCGGTAGACGCTTTCAGGGGTCTGCTTGGTAGTGGGGATGATCTTGATGCACTTGATAGCCTTGGGACGATCGGGCGAGCGATACTCAGTGATAGCCTCGACAAGGGGGCTTCCCTTCTGGTATGGCCAAGCATCGTTCTGCTTGATGGTGATGAGTCGCTGGTGGAAGAGGTAGCCATAGATCTGGTTGCGAATCTCCACAGGGAGGCGGAGGATGCCTGGGAGCAGAGCCGATGTCTGTTGCTTGTGCTTGAAGCCTTGACCAGACTTTGATCTGGCCTTGAGCTGGGAGATCTCCCGGAAGACGTTTTCGAGTGGAAACTCTGTCAGGTATCTGGTCGTCCACGTGTGCTTCTTCTTGACAGGCTCGTCGCTGATTGCGATGCCCTGCTCAGACTTGGGCTCGACCTTTGGCTCGTCATCGCACAAAGGTTCGAGCACACAGGCATTAGTTGAGCCCAAGTTGTCGGGAACAACCAGCTTAGTGGTCTTCTTGTGGCCAGAGGAAGGGGCCATTGCGCAAGTTGTCTGGAGTGATCAGTCATTGATTTTGTTGGTGGATTCCGGAAGGTCTGAAGCATACAGTCGCATTCTTGTTCTTGCGGCGAGACCATGGACGACGCTTGGACTCGGATTCTCCTGCCATTGTTGGAGATTGATCAATGGATCGGACGTCGGTGTTAATAGTCTCCGTGGTTCGTGGAAGGAAGGTGTACTGAAGTGAGATGAAGCTTGATGCGTGGACGCTGAATCGCCTCGAGTTCGAGGCTCCAACCTTTCCTTGTAGTGAAGGCCGCACACGACTCCTCGAGTGAAGAAATAAGACCTCTGTTAGTTACACTTGGTGTTAGAGTCGATGGCACCGATCTGAAAGGAGCTTGTTGTGGCGCAAGTTTGGATGGTGTCGCGGTTTGCGGTTAGTCTAGGCAGCGATTCGCGTTGACTCCCACTTGGCTTTGAGCATGAGAACTACCGCTAACTTACTCTCGACTCCATCTGGTCTATGATTATGAATGTCTGAAGTGTCCGTATGTTGCCACTCGAACTGAATGTGTGTTGTTTGCTTGCATACTGTATGCATCTTGCAAACAGTTTTATACCCACTTGAACCAATTGTGTCAAGCATACCTAGCCTTTACTGACGCGCTGATCGATTCACAGTACACGACGTATATGATATTCCACTACATGCAGATTCTTCCAGGGACAGAGGAAGGAGCGAAAAAAGTCAAGTTGAGTCTCAGAGTCGTAGCTGCTCTCTGACGTGAAGCCTGATCAACCGAGGAACACCCGATCCGATGTCCGAGTTTCAGCAGCACGTTTCATCCTCCTCTTTCGTGCATGCTGCATCCTCATTACAAGGCGAAAGACTGCGACCCAGAGATCCACTCGATAATCTGTCTGAGGAGGAGGCACGTTCAAAGCTCATGACAGACTCATCCAACGCGTTACTCGAGCAAACAGTAGGTAATCTGTCGATACATTTGCGAGAAGGCATGTTCGACAAAAGAACCCAAAGTTGTAAGTTAGATGTGGTCTCTGAGTAATACAGCGTGCATGTTGCGGGAACGTTTCACTTGTAAAGCATGAATGTTAATGTGTGATTCCAATTGGCGACAGGTGTCAAGGCGTTAGCGCCGAGGATACGCTCAAGGCTTTCTATTCGTACGACCACCGACAGGCACTTGCACGGAGCCTGTTCCGAGATACGGGTATGAGCACTGTTGTCCATGATCCGTCGTGAGGCTGAGGCCGCCGAGCGCAGCTTAGGCAAGCCATTCCTCTACACCTTCAAATAGAACACCAGTGTTCTCTGCTTTTGCCATAAGCTCTCAACATCTTCCCCTTCTTCAACTATTCAACCAACGATAAACTACGCAATGTCTCAACTTGACTACGAGGACCATGTAGAGGACAATCCATGGCGCCCCGTGCGCATAGTCCTGTTCATTCTCTGGGCCATCCACTTCTTCGTCTGCGTGTTCACAACTGTTGGCGTCTTTGCTCAAGCCTCTACAGCGTCTCTCGACTTCCAGTCAGTATGACGTTTCATTCGACTGCATAACCACTAAAATGTTCNNATCAGTACCGCTATGAGTATCATTAGCATTCTATTGATCGATGTACTGTACATTCGTCAGATGCATTTGTATGCCATCGGCAAGCTTGAGCCTCTTAATGCAGCACACATGCATAGTATCCAATGTGTGATGGTTGCGTGGTTGATGATGGAGATCTTCACGATATCATTGCACGAGATGTTTGGACTCTTCATATTCTTGTATAGTGCCGTGTTTGCGTAAGTGGAGATCTCGATCTCTCTTGGTACAGTCGGCTGATTTCTTTGTAGGTCGACCTTTTTGATACTGTTGAGCGTGAGTCTTGGGGTTCTTACTACGAGCCTCCGAAAAAATCGCGGTATCCAGCTGCCTGTGCTCAACATAAAGATTTGACAAGCTCTTGACGGTATGGGACAGAATATCGCCAAGTGCTAAAGTCTGTAACTTCACCACTCTTCTCCTATGGAAGCGCAGAGCGAAGTGTACTCTACGAAAGTGCACAACTTTGTTTCGAAGCAGAGGAGTAACGACGAAAAAGGCGCCACGAGGTTGGCTCTGGGAGAATCGTGCTTTCCATATGGGTAGCACTGTACATTTGCGTAGCTGCACGCGTTACATACTTCAGTATATGGGAAGGAAGGAACATGGAATAAAAAAACCATACGTGGTTACTCCTGAAGTCAAGATCTTCATGCATAAAACTACAACAACCCAACCATCTTAATCAAGCACCCCAACCTAGACTTTCACAACATTACTTATTTCTTCTTACGCAACTCAATCTTCTTCTTCCTCGCCTTCTCCTTCTTCATCTTGGAATTACGGATAAACGCCCTCAATCCATGCTGACGCACCACAGCATCAAACCCAGGCAACGCATTAAGCGGATCTACATAATTTCCTTCGATGTTTCCAATAGAGTCAGGATGGAACCTATCCACCAAATCCCAACTCAGGGGAAAGTCTTTCATACTCATATCCTTGACAAACTCCCAAGGTCTGGCTGAGTTTGCGATGTGGCGTAATTGATCTTTGTGGACTTCGCTGTGCAGATCAAGTGGTACTGCTGCATCGTGGGTTATTATACCCTCGGCGATGTCTGGTTGCAGTTCGTCAGGAGGCAAGGAGGCCTCAAACTCCATGTCTGTTTTGTGTTCATCGAGCCAGAGTTTATAGTCGTCGTAGCGATATCTCACGCCAAGCTGTTTGGGTAATCTCAGACTGGCAATGGCTCCATATCTCAAGGCTTCGTCGTCCCAAAATCCTGGATATAGGATCTTCAGAATGTGGGACATGGGTAAGACATAGTAAGTGTGGGTAGTCACCCCAGCACGAGCAAGGCTGTACCTTGCTTTGTACTTGTCGTTCCTGTTGTCGGTGTCTGGCCAGTCGTAGAAGTAAAGGCCAAAGGGAACACCCATGTGCTCAGGATTGCCGCCAGTCACGTTGATAGCGGCGCCAAAAAGGTGTTTGGTCAATGCGTACCCCAGTTCAGCTACACGTGAAAGGTTCATGAAAGGTTCGTGGTGGATAATCTCTTGACCAGGAGAGAAAGCCATGTAGAAAGCGTGAGCGACTTCGTGGACCATGGTCACAGCTGTATAAAAGCGTGTGCGTAGATCAGCAGCTGCTTGATCAAGCTCCGAATGTAGTTCATCAACCCTATGCTTGCGGTCAAGTGCATCGCGAAATTTGTTGCTCATGGCAATCAAGCTGCCCCATCTGTTACAACGTATTAGTACGAATGAAACAAAAACATATCAGGACAGAGCACTATACACATACCCCTGTGGCTTAAACGATGCATGTTCCTTTGAGTAAATTTCTCTCTTCTTGATGCTGTATGTACGCATCAAAGCCCCTTCAGCTCCACTGAGGTCATCATTGAACTCCCAAGTCACATGCCCGCCGAGCTCGCGCAAGTGCCTGATCGTATCCACAGCGCCTTCCCACGAAACAATGGTCTCTGGCTTGAAACTGTACAGCATACCTCTACCAAGCCGTTGCTGTTCCTCAGGGGTGCCTTCGAATTTTTCCGCTTTGTGCAGACCTTTGAAGAAACCCAGCGCATCAAAGTTACTCAGCAGATCAGTCGCGACCTTCAATACCGGCTTTAAGAGTTCATAGTCGTAGTCGTCGGTGCTCGGGAAGTTTTTGCGTCGGAAGATAGGGTGGAAGTGAGTGTCGTTGTACCTGGCAATATCGGCTGGGTCGAACGGTGCGTTCCTGAGTGCTGCGTCCACATTTGGGTAGCTAGGCACTATGAAAAGATCTCTCCTTGGTTCAACATTGATGGCACCGAACCTGTCCAGTGATCCGACTGAGAGGCTGCTGAGGATAGGGTCCGAGCCATGCCAATGGCATACATCATTATAAGCTGGAATGCCCGAATATTGCTTGAGAGCGGGAAAAGGATGTTCACCAAGGATTTCTTGAAAATCAACTTCGGCGCGGTTTCTTTTAGCGTCGAATGGCTCCATTTCAGGCAAAATTTCATCGAAGAATGTTGATGAACAACACGAGGAGCGATGTGTGGGGTTGTTCCAAAGAATATCACATCTTCTGTATAGACCGAATTCGGCGTTGTCTTTGTTCTTCCTTGTCCAGCGTCCGTGAATAATCTCATCAAGGCGATAGCCTGTATCGCTTGCATTACATCTTCATTGTTCCCCACACTTTGCTCTTCATTCACGCTCAGAAAACGCATTACCCTTCTTGGTCACATTCCCCAATGAACGATATTTCTTGTAGAAATCACGGTGTTCTGGCTCCTCAGAATCTGCGTCGAGGCCCTACGGTTATATTAGCTGATCATGTCGTTATTACAGTAGTTGATTAAGACCATTCCAAGCGAGAAATGTAGTACCTCATGAGTTAGAAGATGATCTGTAGNNAAGAAGGCTTACCCCTCGGTGTCCTCGAAGGAGGATTGCGTAGCGGTGATCGAGATCTCGAGGACCGTCGTTCTGGATCGACNNGAAGGGAAGAGACCTTGGCAACCTCCCTTCCCTCTCCATAAGGGAACTCAAGCGAGATTCTCGTCGGGCAGAATGGTCAGAAGAATATTTATGGCGACTGCTCTCTTCACTAGGGGTTGAGGCTGGAATGCCTCTGATCTTAAACTCGGGAGTCTCAATATTGGATGATGTCGAAGATTTGTGACGAAGTCCTACGCAGTAGAATGTCCGATTGCCTTGATCATCAACTTCACTCTTGTCTCGGCCACCAGGAAAAGTGTTGAGCACGTGTTTGATAAATAGTTTACCAAGCATCAATGGTACTTCAGAGTCAACAAATGCCTCTTTGTACATTCGATAGAGCTCTGACTGCACCACTTTTCCTTCGGAATCTTTCGTAAAGGTCCGACGCAACCATTTTGACGTTCTTACAGGCTCTGGTAAATTCAACAAAGGGTCGGGGTTCGTAGGTGTAGCTTTTAGTGGTGTACTAGTCAAGCTATGGGCAGTTCGCTCAACAACAGAACGTCTTAGATCGTCGTGAATTGTCTTTCGAGTGGAAGAAGCGGCTGGGGATGGCGTTTGTCTGACAGGCAGTGGTAATGGTCGACTTGCACCTGGAGTCGTTTGTGGAGATACGAGTGCGCTGGCTTTTGTGGAAGCTGTTTCAATAGCAGGTGTCTTGTTGAATACGGCGTTCAACTTGGCCATAGTCAAGAAAGGAACCTGATCAGGCTTTCCAGATTTCTCGAGTTGTTCATGCCAAAATGTGTCATATTCGGGTACTTCTTCGCCGTTAGCGACAGTCCGAGTGGCAAATGGCGTGAACTCTGTTGAATAAAGAACCACATAGTTGTCCCATTGTGACGAGGAAATGTCCGAAGAAGTATGCAACTTCTTGCACAGTTTCTCAAAGGCCGTTCTATTGCCTTTAAAGTTGCGCTTGTCGACAAACTGGCGAAACAAATCATCAATAGTCAGATCCGATGCAGCGGTTGCAGCATTGTGGGAGGCTCTCGGAGAAGGGAGTATTGAACGGCTTGGAATCGTGGAGATGTGGTGAACAGCTGGCTGATCCATGGGCGCGGGTCCGCGGGGAGCTGCAAAGTTACAGACCACTTTATGTCCATCAAAGAAAGAGTTGTGCTTCGCTTCGAGAGCTCTGCAGGCTGTTTCGACGTCGGTGAAGTTGACAAAGCCAGACTTTTTCTTAGCAGATGCAGAGATAGGATCGAATTCCGCAAACATCTGCTGAAGCTGTCTGTTGTCGATGTATGCTGGAAGCGATCCAATCCAAAGAGCTCTTGTCGGTTGGCCGAACATCCCAGTCTCGATCTCTTGTCGAGTCTGGAACGTCGGATCACGAACCTGCAAATCCGCATGGTGTGAAGGTCTNAGATGGTAATGAACTGACAGAGTCTGAATCAAGGACCCGCCTATCTCCACGCAGTGGGGTTTAGGTGGCAACGACCTGACAGAATGCACAGGTGAACCAGAAGCAGCAGCCTTGAAAGTGAGAGGCACAGACACGGTGGTTTCAGGAAGAGCGTTTCCAGACGCAACAGGGTCAGAGGCGACAACCTCTGGAGGCTTGACCACCGATGCTCCGGTCACGGAGTTATCAATCCCCTGACCACTCCATTGGCGCCACTGGTCGACAATATTGGCTCTCTTGACGACATTATGGTCGGCTGGTTCAGGTAGGTCAACTGGTGGTTCATCGACTTCCATCGGACCAGGTTGTGGTTCTGTGTCCACGACAAGCGGCTCTTTATTCATCTCGTTCTCGTCAGCGAGCTGAGCTGTCGCTCGTATCACACGAGCGGCGCTCACGCCTATACCATCAATAGGAGTCTTCTTTCGTCGCTGTTCGATCCATTCACGCCTCATACGGCTCAGCCTCTGGGCGTGGGTTTCAGTCGTTTCTTCAAGTCCCCATCCGGACCGCCGATCTCGCCGTGCCGGAGGCCTTGGAGAGTCTGCAACAATGTCTTGCGGTTGCTTCTCAGCAGCGAGGTTGTCTTCGACTTGTGATCGATCATTCATGACAGTGTCAATATCAGCCTGAGGCCGATCAAGTATGGACGGTGTGATGTTGGTATTACTGAGAATCAGCTGAATCAACGACTTGTCATCTTCTGGAGCTCGAAAATGCCCTGCAGATTGTTTTCCAATTCTTTCGCGAGATTGGGGACTTGCAGCAACTTCCAAGATGGGAGATGAGACTCTATTATAAGATGCGCTTTTTGTATGGGGGCTTCTCCTCTCAGGATCTTCAGGCTGTGCTTCAAGGTTCGATGCCGAGTGGTTTTCGTCAGGTGAACTCAAAGGATACTCGGGAAGCTGTCGTAAGTTCGGTGGAGATGGTGCGAGGTCTTCGATTTCATCGTTGTCTTCCTCTTGAGACACCGAACCGGACGGTGGACTTGAAGGGATTTGATCGAGAGAGTCGTCTACCTCGGGTCCGTCTACCTGCATATGATATTCTGCACTGCTGTCAGGTGGAAGCTCACCTGGTGGTAACTTCGCAGGAGGTTCCGGATCCAAGATGTTGGTAGAACGTCGAAGAGTGTCCATACGTGACCGAGGCTGATTATGAACTTCCGGTGATAGACTCCACGAGAGCGTAGTATCTTGGGTCCCTTGTGGGACAGCACTCGACAGGTTCGCGCCCTCTTGTTCAGTTTCTTTCTGCAATTGAGTTCTTTTGTCCTTTTCCTCTTCTTTTGCCGCTCGTCGCTCTGCAGCTTCTTCAAGCTTGTTGAGGTCTTCTACAGGGATGTTTGGATGCGGAAATGTTGTTCCAGGTCTCGAGGGCCACCACGAAGAAGGTTTTTCTAGTAACCTTGTTTGATTTTCTGGTATGGGTCTTCGTGCATATTTGATCATCAATGCTGGAGGAGCTCTGTACAGTGGCCTTGGCATACTTGACGACGAAATATCCACCAAATGAGAACTGGAAGTACCCAGAGAAGCTATCAGGGCTTCTGATTGTGACGGCAATGGCGCTCGCGCTGGCGGTGCTCGTGGCAGAGAAGACTGCATGACTTCCAGTGGCTCCGGCTGAGCTGAAGTTGGCGTGTTGTTTGGCAGAGTTACCCTGGACTGTACATTCAGGGCAACAACTTCAGGCTGAGGTTCCACATCAGATGCGTCTATCAGACGATTGTCTCTTTCGGCGGGTTCGGGGATCGTGACATCGGCCATAGGGATCTGTGACTCAAAGTTTTGTGAGATAGAATGTGATTCCGGTTGCGAAAGTATCTGTGGTTGGACGTTACTGATTTTAGCAGCTGGTACTGGAGGTGGAGCCATCTGCACAGGCATACGGCTGCCTAGGCTTAAAGCTTGCTCACGAGCAGTAGAGGCTGAGGTCCTCGCGGCTGAAGCCCTCAAGAGCAGGCTCAGCTGCCTGCTACGCTCCTGAGAGTTGTTCGACTGGAGCTGTATAGGCTGATGCAGGTTCAGCCCTGTCTGAACCACGACATCTTCGTCATCAAAAGATATGCGAGGCCGAACTAATCGATGAGAACCCGATCGGGTCGGAGAAGACTGTGAATGAGGACGCTTCGATGAAATTGTCTTTGTCACATCTTTCGAAGCAGTAGAAGGGGCCTCGACCATTTCTAAATCCGCAGTGCCAGTTGATGTGGGTACTGGACCTGCGTCCTGAACTGATGTCGGAGATTCGGCCGTTGGTTGATAGGATTGCTTCAGTCGATGCATAAATTCCTTGATCTTGTCGATGCTGTGGGTAGGTATGATGCGACTCATGTTGATGTCCATGGCGGTGTTGGAGATAGTGAAGCTGGAAAGCAGCAGTTGGACTCGTGAGGAGGGAGAGCCGAAAGTCGTGTGAGTAATGTCAGAAATAGTGGAAGTGATGGATTTATTCTCGACGAAAGACAGAGAACACTTGTACTGGTTCTCGAATCGACGTTTGGCATTAGGAGTGACTCTGGCCTGCATAGAAACCATGCCATCGGTGACTATGAGGACTTGACCTTGNGAGCTGAGCTTGTCAGTACTAGAACGGTCTTATAGTGAGAGAAATACGGCTCACGGCAGAACGAGTCGGAGATGTTCTGAGTGAACTTGCGAGGTTGAACTGACCTTGAGCACATGCAGCGAAACGGATGGCATGTTCATGTGGACTTTCAGATTGCTGCCATTCTCGGCGACATGTTCAAGCAAGGCGGGCTCAGGCTTGACATGATTGTGCTGAGCAGTTTTGTAGGCGACAGCATCGCCGAGTCTATCGGTGACGGTGCTGCCCAGCCATGAAGTCATNTGTTTGATATGAAGAGTTTCCTTGTCGGACATGAGTAGAGCCGTCATGGTAGAATGGCTGTCTAGTCTCACCAGGCGCGAATCTGTCGCGNNGCATCAGTTGGACGACGCGGCGGAAAGAGCAGAAGTCTGAGAAGGTGCCATCGGGCAGGTNTTAGCCTTGTGGTGGCAGGAAGTAGCGAGATGTTTGACTCGGATGCAAGATGCGCATGACTCGACGCACGAGGGGGCAGCACAGCGAGATGCGGCGGTGGAGCAGTCACTTGCGATCGGCGTCATGGGACAATTACCGCAATCCAGACCAACCACTTTTCGTATCCTCGCACCTACGACTCGATCCGTGCAACATCGTCACGAGACAGATTCTACTAGCCTCTCTGGTTATCAACTACAATCTGAAACCTCCTCCCACCACCTGGCGTCCGTCTATGAGCAACGATCGCCGACTTTTCGAAGCATTACACATTCCATCCCGCGAGCAGGACTGAGCTATACCGAGCAGCAAACGATGCGCTCACAACTCCACTCCTCCAGCTGAGCAAAAAGCTATGCCTACCACAGGTCGGATGGATCCATCACCAGCTTCGAGGCGGGCCTCGCTGTCGTCCATCAACTCGCCCACTGTGGACAAGGAGGCTTTGCAGAAAGAGCTGGACCACATTCATACCACTGCCTCACGCTCAGACACTTTGACTTCGTTCAGCGACTTTGAGCGCAGCCGTACAAGCAGTCCTCGTGTACCCGGCCCGAAAGAGTTGGTCAGCGGACGAATCAGTGGTCTATACTCGCGCTTGAGGCAGAGTGTCGGAGCCGCGTCTCCTGCCTCGGATACGTCGACGCGTCCTGGCAGTCGAGGGAGCTATACTGTCACAGATGCCTCGTCATTAAGAAGTTTCTCGAAACCAGAATCACCCACACTCCTCCGTTCGAACCACGTTTCGCGTCTGAGCGATGCCAGTGCTGTCATAGCCGAGACCGACTTTGCGCTCGCGCCATCAATCCCTTCGTCTGCTGTTCATTCGCGTCCAGGTTCCCGTGATCTAACTCGCTCAGCCTTACATACCGCTGCGTCATCTCCTTCGGCAAGACGAGCTTCTCCGCCCGGCCTGGTCCGTCATGCCGAAAGCAACCAGAGCCAGCCGTTTCTGGTTGAGTCCAAAAGATTGTCGCAAAATCTGGATGGAAGGCCCTTGTCCCAGACTTTTGAAGGCAAACGGTCATCGGTCAACCTGGACAACAACCGACCATCACAGAACTTTGAGCGAAAGCGTCTGTCACAGTCAGACGCCCCATTTATGGGTCCTCGGCCAGAACGTCCCACCATCACCGTGCAGACAGATAGCCAATCTAGCGCCCCTATCCCTGCTGACCGACGTGACAGCGATGCCTCGTCAAGGACTCAGAATCACCTAAAGCCTGAGCGTCCGCCTCTCCGTGTAACTGCTTCTCACTTGCCTAACTTGCGAATATCGCAGGCGTCTGTAGTTGATGGCGTCCTTGACACCTCCTCTATATTTAGCACTAACCTCGCCACACCTATGCTTGATGCTCAACTCAACTTTAATGGTGGCATGCAGAGTCGTCGAGTACCACATGGAGAAGGACAGCCACTAGACCCATCGGACAAGAAGTCTACCACGATACCGGCTCACCTCAAGCGGCGGGTCATAAGCAAAGAGTTTTGGATGAAAGATGAGAATGCTCGTGACTGCTTCTATTGTGGTGATCCTTTCTCGACTTTCCGCAGAAAACATCATTGCAGAACTTGCGGTCAGATCTTCGACGCCAAGTGTACTGTGACTGTCCAAGGCAAACCCTTTGGTCAGTCAGGCACGCTCAGACTATGCAAGCCATGCGACGCCATGATTTATGGCAGTGATGATGACTCGACAGTCTTTACAGACGAAGACGAACCCAAACGATCTCCCGTATATGCTTCTCACTCGCAAGAACAAGATGTCTTCAAGCCAGATGACCCAGCTCTCGCAACACCCTCAATCGGTATTCCCGTCTCGAGGAGAAACAGAGAAGCCAAGAGACGTTCTGCTGTCATCGAGTTTGACATGCAGCCCACGTTAGCACGCCCAAGTTCATCTCGTTCACTAAAGTCAATGACTGGAAGGCCACATTCTTCAAGTCACAAGCGACACCACTCTCGCCATCAATCTGTGCGCCCTTTAAAAACTCCTGCAGAAGAGCGAGGACCATTCTACCAGAATATCGCAGAGACACAACGACGACCATTTACTGCTTTCCACAATGACAACATCATTGACCCTGACTTGGCTCCATTCCTGTCTGACGATGGATCTGATGCGGACGACCAGCCCAGCATATACACCACTATCAGTGACGTGCCTGGTCCGTCTTCGCTGGACAACGAACGAGCTGGATTCACGAGCTTGCTGGCCTCAGCAGTCAAGAAGGGTCGCTCGAGACGGGGCGATAGAAGTGCTGGCGGTCACAGTCTACGTGCTTCTCGTGATCTGGAGCACTTCATGTTTGCTTCCAAGCACCTCCCCAAGCTGCGAAAACAGCGCAACCCAAGTATTGGAAGCGTTGGCATATCGCGTCCATCTCCTCGGAGGAGCCGCAGTCAAAACATGATGAAGACCTTTGAGGCTGGGGCAAATGACCCGTCCGTGTTTGATATCTTCAATCCTGTTCTTGCAGATCAAGCTCAGGTCAAGCGAAGTTCCGGTATGCATGGTCAGAACGCTCCTGCAGTCGAATTGAACAGAGCCAGTCTCCAGCATGTCGAGCGCCTTCTGACCCAGCTACTCAAAGAGTCTGCGATTCCTCGACGTCGACATTGGCAGAAGGCCTTGATGCCCATTCTTCTGCAGTGTCCTAACGATGTGGATCCGGACGTTCAGAACGGCGATGACATGGACATCAGAAATTACATCAAAATCAAGAAAGTACCTGGAGGCAAACCTGGCGATACTTCGTACGTCTCAGGAGTCGTCTTCAGCAAGAACATTGCTCTGAAGGGCATGCGACGAAGCTTTGTCCGTCCTCGGATTGTGATAATATCGTTTGCCATCGAGTATGCCCGCCATAATCACCACTTCATGAGTTTGGAGCCCGTCATTGCTCAGGAGCGAGAGTATTTGCGCAACCTCGTAGGTCGCATCGTCGCATTGAAACCCCACATCTTGTTGGTCCAGCGAAATGTGTCGGGGCTGGCTCTGAACATGCTGCAAGAAGCAGGAGTCACCGTGGTGTACAACATCAAGGAATCCGTACTCGCCGCTGTTGCTCGGATGACACAGACAGTCTTGATCAAGTCGATAGACAAGCTATCAATCGACCCTTCTGGATTGGGACAGTGCTCCAACTTTGATGTCAAGACCTATGTCCATGGGAAGATCAGAAAAACTTTCATCTGGATATCTGGTTGCCAGCCCGAGCTTGGCTGCACCATCGTTCTTCGTGGTGCAGAGATGGAAACACTTCGTCAAATCAAAAGAATCACAGAGTTCATGTGCTACGTTGTCTACAACCTCAAGCTCGAGACTTGTCTGATGCGGGACGAATTTGTGTTGATTCCTTCTTCAATCAGTACTGCTAAGTCTACCCCTCCAAACATCAACACCGCAACTTCCAAAGCAGTGGATATTGCAAATGCCCCGGTTACACCCACAGCCCAAACACAAGCGGAAGTTGAGACTGGTACAGCAGATTTACCAGTTGGTATTGGCGACGAACACTCCGAATCAAAACCTGACGCATTGAACCATCTGGTGAATGCAGCTCGACATGTTGCACCTGATCCTGTCACCAAATTACAGGGTGAACAAGATGATGAGTCCATGCCATCACAGTATAGAGAACTTGTCGAAACAGCCAGGACTCGATTGATATCGTCGTCTCCCTTCGTCAAATTTCCCGAGCCCGTCCTTCTCGCCAAAGTCCAAGACCAAGAAAGACGGGTTGAACAGACAAAGCGGCTGCGAGATCGCTATGATGCGTTCGAGCTTGAGCATAATCACAACGAAAAGGCCAGCGAGACTCAAGAGGAGGACATTGCGCAAGCAGACAAGTTCCAGTTGGTCATGCCAGAGATGATCTCCAAAGCTTTTCCTCCAGATCAAAGCCGGTCCACTCGCAAATTTCTCCGAGACATTCATGACGCACAATACCAAATGGCTCTTCATGAGTACAACATCAAGAAACGACAGTGGGAGTCCTTCTTCTCGATCAGCAACAACAATCCATTTAACCCCTTCAGTCATCAAAACATCTTTGTCTTGCATTCTCTCGTTAGCAACGCCTTGTCTGCACCTTGTGCTGGTCCTGAAGTTCTGGGTCTCTCGTTTTATGCCGGATGGGGAAATGCTGAGCTAGGGCTAGAGGAAGATCTTACTCTTGGCCAATTCATCGAGGAGACCTGCGCAACCGCAGCCACTGCATGCAAGCAATGTAGCCACCGCATGTTTGATCACCATCGTCAATACGTGCATGGTTCTGGCCAAGTTAGTGTCTCGGTCAAACGCTTTCCATCCAAGTTCCAGAATCTTCACAATACCATTTTGATGTGGTCCACTTGCAAACTATGCCAACAAGAAACTACATGGATACCAATGTCAGACAATACTTGGAAGTACTCTTTCGGCAAATACTTGGAGCTCAGTTTCTGGAGTACACCTTTGAAGCCGCGAGCGGGCGTATGCCCACACGACATACACAAGGACTTTGTAAGATGTTTCGCATTTCAAGGTCTTGCTGTTAGGATTCAGTGGGACAATGTTGACCTGTACGATGTCTTGGTACCTACGCCGACGATCAATTGGGAAGTCAATGCTGGACTTGAGCTCAAAAATCAGCTCTATCTACACTTCCAAGCGCGTCTATCAGCGTTTATCGCATCTATCAGAGTCCGTCTGAACTCTATCAATCTCTCTACTGTCGCACCAGAGAAGCAAGCTGATGCTTCAGCGACTCTGGAGAAGCTGGCACAGAGAGTAGACAGCGATCATGAGGCACTGTTGCAGAAACTCCAAGACAAGTATATGGCTTCCAAGTTTTACGAAATCATTCCTCTCAATCGAGCAGTCCGCATGATGGACGAGAAGGCGCTCACGTGGGATGAAGAGTTCAATGATTTCGAGACGAAGTTCTTCCCATCAGAGCATGATATCAGAAGACTAGCCACCCTTCAGTTGAAGAAGCTGTTCCTTGATCGAGGCGAAGCGGCTGGAATCTCTCATTATGATCTAAACGATGCCGACGAAGGGATGGAGATGAAAGAGAGGCCATCTCCAGGCATGGGTCTCACCGATGAAGACCTCCAATCGGAAAAGGCTCAACACATGCTTACATCTGTTGTCGAAGAACACGGTCACTCGCATCCTAAAACAGATACCAACATTGACCCACTCGGATCGAGAGAACAAGGTGTCGAGGGTTCAGACAATCCCATTCTGTCCAAACAACTGTCACCCAGCGAAATAGAGCAAGCCGTCGAAAGAGAAGACGTCAAACATCTGGATCTTGCTGTCCCTTCGGCTTTTGCGGACCCACCCGTAGATCAAGAAACTCCTAGAGCTGAGAATGGTCCACAGGAAGGAGATGTGGCGGAGTTGAAGTCGCCCGAGTCGTTCGTGACCGACCCCAAACCGTTGAACTCCAGCATTCTTGAACGTATCGAACAAATGCGTTCCGCTGCTGCCGCTGCTGCTTCTACAAGCCCTGAAGCGGGTATGCCCGAGTCAAGAATACCACGTCTTGTTCGCACTCGAGGTCCCATATCCCCGCCACTTGCTCGAACACAATCTCAGCCTGATGGCATACCGAAGAGAAGTATAGAGTCAAACTTAGAGATGCCAACCATTCATTCAGTTGCCAGTGGCGAGAGTTCTGGTACCACCACACCTACTCCTGGCAAGCACCACAACAGAGATCTGGCCAAATCTATCGAACTTCGATTGAGTGACCGCTTGGGTGGTGGGTACATCAAAGGTGGAAGAGCACAGCAGTCCTTGATACCGAGGTCAGTGCCGAGCAAGGCTTTTGATAACAACACTCGTGTCTCAGCTCTCGCCAAACATTTTGAACAATTATCTCGTGAGTTCGAAAGAGAAAGAGCGCGTGAGCGTAGGCAGCGAGCCGCTCGACGCAGACAGGTCCGCGCCAATCCTCTTGCCAGCAGTAAGCCCGTTGTTGAGGTTTATCGAGATGCTCGCGAAGCTGTGGGAGAAAGAACAGAGCCCGATGTTGTTGATCCTCCCATGAGCGAATCGAATGAAACATCGGATCTGCCAATGGAAGATGTACCTGACCAAAGTTCAGACACCGTTCAAGATCAGCACGATAACGATGATGCCACGGATAATGAGACTGCAGAATCGACCACTGGTCACACTGATACCGATGTTGAAGGCGACACTACTGACAATGATATTCATCTACCCTACAAACCCGGCTTCTCAGATCCTGGCTCAATCTCGGGCAATGGTTCATCTGCATCGCCTCATGATGCGGACTCACACTTGGAGATGACGTTGCCGAGACATGAAAAACATTCCCTGATGAAGATGCTTACAAGCTTCTGGTCTGAGCGGTCGTCATCCGGCTGGATTTCACTTGACTATCCCCTGCACTCTAATGAACACGTCTTTGATGATAGCGACATCATTGTGCGCGAAGACGAGCCCGCATCAGTCATTGCGCTTGCCCTTTCTTCTGCAGATTACACTGCCAAGTTGCGAGAGTTCCGAGGCAACCCCAACGGTGGTTTCCACGGACATCACGGTCACACTGAATCACAATCCAGCTTCAACTTTGCCGCAGACATCAGTAGCAACGATGCCAGCCAGCAATCGGCTATTGAGGCGAGCTTGATCAGTGAGACGGGCACGCACATGAAATATAGCTTCAGCCACAACAACGTCCGCGCGACCTGCAAAATCTTCTACGCCGAGTCGTTCGATGCTCTGAGAAGAAAATGCGGCGTGAGCGAACGATTTGTCGAGTCGCTCTCTCGATGCGCGAAATGGGATTCTAAAGGAGGAAAGACCAAGTCACTCTTCCTCAAGACCCTGGATGATCGTTTTGTCATCAAATCACTGCAGGAAGTCGAGCTCAAAGCTTTTACAAAGTTCGCGCCTGACTATTTCGCGTTCTGTGCGCAGAGCTTGTTCCATGGCGTGCCTTCCGTGATAGCGAAAATGTTTGGCCTTTTCCAGGTTGAGCTGCGCAACCCCTCCAACGGCGTCGAGTTTTCCTCTTATCTTCTCGTCATGGAAAATCTTTTCTACAGCCGCAATCCGACCAGGAAGTTTGACTTGAAAGGTAGTATGCGCAATCGCAAGATTGAGAGCACCGGTTTGCCAGATGAAGTCCTCTTGGATGAAAACCTCGTCGAGACAATCTTCGAGAAACCCTTGTTCGTCAGAGAGCATGCTCGTAAATTGCTCAAAGCCAGTGTATGGAACGATACAATGTGGCTCTGCCGCCAAAATGTCATGGACTATTCCCTGATGGCCGGCTTCGACGACGAGAAGAAGCAATTGGTCGTCGGTATCATTGGTAAGTCTCTCATCTTCCCCCTCTTCCTCATTGTCCGTCACTAACTTTTTCTCGTCACAGATTGCATCAGAACCTACACCTGGGACAAGAAACTCGAATCCTGGATCAAAGACCGCGGCAAGAACAAACCCACCATCACCTCGCCAAAGGACTACCGCAACCGCTTCCGCGTGAGTATGATGCAATACGTGCTCCAAGCCCCCACGGTCTGGCACTCTTTCCTCGCCCCAGGTTTGCCCGTCACGGGCGTGACGTTCAACGCCGCAGGTGGAGTAGAAGTCTCGAGAAATGGCAACAATGCGAATGCGGGGCCAGCGGCAAACGCAGAAGGCAGAAGTGTAGCGGGAAGCTGGGAGGAGAGGAGTACGGTGGAGGATGATCGTAGGTTGGCGCTTACCGAGGGTCAGGTGTTGGATGATGCGACCATCCGGGAGATGTCGACCATGTCGTTTGTCTAGAGTGTTCTGCCGCGTCTTTGCAGGCACTTTTGGCATGGTGGTTGTCATCGTCTTTTTTCTTTTTTCTTTTAGCTCTGATTAATCACAGCAAGCATAGCGAAGGTGTGTTTCACGGGAGTAAGCGATTGGGGTCCATATGCAATGCATCGTCGTATCGTCCTCTCCGACACCCCCGGTTTGCAACGTGTAGACTTATAAAAAGGCAGAGTGGCGTTCATGGATAGCGGTTGCTAAGAGAGAGTCTTTGGACTTGAAACGCTTTCACTGGACACTGCCTACTCTCTCACTCTCTCTCTCACTCTCTCAACAAAATTGTGCTTCACTACAGCTGTCTATAGTACTGAATCTGCCATAGGAAGAGAGGGGATAGCCAGAGATAAAGGTGGGTATAAGAACACGTGGTCGAAAGGGGATAGCGTTCGTCATAGGTGAATTTCGGGATCTAGGTCTTGCTATCAAATACCTTTCCTGCTCTCAGCCGTCACTTCTTTCCGCCAAAGTGGTCCAAGACTGCATAAAATAGTCACAAATGACTCTCAAGCCCTAGTGCTGCGATGCTCTCGAAGTTTGCCATATCTTGTCTCAAAGCCAGATGGCTCCCCGTTGATGATGATGTACATCTCAAGAGCCAACCCNCTGAGTTCGCTCACCACAGCCATCTGCCCTTTGCTTTCTTGAATCCTGCTGACGTTCATCAATTGATCCACTACCTGAGGCGCCGACATTGCATTGGTTCTGTCGAGCTCGATGTCCTCTCCAGTGATTGTTAACGTGTAACCATGAGCAGCGATAACCGCAAGCGCATGCTCAAGTGCCTTGTCGGGATTGTTGCGTGAATAAGCGAATGCACAGTATCGGTTCAAGGTAATCAAGCCGAGGCGTGGAAGACCGCGATAGAACTCTTCTGGGTAGGTGTCTTGGATCTGTGCCAGAAGGTCCTCGAACATCATCACCACCGAACGCGGTTCGACCGTGGCATTCAAAATCGGAAGTCTCTCGAGCACTTCCTTGGCTTGCTGTAGCAGGTACTTGCGTCTTGTGGTTGCCGGACAAGTTCTGTCCGCTTCGCAAAGCTTGCAATCACAACTGAATCCCCACGTACGGAGCGCAGCATCACGCGTCTCGTAGTCTGCATTGACTTCCTTGTACAAAGTGGTGATCTCTTCATCTTTTGCGATATCGCGAGTTGCTCGGAAGATGATCGTGTCGCCGATGAAGCTGTGTTCGGCATTGTATAGACAGGAATGGTTGATGGCCGATGCATGTAGCCAGAGTCCCATGGATCCATCCTTGTTGTCCATTCCTGGAGTCGCAAGAGCGGCGTTGCCAAAACTGGTGAGATCAGGATCGTGAGCATACCCGAAAGAGTTGTATTCGATGATGTTCTCGACACGGAAAATGTCAACAACAGGTCGACCGTCCAGCATGGGAATGTCGAGACTGTCTAGTGGAGGGTAGTTTGGTCCAGCGTAGAGACCCAGTAATCTTGGACCGATACTGGGGTTAGCAAGTACCTTCTGGATGACTGCCGTCCACATATTGCTCTGTGTGCCAAATGTGCCCCTGGTGGCTGCTGGTGGAATCACCAAGTGAAAGCTCTCAGGCACAGCTGGTGACGGCACAAATGCCAGTGCTTTCTCAGAGAGAATGATATCGCCACATTCAATGGCTTCGACAGCGAACAAGCCACGACCATGGGTGTCGGTTTGACGTGCTTCGGTTCTGCGTAGAAAGTCGGCGTGATCGACTTTGGTTCCGTGCGCCTGCGGTCCAGTGGCTGCCCAGAAATTGACACCTGTTAGTTGTTCGGCGATACGTGCCTCTGTACGCTTGAGCTCTCGCAAACCATCGATGTCGTCCGGGGCAATCTTGGTGACTGAGGTGTATGCTGAATGTGCACGGTCATATGCACCAAGCTCGTAAGCTGCACGGCCTGCTCGGAAGAGGGCCTTCATGTTTTGAAAATCTGCAAAATCATCGTTCGTGGTGGTGAGGTCTCGCATGCCGGCCATTGCATCGTGGTATGCTCCGTCCCAACGCTCGAGACAGAGCCGAGCCTGTGCTCGGTTGCGGTGGACGATACCTCCGACGACGTCTTTCGCTTGACTAGCCGTCATGGTGGCAAGTGCCCTGCTGTAACTATTCCACAAAGATCAGCAGGTATTGTGGATGAATGGAAATTGCAGCACAAACCATCTCTCAGCTTCCAGTGGATCATCGCCTTTCAAAGCCTGGTTGCCAGCTTGCTCCCACTGGGTAGGTGATCTTTCGATGACGTTGGCTCTCCAAGCATAGGGTAGCATGGGGTCGTTAGCGTCCAAGAAGAGGATTTCAGATGGATGGTCGATGCATAGGACACAAGCTTCGTCCAAGACAGTCCGGAAGAAAGGTTCTTTGACCACGAAGAAGGACCCATTCTGTATCGCCTTGGACGGGTGACTGGTGACTGCGAAGTCGTGTATGGTAAGAAGTTCGTGATCACCGTTCTCATCCTCAACGGCGATGCAAGTTTGCATCGAGGAATGCATGGCTGAGACGCTGACAGCACGGAGAATAAGCATCAAGCCGTAGTGATGAGTCTCCATTGAGAGGTCACGAAGCATGACNCTGTGGATACGTCAATGATGGCTGAGTTTTGCAATCCATGTCTGACAGCGGCATACCTTGTGAAGAGATGCCATTGAGCAGGAGCTCGGTGTGTGTGCCTCGCTCAAAATCATGTTCCAGGCAATTCTGCGCTGGTCCAGTCTGGGACTGTATAGCTCGGGTGCTTGGCCCGGCATTCGCTCGAGTGTGGGTCTGGGTGCTTGCCTGAGGACCTGCGTTGCACTNGAGATCAGCCGGGGCATCAAGCGATGGATTGGTCTGGAACGCACCTTGGGGGCAAGTCTCTGGAGTACTGCCGCTCGAGAAGGTGCAACTCTTTTGAGGCCTTGACGCTCTCTTGTCTGCTGACGAAGACGAATTTTGGCCACCTCTAGCTCTGCCTGTACCATCTCGAGCTTTTGACCTGGAGTGATAGGAGGTGAAGCCAGAGGAACGGCGGTCTGGACAGTGGGAGCAGTGGATTGAGCCATCGTGGTAGTGAGTTGAGCCATCGGGGCAGTGGGCTGGGCTGAGTAGGGTGGTGGTGGCGTGACGGGTTCCATCTTTGTTAGCAGTGCATATAACGATGTAGGAGCAACGTGAAAATGAAAGTATCAATGTTAGTGAGGTATAGATTGTCGTTGGGTGAAAACTGTAGGTACCTGTAGAGATGACAAATAGAATAGTGTGAAAGTCGAAATGGCAGCTGATCTAGATGAGAAAGAGCAAACAGAGTGCTCCTACTTAGATTGTTTCAAAGCGAAACGTCACGGATGACGAAGTAGTCGTTTGTCGCCGCAAAGGGAAACTGCATACCTCACAGGGAAGCTGCATGTGAAGAAGCGACAGCCCGATTGATCGTGGAACCTGAGGTTACACTGCGAGTCCCGAAGATGCCGCTATCAGGATAGTCGATGACATTCTCGCCATTGAGGCCTCACCTGGGGTGTATTTTCAGCAGTTCGAGATCGCATCAATACCGCCTCAATGTCTGCAAAGCGTCGTGTCAATAGGATGTCTATAAAAACGCACAATAAGAACTTTGGAACAGCCGAGGAAATCGACTGAGCGATGGATCAAGCCCGAACATGGCAGACTTTTCCATGGTCCATACGACGTCGATTTCAAACTTTCTGCTGATCAGTCTCTGTCATCAGAAACGAGATGTATAGCCATGTCTGTATCGGGATCTCGGCAAGAGAAGGCATGTATACCGTACTCTACCCATCCTAGCTCACCGAGATGCTGATAATCTTGATGTCCTCCATTGGCTTCTCCTTCCACACTTTTGCGTTCTCTATCCTGTGTACCACATCCATACCTCTGACCACTCGTCCAAAGATTGTATGCTTATCGTCCAACCACGGCGTTTTCTCAGTGGTAATGAAAAACTGACTGGCATTGGTATTCTTGCCAGCATTTGCCATGCTGACAGTGTAAGGCTTATCATGACGCAGAGCAGGCGTGAATTCGTCTTCGAAGTTGGTGCCCCAGATGCTGTCACCTCCAGTACCATCGCCCAAAGGATCACCAGTCTGAATCATGAACTTGCGAATGATACGATGGAAGATGATGCCATTGTAGTAGTCGTTCTTGCTGTGAACGGTAAAGTTCTCCACGGCCTTTGGGGCGTGCTCGGGGTACAGACGTATCTGAATGTCGCCCATAGATGTGTGGATAGTAGCAGATGAGCCTGTCTGAGCCTTTGCGGCTTCAGCTTGTTGTTTGGTTGCAATAGTGCGCGGCTTTTCGTTGTGAATATCGCGGTCGGATTTGTTGATATCTGTGTCGTTCGTGAACATGTAGAAGCGCACTTTTCCTGATCCTGTGGCCACGAGCATTGAGTCACGAGCTTCGGCTTGTTGAAGTAACGGGTTATCACTGGCAGCCATCTGAACGGTAACGACACCCTTCTTCTCGGGTTGACCCTGGTAGAGCGCCAGATTGAGGGCTCTGAAAGGCTCCTCCTTGCCGTAAACCTTGACAACACGGTTGGTCAAGGTGTTGATGACCTTGGTGCCCAGGATGGATCCATAGAGAATGAAATTCGCTGTTTCGTCGAAAATGACGTTGATGCGAGCGCGAACGGCAGGGTGCTCAATTTCCCGCTCGACACCTAGTCTGCGGCCGAATTCAACGTCGTCCAGTTTATCAATAGCAGTTCCAGCCTGCTGCATTTCGGTGATGGTAGCAAGAGACTCATCATAAGTTCTATACAGTTTGCCAGTGGGAAAGTCGAAGATGCGGACTTTGCGATCGGGAAAAGACATGGTCGCGAACTGCTGGCCGGTGGGAGACATGGTGATTGATGAGGGAACCGACTTGGCCTTCTTGAAGTCGAACAAGTTGGTCGAGCTCTTTATGGAAAAGACATTGTCAGGCTTCTCATAGTTACTCGTGGGGCTCCAGTACTCGATCATGCCGCCTTCATCGACAGATACAACGCAGTCGTAGTGATGGTTGTACGACATGAGCGAGACTGAGACCCTGTGAAGCTTCTCCAGCTTGTGCAGTGGTGTGGTGTTTTCGCCTCTGCCGTCGTATATTGTGATCTGCGGACTCGCTTCATGAGACACAGCCAGGAGTGGGAGAGAGGCGCCACGGCCATGTACAAAGCACACGGATCTGGGAGCAATGTCGGGGGTCAACATAGCCAGTAGATCGAAGGTGATGACATCGAAGATCTTGACAGAGCCATCGACACCTGCCGTCGCGAAACTACGACCATCGGCGCCCACGCTCACGCTCTTGACTTCTCCCTCGTGTGCCTTGAACTCCTTGACGAACTCGATACCGTCTGCCACCTTTTTCCAGAACTTGACTGCGCCGTCGATTGAAGTGGTAATGAGGAAGTCGGTGTGGGGGGTAAAGGTGTTGAAGCATAGTTGGTCTTGGTGCATCATTGATTTCGAGTAGCGAGGCGAGGCGGGTAGGGCGGCGACGTAGAGCTTCTCGTATGGCAGTTTCCTACGNCTTCTTATGCTTTGGTGCAGCTGCCGACGGCAGTGCGGGTCCAATGTCATCGTCGTCGTCCGAGGATGTGTCTTGTGAGGGTTAGCAACATGTTACGAGAAAGACGGTCGGGTCGCATGCTCACCGTCGGCGTCGTCGTTGGTCGCATTGTCGTTCTGGTGGGTCGCATGCTCGGCCTCAAGCTGGTCCCTCGTGCGCTTTTTGCCTTGAGGCGAGGCGACAGGTGCTGCGTCTGCCATTGCGGTGGTTGGTCAATGGGAAAAGAGTGGTCGGTGTCGGCACATTGCTTGCCGATGGCCATCTTAGACGCCAGAATGCGGGCCGAGCCGGACGTGAGTCACGAACCTGAAGCTTCCACCGCTTCCTCGTCGATGTCATTGGCGGGGCGCAGAGAGTCTTCGTTTCCTTGTGACAATTCGTCTGTTTGCCTTGCCACCTTCTACCTTCAACTAGCCACACTCTCGACTCTCCTCGCGCTTTCCACTTTCGAGCGTTTGTTTGTCTTTGTCCCGTTCTATCAGGCCGCTTTTTATTGAGCCTGCCATTTCCTTTGCTGCATCAACACCTCTTGCTACGCCTGTCCGTCACTAACCACTACCAATTCACCACCACAATTTCACCACTTCCCCATACGACTTTGACCGCCACAGCAACCATGTCTACCGCCGAGACCGCATCTTTGCCTCTACCCGAATCTCAACCTGCCCGCCCGGCCAACCGTCCTCGCAACCGTAGACCTCGCGGCGAGAGAAATCCCAATCCACCAACCCAGCCGGATGAGCCTCAATCAGACGCTTCCAATCCCGGTCGCAGACGGAGAGGTGGTGGAGGAAGAGGACGCGGTGCTCGCGATTCTCTTCTTGCTTTGAGACCATCCTCAGTCGCTCCCTCTACTCAACCACCATCCATCGATCCTTCGAGTGCCGACGTGTCAGCCACAGAGACCACTACTCGCAACCAGAATTCGCGACGAGGCAGAGGCGCCGCACGGGGTGGAAGAGGAGGAGCAAGAGGTGGCAGGGCAGGAGAAAACAGAACTGTCAATGGCAGAGCCTTTGGTGGCCAACTTACCTCGGATGGCGAATTGCAGGCCGATGCTACCACCTTTGTTCCTGGACAACCTATCCTCACCCAGGGTGCCACTTCACAACAAACCCAACCTCGTTCGCAACGGCGCCGCCTTTCCAAATCTACCGCTCCCGACATTGCCACCCGTACACACCACGATATTGACAATGGTCACTACGAATGCCCCATTTGCACCAGCGAAGTCCTTCGCAATTCGAAAGTATGGTCTTGTCATACTTGCTGGACTGTCTTCCACATGTCTTGTGTCAAGAAGTGGTCTCAGAACCAAGGATCTGCCGCTGCTCAGCAACAGGGTCGAGAGAACGGCGAAATCCCACCTCCTCGCCAATGGAGGTGCCCTGGATGCAACCTTCCGAAAGACACTCTACCCAAGACATACACTTGTTGGTGTGAGAAGGAAGTCGAACCGCGTGCAGTCACTGGTCTGCCCCCTCACTCTTGCGGAAACACCTGTGGCAGAGAGCGAGTCCGCAAATGCCCCCACCCCTGTCAATTGACCTGTCACGCCGGCCCTTGTCCACCGTGTACCCACATGGGCCCTACACAGACTTGTTTCTGCGGCAAGCACGAATCAAACCGCCGATGTACCGATACCGACTATGAGAATGGCTGGAGTTGCGGTGAGGTTTGTGGTGACCTCATGCCTTGTGGAGAGCACGAGTGCCCTAGACCTTGCCACGAGGGTCTTTGCGGAGCTTGCGAAGTGCGTGTCGATGCTCGTTGCTACTGTGGTCAGGTCGAGAAAGCTTTGCTATGCGCTGACCGTGGTGATGAAATCGCAAGCCACAAAAAGCATGTTGCTGAGGACGGCCAAGAAGTTGTCGAAGAGTGGAATGGCATGTTCGCTTGCGCCAATTCCTGTGATCGCGCCTTCGATTGTGGCATTCACCATTGCCAGAAGCCTTGCCATCATCAAGAGACCGACCCCGGCCACTGCCCCCGTTCTCCTGATGTCGTAACGCACTGCCCATGCGGCAAAACTAAACTCTCGGATATCTCGCCTGAAGCTCGCACTTCTTGCGAAGATCCTATCGCAAATTGCAAGAAGCCATGCATGAAGAAGCTTCCCTGTGGACACCCTTGCGAACAGTTGTGTCATTCTGGCGCTTGCATGCCTTGTCTGAAGGCTGTTTCCATCAGCTGTCGTTGTGGCAGGACAACTTCAACCACCATCTGCCATCAAGGCAAGATCGAGCCTCCTCAATGTATGAGAGTTTGCAGAGCCACCCTCAACTGTGGTCGTCATGCTTGTGATGAACGCTGTTGCGAGGGCGAGCGAAAGGCTGCTGAACGACAAGCCATTAAGCGCAAGGGTCGCAAACTCGAGGAGGCTCACATCCGACCTATAGATGATGGGTTTGAGGCTGAACACATTTGCACTCGGCCTTGTGGTAGACCTCTCAAATGCGGAAACCACTTCTGCGAAGACCTCTGCCACAAGGGTCCTTGCGGATCTTGTCGAGAGGCCATCTTTGACGAAATCAACTGCAATTGCGGTCGTACCGTCCTGACGCCTCCCCTTCCTTGCGGTACCCAGCCTCCGCCTTGCCGCTTTCAGTGCAATCGCCCCAAGACGTGTGGTCATCCTCAAGTCCAGCACAATTGCCACATGAACAATGAGAGCTGTCCAAGATGTCCTTTCTTGGTTGAGAAGCGCTGCATGTGCGGCAAGAAGAGTCTCAAAAACCAGCAATGCTGGCTGAAGGACGTTAGCTGTGGACAGATTTGTGGCCGAAAGCTCAAGTGTGGCTCCCATTTCTGTACCAAGCCTTGCCACCGTGAGGGCGACTGTGAAGATGCTGGAGGTCGGCCTTGTCAGCAGCCTTGTGGAAAGCCCAAGAAGGCGTGTGATCACCCTGACGAAGCCATTTGTCACGCCCCCACTGCATGCAAAGAGGACAAGGCTTGCACCCACAAGATCTTCATTACTTGTGAGTGTCAGGCTCAGAAGCAGGAAATGAGATGCAATGCGTCCAAGACCAGCGAAGGCAATCTCACAAAGTCTCTGCCTTGCAACGAAGAGTGTGCCAGACTGGAGCGCAATCGCAAATTGGCGCTCGCGCTCAACATTGATCAAGAAGCACATGTTGAAGGTGGTGACCATGTCCCCTTCTCCAACGAGACTCTCAACCTCTATGCAGCTCACCCTACTTGGGCAACAAACCAAGAGCGCGAGTTCCGTGTATTTGCAGCTGCAGATGATGAGAAGAGGTTGAGATTCAAGCCCATGACAGCTACTCAGCGAGCCTTCATCCATCATCTCGCTGAAGATTTTGGTCTTGACTCGGAAAGCATGGATCCTGAACCTCATCGCCATGTTGCCATCTTCAAGACACCCCGTTTCGTCCGATCGCCACCCAAGACGTTGAAGGAGAGTGCGCGCATCAGAAATGCTCAGCGTGTGGCATCCGGCAAAGCGGTTGCCAGCAGCGAAGCATCAGCGAACCAAGTACGTGCTAACGAAGTTGGTGAGCCTTTCAACAGCTTTGTCATCGTGCGTCCCCGCTTCGGTCTCATTATTGAGGAAGTCAGGACAGAGTTGGCATCTTTCGCTCTTCCCGTGCAATTCGACGTCGAATTCTTACCCAACGAGGAGGTCATCATCAAGGCCATTAGTCGTACTCTTGATGAGCAGGCACTTGACCAGACGCTCAAGAACGCCAAGGCTCCCATTGCTACTGCCATTGCAGCGAAGAGCCTGGGTACCCTTCAACTTTGTCGTACAGACTCCTCGCTCAACATCACTCGTCGCGAGACTGAAGGCGGTGTCAGTGATGGTTGGTCCCGTGTTGCCGCGAAGAGTGCGGCATCACGTCGTCCTCTAGTTACGACAGCATCTTCCAACAACAACCTGTTCTCTGCTCTTGCTGGTGGGAACAAGGTTACCTTTGCCAAGAAGAAGGAGAAGAAGCCGGTCGTACCCGTAGAGCCTGTTGTCGATGATTGGGAAGCGGCAGAGATTGCAGAGGAAGAGAAGGAGAAGTTGGTCAGTGGTCACAACAGTGGTGCAGAGGATGAGACGCCAAAGGTTGAGGACAATGATGTTGCTGAGGTTGGATCGCTTGAGGCTGCGAATGGCAGTGGTGAGGCCGAGGCTGAAGCTCCTGCAGTGGAGACTGTGTCCGAGGTAGCGCCAGTCATTGACAACGCACACAGTGAGGTAGTTGTGACAGAGCCAGCGGTCGTCGATTCTCTAGCTGAGCCTGAACGGGTCAAGGAAGCAGAGACAGCATAGTTGCCGTTCTCTTCAACGAGATAGATAAATCCATGGGTTGACCATCAATGTATTTCTTGGCACCTTTTCATCAAAGACATTCTCGCGTGCGATCGGTTCAGACAGTGCTAGACAACCAATGCATACAGAGTTTTCCTTTTCATGAGGATTGAGGTGTTCATCGATCAACGACCCGACGCTCATATTCCGTCGTGCCTTGCAGCAGATTACCCAACAGCCGCGAACTGCATGAGGATGAAAAGTGAATGGAAAGTTGCGCAGCAGACTGAGAGTGACATTTTTAGAGAAGAGAAGCTGTCATGTGCTAGAATCTCTAGCACGAGATGAACTTGGGCGTTTGCATAATCAGAGGTGAGACATGCAGTGAATCATCAGCGGTCAAACAAGCAAGGCAGCTTCCTCTATCCATAAACCAACACCCTCCGCACCTTCCTTCTTCTTCTTCAGTCCCACCAACACTTTCACTCGGTCCCTTGATCTAGCAGTCAAAGGTCAAGAATACTTCTTACCAGCTTTCTCCTCTCACCGAATCTCTTTGCACATCAGAAGACTTTGACTTCTCACATCACACAACACACTCGCCAAAATGTGCCAACTCTGCATTCTCAACACCATATCGCAAAGCTCACGCTGGCCCAAGCCGCTGGAGTCACTCATCACAGACTTGGGCCTTCTCGTCAGCACCGCACACGCCGAACTCCATGCCCACCAAACCCGTGCCGCTTCCACAGCTCAAAACACCAAGCCATCACCCACATCAACCCCATCGACAATCACAANNTCACCAAAAAAAGCCCATCCACGCAAAAACACTTCCCTGCTGACCACCCTCCGCGACATCAAGACCGTACTCGAGTTGCTTGAAGACGAAAGAGCGGATTGGTGGACCAACAAAGCAAGTGAGAGAAAGCATTGGAGGGAATCCCATCAAGAAGACAAGATTAGAAAGATCAATGTGGTCAATAATAAGACCGTGGAGATGATTGAAGGGTGCAAGGCTAGATTGGGCACGTTTTGTCGTTGGGGGTTAGGGATTGAGGAGGGGGTTGAGGGACTTGATGGGGTTGAGGAGGAGTTGAAGGAGGTGAAGACGGAGGAGGTCAAGGCGGGGGATATCAAGACAGAGGAGACTGAGGGACAGAGCTCGTGACTCTGACAATGATACAAGAGAACGAGAAAGAAGGGAGGGTCCGATGCGAAGGAAGAAGTTGCTTTGATCACTGATGACTCGACGATCTTCGGGAAGAGCTTCTTGAGCCATCTACTTCCCATGCTCTTAGTCCACGACAGTATAGTCCACCGATTACCGAGAACAAGAGATGTGCAGCTACAAACTTCGAAACCCTATCCATTGGTTTGTGACAGGGTTTTACCTTCGACCACATTTTCTTGACACACACATCTCTCTGACATGTTACTCTGTACACCTGAAACACCCTTGACCGTATGATAAACTCTTCAGTGATGTTTCAAATATCCAGGATCATCTGAACTGCCCGTCGGGTGGAGTATAAACGTGTAATACAGCTTGACATGGAATACTAAAATATTGTCTTGTTGGAGTGGTAGCGATGTTTTTACTGAAAGCAATGTGACAAAGACGATAACACCCAGCTTGTAAACTCCCCAGCGCCGCGCTTAAGAAAACTCATCGAAGCATGTCTCTCTCTTGTCCTTTGATGTCGTCGATTCAATTGTGTCTCACATCTTGACACGCAAGAGGTAGCGCAGGCGGACTTGAGCGATATCGTAGCAAATATACTCGTTGTACAAGAGATAGGCACCAGGGACGTTGGTGTTACCAGGGTCTTCGGTGGTGTCGGGCNNTATAAGACGTTAGATTTGGATAGATCTAAGGGGTCTAGGGAGAGATCATACCATGTTTGCACCAGCAAGGGAGGGATGAATACATCCGGCATCTTTCCAGGCTTTGGGTGCGGTCTTACCTTGACCCCAAGTGGAGAAGGCGCCCATCTCTTTGGCGGTCTCGGCTGCTTGGTAGCTGGCATTGGTGAGAGTCTGCATCGGCTTGCCCAGTTCAGCCTCGCAAAGCAGGAGGAGTGCATGACCGTCTGAATCGTAGGAGGAACAGTAGTTGGCACTTTTGCTGCTCATGTCGGCCAGATAGATGCCNCTGTTGTATCTGTAAGTAAAGGTACCAAAACCTGGAAGGATACACCATACTTTGCCAAACATGTAACCGTTGACGGGAGCTTCAGGCGGAGCGATACGAAGACCTTGACTGAGGATTCCCGAAAAGTTGGTTGATCTGCTGCCGTGCCACAAGAGGCGGCGGTCACTTTCGACAGTAGCATACTTGCTCTTATCAAATCTCTCAAACTCTCCTCCGCGTTGAATGCGGAAGATGTCCTGCACTTCGTACTTAACGGCGTGGGTCGAACCGCAGGTCTTGTGGAGGTACTGGTTAATTTCGGAGAACTCTGAGCTCGAGGGCTCAAGAGTCTGCATCTCTTGCATGCCGAGGCCTTGAAAGCGCGAGTCGAGAGGATGGATCTGACTGGTCGTCTCCTTTGCTTTCTTCAAGATCTCATCGGCATTCTTGAGATCGCTCAAGCTGTCCAGCAACTCTATCTCTGGTTTGAGCATGTCGATTGTGCGGATGATTGGCGGGCGGTTTCTTCCAAACGAGTGAGGGATGTAGCTGTAGTATTGGTTACTCAGCTCTTCAAAGCCTTGCAAATTTGGAGCAAGTGATGTATCGCTCATCAAGGCAGAGAGCTCCTTAAGAATCTCGAAGCCTCTGGTGATGGTGGCCTTGCTGAGCTTTCCCAGTGGAAGCTTGTTGACATCGTAGTTGAGGGACTGCATGGTATTGGCAAAATGCTTTTGGTTGAAGATGAGCTCCATGAGCGATTGGATGGGTGGATCCAGTGTGCATTTGGGTGGTGTGTATGCGGCTTCCTCATCGTCGCCATCAGGAGAAGCACCGGACTGAGCAGGAGCATCGTCATCGTCGGCAAGGTAGCTACGTTCGACGAAGACATACTTCTTAGGCTTGGGCTTCTCGCCTCTGTCGTTCCATCTGAGGCCAGATTTGTCCTTGAATTTCTTGTCAAATTGGACAAAAGCATCTCCAAGAGAACCATCTCCGAGCATGGCGGATTGTCCGTGCTCGCCGACGCGGCCCCAACGGGTCCATGTCTGGTATTTCGTACCAGAGCTACTCTCCAGGAGCTGNAGAAGGTATGTCAGCTTGGCCAAGCCGGGAAGATAGAGAATCATTTATACCTGAACGCGGTAGAATTTGTTGTTGTTGTTCGAAGCATTGGTCTGGTTGAGCGAGGCATCGTAGATTATACCGGTGTCGGGGTCAACAAAGACATGCCAACCAGAAGAGACACCCTCATCGATAGGAATGTCGAGGTTCGCTCCTGCTGGGGCGAATTGAGCTTCAGTGATCTTGGGAGTGGGTTTGACAGTGTTGGTAGGAGTGTCGGCGGCAGTAGCAGGCGGCTCTGGCTTTGGCTTTTTCGGCTGATTGGGCCGAGTGGGGGCAGCTGGCACGGGCGAGGACGCCTTTCTCTTTGTCGACGAGCGCGTGCTTGTCTTCACTTCGACTTCGGCATCATCAGCATCAGCATCTTCGTCCTCATCCTCGTCTTCGGCTGGTTGTCCTGACGCGGCATCGTCTTCTTCGAGAGCGTCAATGATCAGCTGTTTCTTGGAGAGTCCTGTGGCTGAAAGTCCGCGTTGCTTGAGTAGGTCCTTGAGCTCGGCGACTTTGAGCTTCGAGTAGTCCATGCCGGAGGTCGTTGTACAGTTCGGTCAATTCAGGTTTGTTGGAGCAGTGATGAGAGGATGAGCCTGCCAATTGCAGCGCAGGCCCAAGGATTATTTGAAGGAAGCGACTTGAGTTGCAGGTCGTCGGAATAGCAGGCAGAAGCGGCGGCCTTGGCGGACAAGGTGCGACGCTGCTGCCCGCTGCTGCCTCAGGACCACGCGCGCCACGCCATTTCCGCCTGCCGTTCGTCACCTGCTTTAGTTCGCCCTTTGAGCTTGCTTTGTTATACAGTGATCGCGCACACGCAAACAACCCCAACTCTTCATTGTTTTCATCGCTTTTCCACTCACAACAACCTCACCATGGCTCTCGTCGACTTGCCACCCGAGCTGCTCTTGCGTGTAGCAACCTTTCTCACCACCTCTGAACTTGGCCATTTCAGACTCACTTCTAAACACATCGAAGAAGTAATATTTGACAGCTTCGCTCGCGAGTTCTTCACAAAAAAGCAATTCATGCTGGAACAACCCAGTCTCAAAGCTCTGATCGACATCTCCAACCATCCAACTCTTGCCTCTCGTCTCTCTGAGGTCGTCATCAGTACTCATGTCCTTCCTCCGGATCCAGAAATTGTCACTTCGACTGGAAAGGCCATGTACGACGCTGGCTACGTCAGTCACGACGTCCTCATGGCTACCGGTCAAGCTCTCTACATGTTGTCGACTGCCTTCTCCAATCTGCCGAACCTGCGTACTGTGGGCTTACGAGATTACAACGGTTTGGGCCGTTACCGTGACGGACCATGGGCTACTTGGAAAAGCTGGGGTTGGTCTTTTGGCTGGGATGGTCTAGCTACTTACGACTCAAACGACAGAATCGGCCAGCGAGCACTCATGATCATGCCACCAGAACCTATCCTACCTCTGCTGTTCTATGCTCTGGGCCACGCCAAAGTCTTGCCAGAAAGCATTCACGTCTTTCTGCGCAAGCGCGCAAAACTTACCCAGCAGTCCTTCAACATCCTTGATGGTTACCTGGGCGAGAAGATTGGACCTGTACTGGGTAATATGAAGGACTTGATGTTGGCTATCGGAAGCGAAAGAACAGGCTATTCTTCTCTTATAACTGCTCTACCGACGAAACCTGGGATTTCCACCAATGCTCCTCTATCACGCCTGCTGCAATGCACGCCCAAGCTTGAGACTTTACGCCTGAACTTCGAACAGGGCCAGCCGGCTTACTCTGGTTTTCTGAACTGGCTCGGATCCTCAGCTTGTAATACACAAATCCTCTCTTCAGGCCCAGTTGCCGGGCCCGTGTCCTTGCCTCGATTGACTGCTCTCGAGCTGGGCATGGTCACCGTATCGAGTGCGGCTCTGTTCAATGTCCTCACCAAATTCAACTTGGTGTCTTTCAGCCTGTGGAAAGTCCAGCTTCACGCTTCATCAGCCAGCGAGCCAGAGGATTGTTGGCAAGCACTGCTCCAGGATCTTACGGCTGCTCTACGCGACAATACATGTCTCAAATCCGTACTAATTGGGTATCCATCGCAGCTGCATTGCGGCAGAAGCGACATAGAACAAATCTGCTACTTCAAGCCTGTCGGAGCTGGCGATGAAGATACTTCTGGGATGAAGTCAGAAGCAAAACATCACGCAGGACCAGGTACAATGATGGGTGACTGGTTGGACGAGCTATCCAAGCGTACGTATGTCCCACCCGTAGACGACGATTCAGATTCCGACGGAAGACTCTGGGATGTAGATGAAGAACTCGAGGAGAGCGACGACGATAACGGGGATGGTGATGATCATGATGATAACGACGAAGTTGATGAAACAGACGAGTGAGATGAAGATGGCTCGTTGTAGTCACACCGAGTGTAGTAGCTTCTAGTAGCTTGGCTGGTGTAGAGAAAGCGGAATGGATGCAGCAATGCGAATTATTATGTTCAGTGATGTTCTCTTGTTTTGCAAAGTCACTGTCAAGTTTAAGCTTTCGGCTAAATGGAGTATGCTTAAGTCAGTCGCAGTGTTGGTGTTTTGGTGTTGGCCACAGATTGCAAGACCAAGGAGCCAAGAACAGCAGCTTCTTCGGGGAAATGAAGCTGCAGGAGTGTTATAGCACATGGATTAATTCACGATTGCGTATCGGGTTCGGCTCTTTCTCCATACCAGATCTCCAAGTGATCAGTGAGTGAGATGGACGCATGTCGGTGCGAGATGTCGCGATGTCACTGTGTCGCATGTGAGCTGTCTTGGCAGTGACATACTGGAATCTGTGCCGCGTGCAAGCGCGCTATGTAACCGTCGGGGGTTTGTCACGGTCTGCTGTTGTTATCATCTGTCGACAGCGATTGTGTTCCTGGACGAGAAATGTTGGCTTGCAGACTGTTGTTTCTGCAAAACTCATCGACGCTGACATTTCGAGCGCTTCCTCGGACGCATTGGATAGCACAGCGATATAGCAAACCGGCATTACGTCAATACTCCATCATGGCTGGCCAGCGTGTTCATGGCGACTTGAACAATACCGAAGTCATGCGAGAGACCAATTTCCTGGTTCCGGACTGTACTTACGATGGAAAGACACTGGCTCTTCCTGAGAACGAGGACGATGCATCAATCAGATCACAATACAGACCATTCATCACAAGCCCGGAAGTGGCGAGCAGCGACTGGATCTCTCAATCCGAACTCAGCACCGCATTAAAACTGTCCGAAGCAGACATGGTAAAGACCGGAGGCAACAGACTCAAGATCTTGGTGCTATATGGCAGTTTGCGGGAGAGGTTAGATCCATTGATCGCAAGAACCGATGAGAATCAAAGTTGCTGATAAGAAATGTTTATCAGATCGTATTCGCGCTTGTTGGCCTTTGAATGCTCGCGCATACTTTGGCGCTTGGGTGCTGATGTTCGTGTTTATGATCCTGCCGGGTTGCCGGTCAAGGATGATGTTCAGCATCAACATCCAAAAGTGCAAGAGTTGCGTGAGTTGAGTAAATGGAGTGATGGCCATGTTTGGGTATCTCCTGAACAACATGGCAATCTAGTATGTACAATTCCTGGACGAGTAATTACTCTTCTGCTAATGATCACAACAGNNACTGCAGTATTCAAGAATCAAATCGACTGGGTCCCATTGAGCACAGGCTCGGTCAGACCAACCCAAGGACGCACCCTAGCAATCGCTCAAGTCTCTGGCGGCTCGCAATCCTTCAACACCGTTAACTCTCTCCGCATCCTCGGTCGCTGGATGCGCATGTTTGCAATTCCCAATCAATCTTCAGTACCAATGGCATATACTCAGTTCACCGATGCACACGATGAACAAGACCACGACGCTTTTATCAAGGCCGAAGGCGGCAGCAGACTCAAGCCTTCAGGCAATCGAGACAGAGTCGTCGATGTCATGGAGGAGTTGTTCAAGTACACCCTCGTCATGAGAGAACACTTTGGTTTATTCGGCGATCGACACAGCGAGCGAAAAGAAAAGGAAGCCAAACGACTGAGAGAAGTCGAAGTTACCAAAAAGGAAGAACAAGCAGGCCAAGAAGGCAATGCAACGAGTATGATCACTGCAAAGCTCGTCAACGGCATTGATGTCAACGGAATCTGAAAGGACGATGAAGAAAAAGAGTCAATTTTGAACGCCTGCCATGAGGGGTATCATAAAGTCCACCGAGAGAACCCCAACCCAAAAAGCCGAATAATGTACAAGAATAGAAGGAAATAAACATCAAAAAGTCATACAAATGACTCGAGCTCACAGACCCAGATTCACAATCCTGATGCCACGATCTTTGGCAAAAGACACCCAATCGACTTGAGCAGCATTGCCACCGAAATCAGCTCGTGTCCTCTGCTCCGCACACACTGCTTCGAGTAGCTCGCGCGATTTGGTGACGTTGCAGCTGATGCCGGTGCCTTCCATAGCGCGCATAATACCAATGGCACGGTTCTTGTCGTGGTCATTGGCGCTGTTCACGCCGGCCAAGAAGACAGAGAAGATGATGTGATGTTGCTCGGTACCCTTTTCTGCAACCACTAGAGCAGCCATGGAGAGAATGTGACGACAATGGTTGGCGACTTCCTTGCGTTGGGTCGATGTCATGTAAATGCGTTGACCACGATACATGCTTGTGTGCAAATACACCAGGGCTGTAGAGTATTGAAGAGATGCCTGAATTTACTGTCAGCCTTCTGTTTCGCAAGTGCAATATTCTGCCCGGGCAAGCAAAAAGAGAAAAATAAAAAAAATAAAAAAACTTACAAAANNGTCAAACACTGTCCGAGCAAGGGTTGGCAGTCTTGTGCCAGCTTCTGGCGAGTCCCGGGGCAGGAAGGTCGGGTACTTGGAGTTCCAAGACGAGTACAGCTCATTTCGAAATGCTGCCACAGCGTCTTGATGTTCCGCGATACTACCACGACCGGCTTCAAGATCTTCCCGCATTCGCAATGCCAGCTGACTCAGTTCCGCAAACCGCGTACACATGTATTTACCGAGCTCAGACACTGCAGATAGACCTGCTATCTCAAGATTAGGCTGGTGAGTTGAACATTCTGGTTGGCGCCAGGTTGGTAGACTCGCGCCGTGCATCAAATATGTTCGGACAAAAGACCCAGACTCTGTGTTTCCAGTCAGGCACGATTGTGCATCCAAGAAGAGGGTGTACCAAAGGACATATGCTTGTAACTCTGTGACTTCGGAGTTGTCTCGGGAGTATGCTAGGCGAGCGAGTTGTTGGAAATGCTGTGACCACATGACTCCGTCCGGTGAGCAGTTCTGAGTCGCACAACAGATGTCGTAAAGAAGAAGAATGAAGTGAAGATATATAAAAGAGCCTTGTGACATATCTGTACTCGACATGCATGCGGAGATGGCTTGATGATAATGTTGGAAGGCTCCTGCTAGGAGATGTCGTTGCCCTTTGAGCGCCAGGCTCAGCAGTGTAATGGCGCAGATTGCGTGGTATAANCTAGTTGGTCATCAGCAGGGATCTTTTGCTTGAATGTAGACAAGACTCACAGGTGGAAAAGATCGTGATTCTATAACGATAACGTCCTCTTGGCCGTACTCGCTCAGTCTGAACCTCGATCCGAGAGGCATCATTCTCTTGGATATGAACTCTTTGTAATGTGCCATGACTTCATCAACGTCTCCAGTTCCATTATTCGTAAGATCCCGTTGGACCGACGGGGTATAAGAAGCTTGAGTCGTGTAGCTTGTAAATGAAGACTTGCGCTCGGGAAGGGCCATGAAATAAGGTGTGTCCTCGAATTCGGAAAGAACAATCAGATTAGGGTCTTCTGAGAAGCCATACCTCGAAGATCCGCTTCCGCTTCGGTATCGTCTGATCAGTCCGCCATATTCTGGTAATCGACCAAAGCTCTCTGGTGTGAGGATGACGTTGAAGGTTCCAGGAGGTTGTGTCAAGGCTTTCCTTTCTCTTTCGTCTTCGTTGCTGAGTTCGGTGAACGGCGGTAGTGTTGGCTGATGTCTAGTATATAGTTGACGAGCCATCAGACGTGCTTGATTCGTTTCGTCCCAAGATGGGCTTCCGGCAACCGACACGTGCTTATGCCTCCGTCGTGTGCGTATGCTCAAGTCGTCAAATTTCCATCTCTGACCCCATTCACACTCTTTTCCTAATCGGCAACATGACGCGCATACCGGTCGAACCTCGTCACATTTGACCTTTCTCTGGCGACATGTCCAGCATCCATTCCTTGACCTCGGTTTCGATTGTCGTGTGCCCGGTCGTCGTGGCTCGCCGATCGCCGAATCAACGTCTGAATTTGATCCCGATGATTGTGATTTGGGAGGACTGGACCCGAGTGCCGGACCTGCGATCACTTCCTGCCCTGATCTTTTCAGGGGACTTGTGAACACAGCGTGACGACTCATGACCTGATAGTCCCGAAGAGCATGGGGCAGCGAGCCCTCGTACTGATGTTGTTTGACAGCGGCGGTGTTGCGGGCGTTTGAGGCCGGGCGGTAGCAAGGGTGAGACTGTCGGTGGTCATAAGATAGAAACATTTAAATTGAAAAAGAATTGTCGACAAATATGAAGCTACAAGTACAGCTTTGAAGACTGAATAAGTCAAGTGTGTAGAGTTCGAAGGATTTCAATTTGCTCCTTGAAACAGGGTACATATGGATCGATGGGGCCTTGGGATCAACTGTTTAAGTTAACTTAAGTTGCACCCTGATGCTTCCCTTGCAAGTTGCTCGGACGAGAAATTCTTAGCTTTTAGGGAAACTGCAGAAGCTTAAACAGCGTTGCGCTAACGCACCTCACCATGCGGCATACGGCGTGCCTCTGAACATACCGTTAACTACCTGATCTCCTCGAACCTTGGTTCCGTTTCCGTATTGTGCCTTTGACGTCAGTCCCGGCTGCCGCGCCAAACGCTTCATGTACAAGTACCGTATGGTTGTGCTTGGGCTGCGTGCAAGGAACTGCTCAAGAATTGTCGGTGGCGCTGCTGGTACATTGGATGACCGGTAGCTTTGGGGGCCAAACCTCCGGACTAGACATCGACTGTGTCGAGCTTTTCCTACTGCGAAAAAAAACACAGCCACCGTTGACATGTGTCGTTTGTCGGCACGGCTCAGAGCAGACAAGCGGTTTCTCGAAGAGGCCAGAGCGCCAATATATGATCCCTACAACCATCATCTCAGAGATCAGATGAAGCAGCGTGTAGGAGTAGCTGCAAGTCTGTGGACCGCTGAGCCTAGATCTGAGTCGCACTGGTAAGGCTGAAATGGTGGTGATCTGCTAGCCAACTCCTCGAGGGCCTCAAGTCGAAACAAACACCGCCGGGAAGCGTTGTGCAATCATGAACGCGTAAGCAATGAGGATATGCAAGCAGAGGTGGACGCAACCAAGGAAACATGTAGCATCTACTCCAGAAAATGGTGCTGTTCATGGCTGCAGCTTTGAAGAGTTCGAGACCTGTGACTACATACAGAGGACGTTTCTGGTGTGCGGTGCGCAAGCGTTTCACTGATCTCCCGGCGGAGTGCTTTTACACTTTCGGCTTCAAGCCAGGTTTCCGTGACCGCCGACGGGGCAGCCACGTGAGATTACGCATCGGAAATTCGGCAATCGACGGCATCTGTAGGTTGGCTTTGCTAGATTGGGTGTTTGCGCGCTGAACCTATGTATGGCATCAATCGTATGGACGAGTGATCAACGTCTTTGCAAGTCGTATTCGTTTCTTGCTTACACTCGATCAACAGTAGCAGTACAAAGCAACCGCGCAACCGTCGAGAAGCCCCCTCTGCCAGGCGCTCTTCCTAGTTGGTGATTTGCAGGGTCCAACCGCAGCATGGAGACGGCGGCGATCCCGAGTCAGCCCAATCTGTGTCAAGTCGGGAGTCGCCTGTTCATCGGTCCGGGTTACAGAAGGTAGGTACCGAAGTAACAAACGGCTCGACTCCAGTAGGAGATGTTCCATCAAAACCCGAGCGGCTGCATCTGTTTTTATGTGATCAATCAGGGCTGAAGAAACAAGTGCTGCTGCCGGATGTGCGGTCGTCCTGAATTGCGTTAGATTAGGGTACTTGGTCGGACCGACGTTGCGAGGGCACTTTGTAGATGCAACAAACAGCCATAGAGACCTTTATTCTAAGGCCGAAGATCTCGAGAGCAAGCTTCGACCCCTGACACTCATGCCATGTGGGAATGATGCAGGTTGATACTGAAACAAGCGCTTCCACCGATTCGATGGAAAGTGTACCAAAGAAATGCTCAACTCAATAAAACCATCATCGCCATGTGTTTTACAAAAGAAGGCTGAACATTGATGCCTCGACCTCATCATGCATACAGTAGGAACGACAAATCCGCGGACGCGCACGCGCACGCATGCTGCGTGCATGAGCTTTCGGGTATTATAAGCTTTCCACGGAAGCGGTATGGAAGCAAGGGGCTCGTCGTCGAACCATGCAGCTGCCCCGTCAGAAAGCATCTCTACACGTGCCTCATTCTATTTAACGATCGCACCGGAGTTCATCGGTGCAACGAGGACCCGCCGCAACCCCAGTTGTTCGCTTACAACGAACAAGCTCAAGAAGCAGTTGAAGGCTTGCAAGCCAGCACAGTTGAGAATATGCAGGGAGCCGAACAGACGCTGCTGTCGCTGTCATTTGTCAAACTATGATTGCCCTTTCCGTTTCGCTTGTCAGAAGTCTCGATCTCGAGCAACAACAACCTTTTCTGCAAGCGAACAATATCGACTATCCGTCTCAATGTAGTTCTTGGAAAACACTCTGCTTACAATCAGCAACGACATCGATTGACCCTTCTCGCAAGGTTCAGCAGTTTGCGCAAGGTCCACGCACCAAATATCACCTTATCTGACTCGATAGAAAAGAAGGTTGGATCAACATCTTAGGTGTGCGTAACTCATAAGCCTTTTGTCAAAATCTTGTGCTAACGTCTCTTGATGCCCAAATCGTCAGTCTTCTTGACATCCTTCATCTCCGCACATTATCGTCACTCACCCGTACTGAAGGACAATATCAATCTAGTCGACTCCACAAGACCAACGGCTCAAGCCTTGCCCTCAATGCTCTGAACGTCAGGCCACAGAAGGTGACCGTAAGCTTGGGTCCTCAAACTCTCGACCACGGGGATGGTGTCTAGGCGCAATGGCGTCCACATTCCGTTGCTTGACCGAATGCATATATGCCGCTTGCTCGGGGGTAATCTTGTAGTTTGCCTCTTCGTCGTTGGAGGGTCCGTGGTAGTGACGGCCTACTACTGCTATGCTGACCACCAGGCCTGCGCAGCAGACGAGGACGATGATGATGGTTGCTGATGCACTCAGTTGTCCCATTGCTGCTGTATTTCGGTCGAGCGGCTGGTTGTTTGTGAAGATGCGTCAATCGAGAGACAGATCAACTGGGACAGACGTAGGTAGGTGATAGATGGGTTTTGGGGAGTCGTTGTTCGTAATAATGCTCCTCGGGCATTCGTGTGGATATGGTTCTATCTTATACGCTAGCAGAGACTTTTCGGCACGCTGCTCAACAAAGATAACACACTATCATCATTAGGCGCTCCTTCTCTCATCAATTGCATCACAAACAATCACGATAGGCTGTCGAGACAAATTACAATCTGATACGAATACGGTGCATATACGGCTATACTGATACGACGCATACGGCTCCCCGCGTACACTATTGGAAAAGCTCGATGGCATCTAAGATCTGTGCATGTCAGAAGTGTTTTGAAGTTGTTGAGTTCCAACTTGACTTACAATGTTTGGGGCCAAGTACATGGCACCACTGGAACCTGACGCGACAGTAATGGTAATGGTGTTTGCTCCGGCAACAAGAGTACCCGCAGGGATCTTGACATCGTAGACTTCCGCATAGCCACGATATGCTCCTCTGGTGACTCCACGAGAGTCTATCTTTGTGGGAGCGGCAGGGGCAGCGGCACGGTAGTTGTTGATTTTCGCCTGGGGTCTGGCACCTGCAAAGCTCAGTGTGGTTCCAATGCGCAGGGTTGCAGCACCAGCTTGAGCTGCCGACAGTGTAAACTTGATCGTCAGAGGATCGTTGACGCCTTTCCACAGCGCCATTGGCACGTCGGTCAGTTTGCTGGTCCCGACTGTATAAGTGAGCGGACCCCAGCTGGACATTCTCTTGTCCGATGGATGCATGCGAAGTTGCTTATCAGCATTACGGAAACCTGTAGGTTGACCATCCCAGTCACCGATTGCCCAGATAGTCTTGCGCGCAGCAACTGCCGATGCAATGTTCTTGCTTGCCGTGAAACCGGCAGTCACGGTCACGCTAGTCTCGGCCACCTTGAATTCAGTCTGATACAAAACCATAGTGTATGTACCGGGTCGCATGGCTGGAGATGTAAACTTGCCAGAGGAATCGGCATATGCCCAGTACTGGTTATTTGTGTTGTGCCAGTGGACGACTTTCTGGAAGGATCCTCCAATACCAGAAGCCGTCCCGGAGACACGGCCACGACCAGAGTCAGCCACGTAGCCTGTAACGCCCAAACTTGAAAAGAAGGAAGTGTCAGCCTGGCTAGCAGCAGGAATACCAGAGCGACTAAACGCGATCGTGTAAGGACCATGGAGGCCTTGGCGGAAAGGCTCAGTCTGGACATGACCAGAGTTCATGTAGAAGTAAAGTCCTGTATAGTCACCAACATTGTTGGAGTTGATGTCTCTGTGGAAAGGTCCTCCACTTGAGGCCTCGTATGCAGGATCTTGCAAAACCATACAAGCGTGAATGGGATCAGATCCATCGCGGTAGACGCAATGGACCTTGTCATCAATGGAGCGCTGACTGGAGTAGAATTTGCTTCGAGTCTCGCCGTTGACAAGATAAACGTCAGAGCCCTCGACAGCAGAGGTACTACCAGCGATTGTCGAAGCGGCTCCGAACGGGTATTCCAGCGGCAGTGCTTTTGAGTTGAGACGAGCAATGAATCGAAGCTCGCCAATGGTGGGCTCTGCAGTGGTGTGGGTTGCCATATGGATAGAACTGTCACCACTCCTGATTACTATGTAGTGGGTCAAAGTGGAAGTCTTGCATGTAATTTTCGCATATTGGCTGGCGACCACCTCTCCAGATACAGTCGCGGAACCAAGGCCTGAGCTTATGTGGGAGCCTGTGCTTTTGTATTGCAACTCTTCACCACGATAGAGAATGGAGTTGATGTCGCAGCTCTTCCTGTCGACAGTCACGACTAACGAGTTGGACGAGCCAGCATCGACAACAAAGCTGTTGCTATTGCTGGTAAGACCGAATGCGGCAGAGGCCAGAAGAGGAAAGGATGCCACAGCAAATGCGTACAAGCTAGATGCCAACATGGCGTATGTGTTTGAGAGATGTCCTATATGCAAAAACTGTACACATGTCGGGCAGGCTCTTTTTATACCTGATAGCTTTATAGGAGGCAAGGACATCTGTGCCAAGGATGGAACAAAGTGCTAGTTCGACGGAGGGGGCTACGTGCGGATAGGCAGTTTCACCACGTGCAAAGAAATGCTGGGCAAGTCTCGCTTAACTGCGAAGACGATCAATAGGGTGCATATAGCCGTGGCTATGGAAGCAGGCGAGACAGATCCGAGTAATTGATGTTCACTGAGCTGAGGAGTTGAGGGCAGCGGCAATAGTCTCTGGACGTAATGCTGAATGCTATAGGTGGAAGTTTACAACAATAGAGTCGGAGTCGATGAAGGGTTGTCGATCCTGAATACACCGAGCGAGACGACATCCTTTGCTGTCGCCGAGGACAGGATATGGAGGTTCACGTGGGATATCAGCATACCTAGTATAGCAACTAGACAATTGGTGGACAGGCGCAGTCGAGTCTGGTATTCGAGAAACAATAGATGGTTGCAAGGTGCGGAGATGGTGACCATGTGGACAAAGATAGTGCATGTATTGGCGTTAGAAGTTGATTGCGGGTCCTTGGCGTGGAGTATCATTTCACGATGCATAAAAGAGGCAGCTGGTCTGCACAACTTGAGCATACCCCACAGTCCATGTACAAGGTCGCAGCTGCCAAAAAGGACCTAAATTTCTACATCAACACCAGAAAATGCAGCGAATGACCGGCCAATCATTCGCGCGTCATGTCTCTCTTCGGAGGAGGAGATGAGAGTGGGCCTCCTTCGCCTAGCCAGGCAAGCGACTTTTCCATCAGCACTATCGGCGAGGATCAAGGGCTCGCGGCGCATTCGGAAGGCTCGCCAGACACAGCGGCTGGTCACGAGGATTACAACGACCACGACGATGCGGGAGACGAGGCAGAGAAAGTGGTAGAGGAGCCACAGGACCAAGAAGACAACAGAAGTCCGTCAGCAATCTCAGACACCAGCGACGTCGAGGTCCGGCCCAATCGCTTCCGAGGCTCAGACCGCGCATGGCTACACCACACACACGACGACCGCTCCCTCGCCGCATCGCTCGACCAGCTCAAAGCACACGACTTAAGTCTGCACCTGTACAGCGCCCATCACCTCAAAGCTCGCCTGCGCCAACAAGAAGCTCCGTCGTTGCACAAGCCCTGGAGCAGAAAGAGTCGATGGATCCCCACCAATCAAGACATCCAGAAGCCTTGGTATCCTGAATCCGACTGGACCGCCTGGCCACTTCCTCCTGATGTTGCTCCGAATGGTCTTGAGACCTTTGGTAGACCCAATGATGGTCTTGACGCCTACACTCTGCGCAGTGCCGACCGTCCTACTCCGGCCGACAATCTGCGAGAACAGCTGCATGCTGTCATTTTGAAGCGAGCGCACGACGACTGGAAGTACCACAACCAGAAACCCTCTCAACAGCTCCACATCACGGCCGCACCTGTTGCTGCTCCTGCACGACATTCCCCGCCGAGACGAGGACGAACCCGCTCTATATCTGCTGGTCCAAATTCCGTCCCTTCTTCGCCTTCTGTAGGAGACGACTTGGCTCCCCTCTCGTCGCTAGACCCATCTGTTGTGGAGCAGGGAGAACAGGGTCATGCCGAGTCACATCCGAATCATGACCTCAAAGAGGAGGCCGAGAATGTGAAGGATAATCACTTCGCGCGCCCATGCTTCTCTGCCGATGACGATCGTTCCCATGCACTTCTCCATCCTACTGTCAACCATGTCATGTCCAAGCTTGACAGGCTCCTCCTCGCTTTGCACCAAAGCAGACAGACACATGTACATCGTGCAAGAGATGGCGACACTTCCGACTCTTCTGCAAGATCAAACTCTCGCTCACGTTCCACCTCCAAGAGACCGTCCACCAAGGCTTCGAACAAACGCTCTAATAGGCCATCAGAGTCTCAGGCCGTCACCAGAATCAGACCCAGTCGCCGTATCGGTTCGGCCTCTCGTCCGTCCAGTCCACTGGATCTTGTGGTCTTTGACGATTCAGGAGAAGATGAGACATATGAGCCAGAGACTCCCAAACGACGTTCCCGCTCACCCAGCAACAGAGCATCATCAGCAGAACCCGACATCCAGACTACTTCTCCAAGCGGCAAGAAACGTCGTAACCCGCCCAAACCAGGCCTAAGAGATTGGAGCGAGGTTTTGGCTATGGCAGGCTTGACGGGCTGGGATCCTGCTACTATCGAAAGAGCTCGCCATCGATGTCGCGACCTCTTCGGAGAGGACATGCAGCTCTACACCATGCCCGAACATGATGATTCTTCCGCCGATGAGGCCGAACCTGTCAGCCACGCGCCGTTGTCTCGCTCGGCCCAAACAGCAAGCTGGCGGTGTCCCTTTGTTAACTGCTTTCGTAATATGCAACCTCTTGAACAGGGGTTCCGCTGGCGTGAACATATGCGCAAGGCACACAAATACGACAACGATCAAATCGCAAAGCTAGAAGAACAGTTGGTTCAATCTGGAGACATTGCCCCCGTCTCGAAACGACACCACGTGTTGGCCCACAACCCTCGAGGCTGGCAACCTCCAGATCCGCTAAAGTGTCCGCACTGTCCGGCCTCAGAACATGTCTTTCCCAAGGTCAGCCGCTTACTAGACCACATAAGAAGGGGTCACAAGTACGACCCGCGTATTCGGGATCCACCTGAACGTCTTCTGAGCAAGGCCGCTGGTCAAGACGAAGAGGATACTTCTGACAACTTGAATAGTTCTGACGAAGATAGCGATGGCTACATGGTGGGTGGTGTTCACACTGACGGATTCTTACAGCCCGTTCTTCGGCATGTTGGATCACGAGGAAAGGATCTCGAACAAAGGGCAAAAGAGCTAACGCTCGTCGCTCAAAAGCTGAATTGGCCAAATCAAAAAGAATGCAAAGAAACGGCAACACGTGGAAGACGAAGAATCGATCAACTAGGGGAGTCGAATGCTGGCCTCGCACCACTTATGTCGATACGGGATGTTCAGTACACCCCTCACCATTCTGGCGAAGGCAATTGCGTTTGGAGGTAAAATTGAGCCCAGGGAGTCGCTGCTGCCCTGGTCATTCCACGTTCGCACCCGCCGATGCATCGCTGTGAGGAATCTGACCAGCATTGCACCTGCCAGTAATGAGAATAGAGGATTTTGACTCTTCTATACATCTCTGCTCCTTGTGTGTCTCGACTGCTGAATCATTTCTCGTGTTCTTTGTGTGATCTTGTCCCAGCTACCTTCGATACGGCCTGTGTCTCGAGTTGTATCTATCATTGAGAAGCCTATGTGCGACACCGAATGATATGTCAAGAAATGCAACACTATGATGGCTCTCAATACGTTGTTGTTGTCCTGGCTCAACTCCAGAATGGCGTATGTATAAATGAACAATCGGACGACCAAAACGATCGACGACACAGTAAACGTCTCGTCGCCCTCGACAGCGAAACCACACGATCATAGTTGATGCCACAACGTTGTCTCTCACTTGCAATCGTGTCTTTGACAACAAACGCAGGTGCTGTCACTTTCACTGTGCAGCTTTCGCTTCTTCATCCAACACACATCTTGTTCATCCTGCTTTCTCTTCCACTGCCACACCCACACATCCGCATCCGCCTCTGCACTCTTCCGCAAACATAGAAGTGCACATCATCAACCTTCAACAAAAGATCTTCGCCAACTTCATCAAAGGTAACATGAATCATTCACGGTCATCACACTACGAATACTGACACTCTACCAAAAGATGGCCACTTTCACCGAACGCGAGCAGAAGCTCATGGCCGCTGCTTGTCAGTCTTTCGAAGGCGAGCCTAAGGTAAGTTATTCCCCATCATTTTGACACAAATGCAATGCTGATATGATCATCACAGCTGGACATGGAAAAGGTAAATCCCTCTGATAATTCTTCCATGACCCAACATTGATGAACCCTCTCGCAGTTCGCTCAGCTTTCTGGCCTTGCTGTAGGCTCCGCTCGCAACGCCTGGGCCGCCCTCAAGAAGAAGCTCTATGCTCACGAGTCCACCGCTGTCAAGGCCACTCCCGTCAAGCCTTCCGCCACCAAGTCTGGCAAGAAGCGCCCTCCCCCTGTTATCCTGCCCACCGGTGACAACGGCTCGGATGACGAGGATGTCTTCACCCCTTCCAAGAAGCCCAAGACCCCCAAGTCCAAGGCTAAGGGCAAGGGCAAGAAGACTACCAACTCCGACGATGAAGACAAGGAGAAGAAGGAGGAAGAGGAGGACGATGGCTATGTCAAGGTCAAGAACGAGGCTGCCGACGGTGACTTCGAAGAGGTCTAGGCATCTGCTGTCTTACTTCGAGCTTGCTTCATCTCCAAGCTGTGTAAAGACCAACGCGTCATCATGGCAGTATGGCCATTGCAAACAGCGCATCTTGCTTTAGATATTAGCAAAATCGCCAATTGCGAGAACATGATGGCGAGAGATATCGAAATCCAAATCGATGATACAGCAGTCAAAAAAATTGCAATACAGTGCAGTGCATATTATCGCAATGTAATTCGTGTGTTTTAACCTCCGTGTGATCCACACGTCTAAAGTCTTCACTTCTTCGGTAAGCTTTTGACTTGGTTGCGATTCTTCTCCCCGAGACAAGGTATACTGCAGGTGGGTTCGCGCACGATGGAATGCTGTGTGCCCTTGAGTTGGATATGTATCCTCAACCCTCTCAAGCCATCTCAATCATCACGATGGGGAGTTTCTGAAGAATATGGTTGCAAACGAGTTCTTGGAAAGGTGGCTTAGTTTTCGATACTCTCTCTGGCAACAGCCCTATTACCAAAGACTATGCCTTTCTAGAGCAGGCTGAGCTTTGACTTTCTGGGATGAGAACATGAACTTGAGCACTGTAGGTACATGTCTAGAAGACCTCACTGGATGCACTACAATTCGTGAATACATCGCGAATCTCGATAGCTGTTGTTAGGTAGAGCCACATACTGGAAGTCTCTCGTAGTTGTTATTCTTCGTCACCAGTCTTCACTCACGACTCTTCTCTCTAAGTGACAACTCCACTTTCACTTCTCAATATCTGCACTCTCACCTCACAACTCCTTCTCAGTTCTTATATCTTCCAACTCATCTCTTCTCTCCATCCTTCTCCTTCTTCTTCCAACCATCATTACTTCTTACGTCTTCATCCAAACATCCACTATCAACAACAACAACAACAACAACATGCCACCCAAATCCACCCTTACCCAGCGCGACGTCGAGGTCCTTGCAGCCGCCTTCCAGTGCCAGAAGAGTCCCNCCTGATGTAAGACACACCGCATAGTACTCGTTACACACACTTTGATCACCGAAGCGACTGTTCTACAACACAAATCCCATTGCCAACTCCTATCTCCTCACTTATCACATCCAAATCTTGTTCTCGAGACGGACAGACTGACCACAACACCCTTCACACAGATCGACTGGGACAAACTCGCCGTCAAGGTCGGCTACAAGAATGCCCAATCCGCTCGTGCCTGCTTCCAAGAGACCAAGAAGAGAATGCGTGCCATGAACGACAACGCCGACGACGAAAACGGTAAGTTGTGTCTGTGTTCCCATCGCACTTTCCCTGATCAACACTCACGACTCCTTATCCCTCCTGCCCATGATCACTCCTAATCAACCTTCCAGCCACCTCTACAACCACNNCAAGAAACCCACCGCCGCCAAATCCAGAAAGCGCAAACACCTCTCTTCCCCTCCGACTCCTCCTCCGCCACCCTCGCCGGCTCTTCTCCAATCCAAAACACCGATGACGGCGAAACCACCCTACCCCCAAAGAAGAAGTCCAAAGCCAGAGGCACAAAAGCAAAGAAACCCGTCATCAGCACCCCAGAGACCGAAGAAGATGTGCACAATGCAAAGGCCATTGCCGCAGGCAGAGCCAGATATGCTGCCGACAAACTTGCTGCCGAGGTCAAGAAGGAGGAGGTTGATGATGAAGATGAGGAGCCTGTGGGTATGAACATTGATTCTGGAGAGGATGAGGGATTGACTGCGTATGAGTTGGTCAAGAACGAGGTTTTTGGCGAGGGCGTTGAGATTTGAGCTGAGGGCTTTTCACTCTTTAACCAAAAGGTCCAGCGGGATGAGATGCAATGAGAAATACGAAGCAATGATGACAACGGCGGAGAATGTATAATACAGAGAGAGGAAGAGATTATGGACGGGGCATCTTCATTCAGGGAGGGTCGACTTTATTCGATGCGATGAGATGCAAACAGAGACTTTTATGCCCTCGCCTATCTCACCTTAAATCATGCCCTTCCTATGCTTGCAGGAAACAGGAAGTGACGTTTCGAAGGGCTGCAGAGAGTCTTCCTTACTTTTGATCGCCAAACACCTGAATGACCAGCTGTTTCTTGTTGACTGCACGGCACAAATTAGCAAAAACGTTCCTTCCGTCTGTGAGAATCAACGAAAAAGTCTTACTCTTGCCCATAGCATTCCTAGGAATACTCTCCACCACCTTCAGATCTTGAGGAATCTTGAACGCAGCCATTTTATCCTTTAATCCTCTCCTCAGATCCATGGCTGCGAACGTCTTTCCGCCTTTACCAGCAGTCTTGCCTTCTTCGCTCAACACAACCACTGCAGCAACTTTTTGACCCCAAGTCTCGGACGGTAGACCCACAACGGCACATTCGGAGATTGCGGGTAGGGATAGAATTTCCCTCTCCACTTCCAGTGCGGATACCTTCTCGCCACCGACTTTGATGATGTCGGCGGAGAGACGACCGAGGATGAAGTACATGGGTCCCTGTGCCCAATCTCCTGACGCACCCTTGCCAGCGGACGGGACATTTCTCCGTACGGCTACATCGCCAGTCTTGAAGAAACCGTCTTCAGTAAACTCTTTTGCGGTCGCTGTGGGATTGTTCCAGTACTCTTTGAAGATGGTGGGTCCACGCAATTGAATCTCACCACTACGCTCTTTTCCGTCTGTATCGAGTTCTTCGCCAAGCTGAATGATAGCTTTTGTGTCGAGGTCGACCAGACGGGCTTCTACAGAGGGAAGCGGCCAACCTACACTTCCGTCTACTCGGTCTTCGTTCGCCAGACCGCAAGAAAGAGCCATGCCAACTTCTGTCATGCCATAGCGTTCAAGCAGGACATTTCCATTGCTCAACTCCGTCCAAGCTTGTTTTGTAGGTGTGGGCAGAGCCGCCGAGCCACTGATATTCAGGCGCATGTTCTTCGGGTCTAGTGCTTCTTTTGTTGCCTTCTGCATCTCCGGACTGAGGGTGTTATGTGATTGCAGCAGTCTGTTGTAGATTGTAGGTACGACGGTAAAGAAGGTGATGGGCTGTCTGGTGTATTCGGGTGAGGTCGTCAGGAAAGGGGCGGCAAGTCGCGACCAGACCGAGTCAACGGTGAAGGGGAAGAGAAATTCAATGGTACTGCCCGCGAGTAGTGGTGTCAGGAGGGCGTTGACTGTGCCATGGATGTGGTGGAGAGGCAGGACGTGCAGGAAGTGGTCGGTGGGCGAATAGTGCCATGCTTGGGAGAGGGATTTTGCCTGAGCCATGAGAGTAGATTGCGGGAGAAGCACTCCTTTNCTGTTGTCTGTCAGGACTTCGTGTTGTTCGTGGTGATTGAAGAGACTCACAGGTCTGTTGGTTGTGCCGCTGGTGTACAACATCATTCCACCCTTGTCCTCTGTCACATCTTCGAGAACGACCTCTTCCTTGATCCTGCTGCTTTCGACAATCTTTTCCCAGCGTGACAGAATAGGCTTCTTCTCCAGCTCGCCATTCAGCACATCATCGGCCTTGGTCGCAAATTTGGAAGACGTGGCCAGCATGAGCGCACCACTCTGATCGAGGATATATCTCAATTCTCCGGATGGAAAGGCAGGTGAAAGCGGTACGGCGATGGCATTGGTACCTAGGATGGCGAGTAGCGTCACTNNGTTGACCACATACCTCAGTACTTGTATATCACTTCGATCAAACAGCAAAGAAAGAGCGAAGGGAAACAACTAAAACAAGGAGACAAGGAGACAGGAGCAAAGCGCACCTACATAGTCATAGCTATTCTCGACCAAGAAAGCAATGCGCTCGCCTTGCAGGGCTTCAGCATTTCTACCGGCATCATCGGCGAGTCGTTGTTTGGCGACCGCGACATCCTTCAGGAGCGAGCCATAGCTAAATTGACGGCCGGACAGGGAGTGTATCACTGCTGTGCTCTCTGGATCGTGCGACTTGATCGCATCGAACAGAGGTGTACGCGGTAGGCATGCCAATCTGTTGGTCGCAATGCTTCTAGTACCTCTTCCAGGACAACGGAAGGTAGCTATCGGCAAGGTCGGCCGGCGCGAGAATAGCTCCAAGAAGGTCCTGGACAACACCATGTCGAGCACTGGATAGTCGAGATGACAATTCTATGTACTTTTGGTCTCGTTGTCGCGTGCACAAATTGAGTAAGAGCTTGGACGCATTTACACTTGCCTCCGGCGTTTGCGGACTTTGCAAAGTTGATTTTCAGCATGTGATTATGCATAGTTATGCGGCACGGAATGGTTTGTCCACAGCAAAGACTACAAGCATGTTGTCGAGATGATCAATTCTTGTTACATCTACTTCGAATCCCAACCCCAAGCTCTCTTGATGGTATCACCGACAGTTTCTCTACCACGTTCTCTTCTACTTTCTCGAATCTTTTTCTCTGCTTCATAGTGTTCATGCACGACAGCGGCATATTCTGCATTTGCTCTTGCTTCGGCAGCCATGAGCTCAATCTCAAGCTCACGCTCCGAACCCTTCTTGTCTGCCAGAGACTGCTCAATAGCTTTGCGCTTCTCTCCTGTATACATGTCCAATCCTTCTTTTGTCACTTGTGGTTGCGCAGCTTGTTGTCGAGCACCCAAGGCTTCTGTCGTCGATGTGCTCGTGATGAGTGGCTTGAACTCTGGCGTAGGCAGCTTCTTCTCTTCTGCCTCTTTCATGGCCTTTTCGCGATCCAACATTTCGTGGTAGAGTTTGTCTGCGTGCATCTGGATGCGCTCTTCCTCGTCGGCTGTACGTTGCATGCTCATGTATCCCAATGCCTTGAGGAAGCGAGCTTGCATGGTGTAGCAGCGGTTGAATGCGCGGGTGGGTTCCTTGCAGAGGTAGAGTTTTGCTTTGATGCCGCCGCTCTCGAAACATTCGTGCTCGGCCCATTGCTCCAGTGCGCAATTCTCGAGCGCCGCTCGCGCGACTCGTGCTTTGCGGTCGTTGTATGTGTCAATGACATCGGCTAGTTGTTCGCTCTCGCTGCGTCCGGCTTGTTCGATTTGTTCTTGCGAGCGGTAGTTCTTCCACAGGTGGGCGTATCTGCCATCTTGGTAGAGTGATTGCGGCGGTGCTGCATTCTCGTTTGTCTGAGGTTGTGCGGGTTGTGACGACGGATCTTCAGCGATGCCGATTTGTGAGCGATATGAGGGAGCGTCTTGTGGTAGTTGTGTGGGATGCTGCTGCTGTTGCTGTTGGCGCGTCTTGGATTCCTTGTCCAGAAATTCTCGCAGCGACGGGTCCAGATTGTTTAGCGCATCTTTGCTCTCGCTGCTGCTATTGTTTCCCNNCCAAAACCAGCCCATTTTGTCTTGATGGTATGTAAAAGTAGAAAGATGCGACGGAGGTGAATTGCGGCCTGCCAATGGAAGTTGCCGCGCGAAGCTGCATCTCCGTCTTGTCGCCGACACCACCATGACAGTCTACTTCCAGAACTAACCATGACACACACGAATGTTTTTACGTCTACAAGCTGTTCGGCAAATGCGACTACGGTCACTCTGCTCTATTGGTCGCCGTGCTAGTGCCAGATATAGCTATGCATCTCCACAGCAGTTTTCGGGAGCGCCAAAGAGACAACCAACGTCTTCCTCTCGCAACTACTCTGAGTCGGCAACATGATCACTTTCTCCTTGACATAGCTGGTCATGTCGCCGTCGCGTTTTCTGGAATCAAACCACTAATGATTGGAGATGTTATGCATCCTGATTGGAGAGACTGATTTTCCTCATTTCTGTATATTCACACCAAAGGCTATATAAACGAATGACATGAAAGGTACGTATCGTCACAGACACACCGTTCCTAAACGAATGTATGGAGTTGTTGCCGTCTCATCATAGTCGGGAGTTGAGAGCCCGTCTTACTCGGTGATTTTCAGTAAAAAGGTCCTGCCTTTTACTGAGCCTTGTAGGTAGAGCCAATGGCACCAAACTTGACGTTGCTGAACTTGACAGCAGCGTTGCCCTGTTGAGACTCAACATCCTTGGGCTTGCCAGAAGTGCTAGCGCAAGTACCACGAGCAGCCCCGACCTTGTTGGAGCCAACGGGGTAGGTAGAGTCTAGCCAGAGCATGTTGGCATCATAGTCGTCCCAAACACTAAAGACAAGAGCCATGCCAGTATCGAGGTCCTTGCCGAAGCCAGTAAGACCGCCCTTCTGGGAGAATGAGTCAGGGTCACCTGTAACGGCCTTCTGTTGCTTGCAGAAGCTGTCGGTGATCTGGTTGGTCTGGGTAATACCAGCAACGTTGGTGTTGGCCTCCTGGATGACTTTGCCGTTCTGAACGTAAAGGCGGCGGATGGCACTGAGAGTGCCGGTAGCGGTGTTGTCCGCAGTGATGAACTGGNNTGATCAAAGCATTAGCGGGATGGTCGTATGAGGATGTCTCGAGCTTACCTGAGTGACAACAGTCATAGGCTTGGTGGAGTCAACAGTCTTGCCAGGACCGAAGAAGTTTGTTGCTCCCCATCTGTAAGGGTTAAGATCACAGCCGTCCTTGTCGCAGTAGCCGTCGTAGCGAGACTCGCCAGTACCGCAAGTGGTGTTGCCAGTGCAAGGGCCGTTGGTCGAGCAAGGGTGAGGGGTAAGAGCGGTGGAGATCGAGTTCNNTGATCGAAGTTGGTCAGTAAAATGTTCGGCCAAGGATGATATCACGTTTCTTACAGCCTCCCAGATGTCCATCTCAGCACAGCATGAGCCAGTGTTTCCGATTCCAGAGTTGGGGTCTCCGCTTGATGGAGTCCATCCCTCAACGTTTGCCNNTGACATAGCGTTAGCGTGTTTCTCAGAGGGAGTCGATGAATATCTTCTCACCTTGCCGGCAATGAACTTGAGATCTCTGGGGCATTGAGCATCACAGTATCCTGTTCCGTAAGCGGCTCCAGCCTTGTTGGTTGGGTACTTGGCAAGACCACCGTCGGCGTCCATCTTGACAAAGTACAAGGCACCGTTGATACCACAGCCTAGGAGATTCATCAGTTCACGATCCTGTCAAGCCTTCGATGGAGTACACTCACCAAGACCCGAAACATCAACATCAAAGGTGAACTCCTGGTTCTTCAGCTTGAACAACTCGTACTTGTTGCCGTTAATCAGATAGACACGAGATCCAACGTTGTTACCCTGCTTGAGCTTCAAGCTAACAGAGTTGCCGCTGGCTTGAATACCGTAGGTGCCAGAGTAGTCTNNGTACACAAAAGGTATGATAAGAATGTGTCCTTCACGGAAGACATGTGATCATTGCTTACCTGCTCCGTCAAGAGCGCAGTTGGCGGCACATTGCACGTTGTTCGGGCACAGACTGGCGTCAAACTTGTTGCCAGTGTAGCAGTTGGTGTACCCGCTGGTTGTGTGCAACCAGCGCCAGTTGGCATCGAGAACAATGTTGGTGTTGACGGTGGTGCATTGCCCTCCAGAGGTGCACTTTTGGTAGCTCATCGGAGGGTGGTTCTCAGCAGTCGAGGTGCCAGCCTGCTGTCCGAGAACACCATGGCCCAAAGCCAGAAGGGCTGCCAAAGTAGAGGCAGAGATCATCGTGATTGAAACAAGTTTGATGGGAGAAAGAAGAGAACTGAGAAGATGTCTGATTTGAGTGTTTCATGGCGGTGGGGTTCGCCATATTTATATTCGGTGTTGCTGTCGTTGCTGAATTGACCGCTGGACGAGCATCTTATCGCCGCTTGTCTACCCGAGGGAAGCATTCTGCCATAGCTTCACAAGCTCTGTACTGTCAGACACCCAGTCGAAGCAAAGATGAGCGTCTCGTCGCCCAAGATTCCCTATCAGCATACTTGCATACCTGCATGCCCCCGTGCGCATGTGTGCTCGCTTGCAAAACTTCGAGGGCAGAGGAAGCAAAAGAGACCAGGTGACTAGGGTTACTGGTTAGTATAGCATCAGATCAATCTATTCGAGGATTTATCCGTTTCGGCTGCGAGAGGATCAGGGAAGGTGGTGAAATTAAGGCCTTGCATAAGCTTCCCCTCGTTTGCGTCCCGCCCCGCACACATGCACCCCAGACCCAATCATCTAGGGATGCAGTGGAAGCAAGCTCCGAGAAACAGTACATGGAGAAATTGTCCGGATGTACCTTTTGCTCTTCAAGTCTATATCTATCCAGCCTCTTGATATCGAAGGCTGACATAGAGCGTATTGGCGGCCCGACTGGCCGAGAGGTGATCTTCAGGGAAGGCAGGTGCCATGGACGATCAAGTTACCATCAACCACGCGGCTCCAGACCGAAGCTTACGTCCCTAACATCCACGAAGAGCCTCGCTTGGAACAATGCCCTTCCATGGCTGAGACGTTCTAGGCAAACCATCTCGAGAGGATGAGCGGGCCGGCTCGCCATTAGCATTGTCCCTGCAGTCTATTACTGCCCGCCACCAGCATGGTATGCTCTAGGATGACATTAGCCTCCAACGATGACTTCAAGAATTTTCTGGTCGATCAAAAGAGTGCTCCCACTTCGACAGTCTCAATCCTATCCTTATTCTCCGCCAATAGTCTACTGGACCGACCAGATCTTCACTCCTTCGTTTTTCTTCTCTAGGCTGTGATTTCTTCTCTGTCGAGAAGAAGTCACAGCCTAGAAAAAATCAGCTAATGATGAAACGTGGCTGCATCTCGTTTGTCATCATGCCCATGCGGCCGTACCCGTAAAGTCATGCGAAGTCCTGCATTGCATAACAAGAACCATGTTTAATCTAACAAAGGGCGGGGCATTGTGATGGGTACCTGACAGACTCGTCGATCATTCCAGACTACGCCTTGAACCTGCATGAGGGGAAAAAATTCTCGCCTGGAAGAATACTGAGCTGTAGACATGAGTGTTGACCGTCACGATGCACCATTGTTGTCCTAAAATGTCGCTACATGTGGTTGATCTCGAAGACCTTTAACGGTTGTGTCTTGTTCCGGCACGGTATTGTCCAATGCGATAAAGTTCATCTCCATGTGATGAGATGAGACGACATGATTCGATTGCAAGTCTCGTCACACTCTCACGCATATTCCAAAGTTGATTCAGGATAAAGAACGAAATGTATTCGATTGGTCAAAGGCAGACTATCAAAAAGTGGGAACAAGAGAACGAATGTAAGAAGTTAATCGCGTGAATGTCAGAAAAGCAGAGACGCAATACTAAGCGAACGTGTTGAAAAGTTCATCTTCTCATCCGATAGGGGTTCAGCAACCCTCTCTCTCCCCTTTCCCATGTCCATCACTGGATCCATAATCACAGTGCGGGGTTGGCGTTCTGAAGCAATTGCTGGAAGTATGCCTGGAACCATGTGCCAGCTTCAGGGGCAGGCTTCAGAGCATCGGCGTATCCACAGTGAGCATCGTATCTGGCAGAAGACGAGTCGGAAGTTCCGTCAGATTCACCGCCGGGCTTGACCCAGACGATAGCGTCGACCAGCGGGTCGCCAGTGTTTGCGGTTGGGCGAGTACCGAATCCAGTGTTGATGACGTTGCACCAATCTCCTTGCTGCAATTGAGATGTGGGCTGAACACCTGAACGGCCTTGGTCAATGATGAAGTGTGCTGGGAAGCCTTGAGCTGTCAAGAGAGGGGCAAGGGCATTGACGTAACGCTGTTCATCAAAGTCTNNGAAGCGAAATGGTTAGCATATCCCTGGTGACAGCAAGATGGACTGACACATACTAGGGTTGCTCTGTGTGTAGGAAGGAGCTGTGGAAAGCTGGTAGGCGTTGTAGTTGGAAACATCAGTGGCAATTCCTCGGAGAGCTGCGGGCTTGCCAGCGGCTGTGTAGATGCTTGCGAAGAGGTCGGCGGCTGGGCCAATGTTGGCAGGCCATCCAAGCCATCCACCGTGACCACCATCTAGATACATTGCAACGTTGGGGAAGTTTAGAGTCTTGATCGCGTACTCGACACCACCTGGTAAAGTTAGCATAATCACATCGTTATACTTTCGTCCATACATACTGATGTAAGCGTCGTGAGCCTCCTGGCATTTGGCAACGTTCGAGTTGGTCACCAAGTTACCGAGACTGTCGGGCTCAATGACAAGAGCAATCTTGGTCGAGGAGTACTTCTTGACGATGGCAGCAATGGAGTCAACGTATGCCTTGTACTTGGTAAGACCATCGTTTGCAACAGTCAGCTCTCCGTTAGAGGCCAAAGCGGCACAATCACGGTTGGGCAGATCGTAGACTACGAATGCACCAATGATCTCGGGACTGGCACCAGCAGCATTCTGCTTTGCAATGTCAGCCAGGTAAGTGTCCATCGTAGGAACTTTGGCAGCAGTGTCANNCTGGTATTGTCAGCATGATTCGAGCATGTGCTTTGATGGCAAGACTTACAGCCAAACAAATGTTCCAATCTTCGCAACAGCGCTAGCCTTTGCTCTAAGACTGCTGGGAAGAGCTGGGATAGCGGCGGCAATCTCAGAGGCATAGAATGGGTTCGCATAGACTTGTCTACCAGCGAAGATGTTACCGGCACTACCAGTCGAGCCTGCGGCCGAGGTTGTGGGAGAAGTGCCCGTGGCGGTGCGGGATGTAATGAGTGTAGTACCTGCACCAGAAGTTGTAGTGGTGGGTCTGGCAGAGGTCGTGACTGGCTTCGTCGAGGTTGTAGTCGCCGCGGCGGTGCCAGTGACACACTGATAGTAGTCTAGAGGATAATCAACTTCTGAGCATGATACTCTGGATCGGCTTGCTTCTTACAAGGGNTTGACACTGGAGCAGGACAAGCCTGAGTCACAAGTGCCACTACCAGACCAGTTTTGACCTCCGCATTGTCCCCATACGGAGATGCCAAGTGCGGATGGAACGAATGCAAGCAGAAGAGCGGGAATCATCTTTGCGAGGTATAGACAAGACTGCGGTTTCTCAAAGCTGCTTACCTGCGCTTCGATGAACCTTTATAACACTGTCGACCACTAATTGAACACGTCAATGAATGGATAAAAAGACCCTGGGATCGCTGGTACGTTCGAATGTCTACATCTAAGCGAAGTGGTCTAGAACTGGTCCGGCAGGATATTGGAAGTTTGCTTGTGAGGATATGCAGGCTATGCGACTCCATGAAGACAAAGAAGCAGGGTATCCGAGGCTATTGCTTGTTGCTCAAGAGCTTGAAGCATTTAGCCGCTGATAGGCATAGGGAAAAGTGTCCTGGCATGCTCTCATGACCTTGGTTGGAGATTTGGATTTTCTCTGCATACTCTGGGGGCTCACACAGACTTGGTATGAGGCATGGCGCTAGGGGATCCCGATGTGTGATCTACAGGGCGTCGTCCAATAGGGCAGAACCGGCGCAGGACATAATGATGCTCGGTTAAGCATCTGGCACATTGTCTGAACTCAGGCTATACTTGAGTGAGGCTCAAAAGCGATTAGATGGCAACGTGCAGGAGGCTGCAGTCGAGAAATTACGGGGTTGCGGGGTGTATTTGAGGAGATGAAGTTCAAGGATGCATAAAGATGGAGTGTATACCGACGGTGAAACCTCGGGACTTGTGGCTGGCGGTCCAGAACGGATCAGATTGATTATACCACTCCATCACTCACTATTTCCCACGAATTGCAGTATACTGAGTACGATCTTCTATGCAACAGCTGATCCAGTCTTTTCGAAAGAGGAGTTTGCCTCGGCCAGAATCTGTACGACGCCAGCTGACAAGGTGTGCGCCATGCAGTCCGCGTCGGGCAATACTCTAGCCAATATCCTTCAACGCGCTGCAGGTCCTACTGGTCTCGAAGACGGGGTATCGATGCAGAAGAATGATGTGCACGCGCGTGGACATACTCAGATGAATTCTTCGTTTGATCGGACCGCCAGGCCGGACGACAGGCCTTAGTAGCCATTCATATCCTCCTCGTGTTGTCACAATATTACATTGATCCTCTTCCACATAAGGCATAGCGAAACGAGAAGCTATCGAAATACACAATCACTTAGTGTGAGAAGTGTGGCATGGAGCTAGCGTAAAATGGTATTCTTCACTTGAATGCCGCTTTCGTACCGAAGCATTTCTATAGCTATGTGTGACAGTCTTTAGCCCACGGAGAGCATGAGAAGCGGAGTAATGGTGTCGAACCAAGTAGGGGAACTCTAGCAATATTCTCAAACCTCGGCAAAACCCTTGTCGTTTACGACTTTTGGTCCTTCGATCTTCTTTATTTTCCTTCCCTCCCACCAGCACATCAAGCCTCCGAACATGCTGACTGCACACCCAAGACCAATGAATAGACCCGATCCCCAAGTTGGACGGTGGATTCGATTGTACCTCCACATCATGTAGGCCATTCCGACTTGGAAGAGTGTGTTCAACACCATCATCCATACCACAAAGTCCATTTTCCAAGACGCAGTAGCAGGAGCTCGTTCTCCTGAGAAGGTCTTGCGCCGTACCAATGCCCTGTCTACACCATCTTTCTCGCGATCTAACAGATCACCCTCGTGCAGACGGAACCAGCTTACGTTCCTTGCTGCCAATCTTCTGATTGCTCTTGAGCTCCTCTCCGTTCTGCCCCCGAACCGCCACACACATAGCCACCAAAGATCTCTGAATCTCCATGGTGCAAGTCCCCAAGCCGTTAGACAGAAAAGCGCATTCAAGATTTGTGAATCAATCTCTATCCAGATTTTGCGAGGCGAAGAGTCTGCATCACCACCATCGGGATGGTTCATTGCAGGTGCAGCTTTGAGGATCAGGAAGAAGAGCATGGCGCCCCAAGCCACAACATTAAGGCCGTACAAAGTAATGAGAAATCCGGTTGGAGTCTTGAAGAAGCGCCAAAAGGCGACGAGGCCGGTGACAATGGTTTGCTTCCACGTTTTGGGTGTCTCTGGCTCGGTTGTGGAGTGGCTAAAGCTTTGTACCAATGGCTCTAATGATTTGTTGTCGGCATTGCTTGGTGCAGTGGGTGACGTTACGGGTGAGACATTTGGTAATGTCGCTGCTCGCTTGCAGTCGCCAGGTTTTGATGATGCAAGCCTCGTTGCAAGATGACCGTCTACGTCGAAGTCGATGTTATTCTTCCGCAAGTCGGTAAGGTTTGGCGCACGTGCAATGGCTGTTCCAGTCGCTGCCCACATGCCCGGCTGCGGATCATAGCTCAGAAACTTATTCGTGGTGCTGACTGAAGCTGCGCGTATGCGTTCCAGCTGCATTGGTAGAGAAGCTTGTCTGGGCAAGGCGCCAGGTTGAGGCGATGATTGGACCATTATAGCAATGTTCTGTTGTTTATGCTGATGGTAGAAAGATGGAAGAAAGGTGGAAGAAAGAACGAAACATCCTACCTGAAACCTCTTTACATATCGACAATAAATACAGTTGCGCCTGCCGTAAAAAAGCTGAGTAGCCAAGCCCAACAGCGCGCGTACGGTAAGACCAATCAAGAAGCGCTGCAAAGTCGATGGTCAAGAAGTCAGAATATTATTAGGCGTTCAAAGCTTCAACAAAGCTGGAGCCTGGACTGGTGAATACGCGATACGGTCAATACGCGGAGTGGCTGAATCCGTATCTGACCACAGCGGTGACTTTCGTCATCTTCTTTTCTTGCTCATAGCTCTGAGACCCAGTACTTGTATTAAATGTGACTCTGGCCGTTGAGAGCATCACATTGAGCAGTCCACTGAGGTCGCAGAAGAACTGATGCTTGCCGTGGTGTATCAAGGCTGATCATGCGTTAGCGGATCTGGCATTGACGAATGGTCGTTTATTCTGACAGGCTGTGAGATTGTGAAGTTGGACAGTAGCTTTGTGTCTCGCTCTAGACAAAGCTGTACTCAAGCACTACACGAAAGACCGAGCAATCGAAGTCGACAGAAACAATTCGTCGAGGATTATCGGAAGGCGGCCGCAATTCGCTCGGGCGCGATCGGCGTCACCAGCTTGACGGCGACTTTCTTGGCAACCAAAAACCTCCAGACAGTCATTCATCATCGAAGACTCTCTTGTACACTCCATTCGCCTGATCAACTATTCATTGACACTATACCCTCAAGTCGCCACACTATACTCAACATGAGCTTCAGATTCCTTGCCAGATCCGCCAGACCTCTCTCGCAAGCCGTCGAGAGCAGAGTACCATTTTCATTCAGAGCTGTCCAACAAGGCCGCGCCCTCGCCGCCGTGAGAAGCTACTCGACCACTCCCGAGACTGGCGCCAAGGAGAACGATGTTGCAGCTGAGAACGCAGACAAGGCTGCCGAAGCCACCAAGGAGGACCCTACTCTGAAGGAGCTCGAGGCCAAGAAGAAGGAGGTCGCCGACGTCACGGTTCGTTGAACACACAAAAACACAGCCAAGAGCAAGAACAGCAGTGCTGAGATACTTAATTGCAGGNACAAGTGGAAGCGCCAGATCGCCGAGTACCGCAACCTGCAAGAGCAGACCAAGCGCGAAGTCCGCGCAGCAAAGGACTTTGCCCTCCAGAGTTTCTCCAGAGATCTTCTTGACAGCATTGACAACCTCGACCGCGCCCTTTCGGTTGTGCCCAAGGAGAAGCTCGACGGCAGCAACAAGGACCTCTTGGACCTCCACTCTGGTCTCAAGATGACCGAGACCATCCTCATGAACACACTCAAGAAGCACGGCCTCGAGAGATTCGACCCCAGCGCCGAGAGCGACAAGTTCGACCCCAACATGCACGAGGCCACTTTCCAGACACCTCAGCCCGACAAGCAGGACGGCACCGTCTTCTTCTGCCAGTCCAAGGGTTTCAAGCTCAACGGCAGAGTCATCAGAGTGAGTCCAGTCTTGCCAGAGCAGAGTACGATGGACAATGCTGATTATTTTTTCTAGCCCGCGAAGGTCGGTGTCGTCAGAAATTCATGAACACGATACAACGAAGGAACAAATGTCATTTGAATGCATATGGGGGAAGACAAAAGTAATTCCGATCATGTACTGGGTTTCTACAAGAGCAAGCATGTTTGGCAATTTTATGTTTGGGCTGGACGGACGGTGGGCATGGCGTTCAGGTAGACTGGAGACATTCCCCTCTCTTTGATGGACCAGCGTGGTCTGTCGTGTAAAAACAACTGTATATATATGTACTCTGTATGATGAGCAAAATCATATGATTGAACAGCTTTAGAATAAGGCGGCAGAGGTAGTCGACTGGCCCCATTAATCTTTGGACAGCCAAACAAGCAGGCATTATTCTCAGTCTCTATATCAATGTTCTAAGCGCTTCGTGATTTGCAACATGTCGTAAACACATTATTGCTTTTCGAGAGTGTGTCCATCCAAAAGAAAAACCTTGTTTTGTTCTCAGGCTTCCTTGTATTACGACTCCGTGATAGCGATAATCATAACAACTTCTGAGTGCTCCATGACTTTTCGGATATAACTCGACCATTTGATGAAATTTCAAGATTATTGAATCAAGGCGGCCAGCTCGTCAGATGTCCTCACAATCTCAATGACGGGAGCCGAAGCATGAGAGACGGCTTGAGGCTTCTCAAGTCTAAGACGAACACTAGTCTCTTTCGATAGCAGAGGTGTGTAGTTCATCTTCAAGACCTTGAGCACGTAGATGGCCAAAGACTCCAAAGTTTCAAATTCTGTGGGTTCAATTGCCTATTGAGCGTGTGTCAAAATGATGATCAGATGCAAGATGCGAAGATGTTGATTTCTTACCTGAGTGAGGATTCTCTCAAGCTCGGTATACGACTCGGAGTCATCTGCCTGTATCCTGTCTATCCACACACTGACGTAGAGTTTCTGCTTTGCAAGCCTCTCGTTTTCGTTGACGCCAATCAAGGTAGGGATAAAGACACGAGACAGATGCAAGACTCTACCAGTGTGTTCTTCTTCCTCGACAAAATACACATAGTTGACATAATCACCCAGCAGACTCGCCTTGGGCAACTTGATCTCGATCTGACAGGATTGGATCAGAGCAGCGCCGGGCGGGGTGTCGAGGATGGTCTGATGTATACGGTGGGCCATGTCGTCCAGCGTCTCCCAGTCTTGGACAGGTTTTAGAGAGCGCAAGTTTTTGGAGAGGATGCCGTAGTGCATTGTGCTTTCGTCGAGGGCATCCTGACTTGCAGCAGTATCAAAGCCTTGACGGAATGAGAGAGAGACGGAGAGAAGGACTGGTTGCTGCTTCTGGCGGCCCCAGGCATCCAAACCACTTTTGGGAGCGTATTGAAGAGCGAGGTCTTCGACTCTGATGCCGTCACGACACCACGGTTGACCGTACATTTTTGATGGTTTATTGATAGCAAGGTTGAGCGATGGTGAGACGTGTGGTCAAGTAAGATGTATTCGCCTGGAGTTGCCGTTTTGCCAGAGCGAGTGGTCGGAGGACGAGGGGCTCTTGGCAAGCGTTTCTAGACGTTTCGGTAGAGCTCGACGAGAAATATACAAGGCCATGCCCCGTTTGCCTGTGAATAGCTGCTAGCCACATATCAACTCTCGTCATTTTTTCTCCTACGCGCAATCAATTGACTGTTTCGTTTCTTTGATACCCCCTTGCTTTTACGACTCTCTTCATAATAATGGCCGACGCACTCAAGGCCGAAGGCAACAAGCTGTTTGCCGCAAAGGACTTCCACGGCGCTGCGTGAGTCGCTCCCAATCATACCATCACATCTTCCCAGTGCTAATAGACGCACAGCCAAAAGTTCGGTGAGGCCATCGAACTCGACCCCAGCAACCACGTCCTGTACTCGAACCGTTCCGGCGCATACGCATCCTTGAAGGACTGGGAGAAGGCCCTGGACGATGCCACAAAGACAACCGAGATCAAGCCTGACTGGGCCAAGGGCTGGGGCAGAAAGGGCGCTGCCCTTCACGGCATGGGCAACCTCGGTGGGTCCAACTCATCCTTACCATCACACGCGAGCACTTCAAGCTAACAATGTCGCAGTTGACGCCACGGATGCCTTCGAAAAGGCAGTCGAGCTCGACCCCAACAACGCCCAAGCAAAATCCGGTCTCGACGCCGTCAGACGCGCTATCCAGGCTGAGGCAGATGCTGATGGCGCCGACGCAACCGGTGGACTCGGCAACATGTTCAACGACCCTCAGATGATCCAGAAGCTCGCCAGCAACCCCAAGACTGCCTCGTTGCTGGGCGATGCCGCCTTCATGCAGAAGCTGAACCAGATGAAGTCCAACCCCAGTATGATGGGCGAGGCCATGCAAGACCCCCGCTTCTTGCAGGTCATGAGCGTCTTGCTCGGTATCGACATGTCTTTCGCTGACCCTTCGCAACAACAACAGCAGGGTGGTCAGCAGAGAGGAGAGGCCGAGGAGGACGTTCCCATGCCCGACGCCAGACCCAGCCAGCCTGAGCCCGCAAAGGCCCCTGAGCCCGAACCCGAACCCGAAGATGAGGAGGCCGCTGCGCAAAAGAAGGCAAAGGAGGAGGCAGACAAGGAGAAGGCCCTCGGAACTGAAAACTACAAGAAGAGACAGTTTGATGCCGCCATCGAGCACTACGCCAAGGCCTGGGATTTGTACAAGGACATCACCTATCTCACCAACCTTGGTGCTGCCAAGTTCGAGAAGGGTGACTACGAAGGTGCCATCGAGGCTTGCAAGAAGGCTGTCGAGCACGGCCGTGAGGTCTTTGCCGACTTCAAGCTTATTGCAAAGGCCTTCGGTCGCATTGGTACCTCTTACGAGAAGTTGGGCGACCTTCCCAACGCCATCGACAACTACCAGAGATCTCTTACCGAACACCGTACACCTGACATCCTCACCAAGCTGCGCGCCGCTGAGAAGGCCAAGATCAAGGCCGAGAGAGATGCCTACCTGGACCCTGCAAAGGCTGAGGAGGCCCGCGATCTCGGAAACCAGAAGTTCAAGGAGGCCGACTGGCCCGCTGCCGTTGAGGCCTACACCGAGATGATCAAGCGCGCACCTGAGGACCCCCGCGGCTACTCGAACCGTGCCGCTTGTTTGATCAAGCTGCTCACTTTCCCCGCCGCCGTCGACGACTGCAACACCGCCATCACAAAGGACGAAAACTTCATCCGTGCCTACCTCCGCAAGGCCCAGGCTCTCTTTGCCATGCGCGAACACAGCAGGGTCATTGATGTCTGCAACGAAGCCATGGCCCACGACAAGGACGGCAAGAATGCCCGCGAGATCGAGCAACAGATGCAAAAGGCCATCCAGGCTCAGTACAGCGCTCGTGAAGGCGAGACTGAGGAGGAGACCATGGAGCGCATCCAGCGTGACCCTGAGATCCTTTCCATCCTGCAGGACCCTATCATGCAGTCCATCCTGCAACAAGCCAAGGGCGACCCTGCCGCTCTGCAGGAGCACATGAAGAACCCTGACGTCCGCACAAAGGTCCAGAAGCTCATGGCTGCTGGTGTCATCCGTGTTGGCGGCCGATAGATCTAATGGTTGTTGCTTGACTCTATCATATTTGTCGTTTCTCAGCGTTTTCTCACAAAATTCATAGCAACACATATTCGAATGACCGTTTCATGACATACTGCTTGTCCCAGTCTTTTCATTCTTTTTGAAAGTGAAGTTTCATTATCTCTTCGTAGCTATTTTTACTAATCAAAATGTCTCTCCGACCTTGACGCCAACCTTTTCCGCAAGTCCATCAACCTCACTGGCATCGGTAGGGAAGTCTTCGGCGATGATCTGGCTCTGGTATTCCTTGCCCATGCCCACCAACAACTCTACCAAGCCTCCTCCATTGGTAAAGACATATAACGCAGCGTACCTGCTTGCAGCCTCGAGTGTAAACTCTTGACCCGCAGGAACAAAGATGGTCTCTCCAGCACTAATCTCCGATCCCTGGCCAGCGACAGTCAAGCGGAAGCTTCCCATATCGACCAAGAAGCAGTGGTGCGAGGTTGCAAAGGTTAGCGTGTTGTAAGCGAGGTACTGCGACTTTATCGCCGCCGAACCTTCAAGTCTTGCAATGCTGAATTTGCCATTCGAATCTGCTTTTTGACACAGAGGCTTTACGAGTAAACCTCCACTTGCATACCTAGGTCCTGCGTCTGATTTGAGAAAGTATGGTGTTGTTGCCGAGTTGCTGAGCTTGTTGTCTTCTTGCGTGCAGAGGGTAGGTTCAGCACCTTTGTGGTCGCGCTTGGGAACCATGTCGAATTTCTCGGTCGCGGCGATGAGTTTGGGGACCAGCACCTCCATGGGGTTTCTGTTGTCGCGGGTGGGGAATAAAGGTCCCATGGGCGAAGTAGCGAATGGCTCTCCAATAAATCTGAAAAACTCCTCCCAGCCGCCGGGAACAATGAGACCAGCAAACTCGGTATGCGAGCCCAGGATTTGGTATTGATGCACCACATTAGGAGGCACAGAGGCAAAATCGCCTGGAAGAAGTGTTCGGGCAGTATCGTTTGCCCAGACGTTCATGCTTCCTTTGGTACACAGGAATACATCGTGGGCGTCGCGGTGGTAGTGAAAGCCGATGGGGTTGTCGTGTTGGCCGCCGGTGGTCACGACGGCAAAGTCGCCTTTGGACTCTTTCTCGGTGACGAGCATGCGCATGACCGAGTTTGAGGTGGGGATTGTCCAGAGTTCGCCATTGAAGACGGGGAGCACGTAGCTCGAGTCAGGTTTACCGGGTGGTTCGCTGAGGATTGGGACGGGCATGGTTGATGGAGTGTGTTTGACTTGTGGATGTTGGCGATTAGAGGAGGAAGTGGTTCTGAATCGACGTCTTGGTTCGAAAGGAGCAAGGTAAATAGAAGATAGCATGGCACTTCAGGGCATGCTTCATACTTTATATGATTTGCACATCTCACACCTGCCTGATGTGGATACAGCAGCTTGCCCTACACTTGCTCGCCATTCGGATTTACTCCCATCCGTAGTAATCATACACAAGCCACATGATCTACCCACACTCTTCTCGAACCTTTCGCGTGTGGAACCCCTGCCGAGGGCATGGAGGTGTGTTTTGAGTTTGACTGGAACATGAACCGTTCGCTCTTTGTGGGGATTGTGGAGAAGGATGATGGATGTATCAAGTGGATGTGCGTTTTTTGCTGGCTGTGATCAAGTCAGACGTGGCAACTCACTGGTCTTGTTGCTGAATGTCTTACTCTACGAGAGTACCTCCTTAACTGTAACAATATCTCCTTCCAATGTAGAGTACAATTGATGATATCCACTGTTCGAACATCAATTTTAAGCACGTCGGTCAATTGAGGGCTCGGCCATGCTCGGCCGGAACCTGGGGCATGCCCTAACTTAGCCCTAAACCACGACCAGCCCCACTATCCCCTCGCTCATCGCCCGCACAGCTCAAAGGAACACGGCCTCGCTGTTTGATATCGACGAGCCGAAATCCGTTAGGGCTTACTGTCATTCGTCACTGTTTACGGCACCTGGATAAGTAGAGCTCCGGCCGCATTGCAGAAGCTGCGGCATTAGACCACGGGACATCTGAAGCCTTGACAACCCCTCTTCTGGGTATCTTCCATCTTTCAACTCGCCGTCTTCTCGATCAAGACGTGACAGTACACTACACAACACCATGGATCAACTACCCCAATTCGGTCGCTCCATCTTCCCAGGCTTGTTGCCGACAATGAAGGCTTATGCCGAACTCCACGAGAAGAACAGAAGCAACATCGAGTCAACACCGCGAGAGGAGTTTACGTATGGCCCAGACGCACGCCAGAAGCTCGACCTCTACAGCCCAAAGCAAATCTCGGATGACACGCCAATTATCGTTTTTGTATACGGAGGTGGCCTTGTAAGCGGAGACAAGCGATTGCCCAGTCCGCCAACAGCTCCCGGTTTAGCATATGCAAACATCGGACACTACTACTCGGTATGAAGGAATCTACTGAACCAACTAGCAGCCTGAGTAGCTGACCAAATACAGTCCAGAGGATTCGTCACAGTGATTCCTGATTACAGACGCACAGGCGACGGCGGAGCCTTTCCCTCGGGAGGTCAAGATATAGCAGGTGCCCTCGCCTGGCTCAAGACCCGCTTCGACTCTGGCAACCACAAGCTTTGGATCATGGGCAACTCTGCCGGCGCGGTACACTCCACAACCTGGCTCCTTGAACCATCGCTCGCCGTATCGAGAAAGAGCGTCCAGACAGGCTCGGTAGTGATCCAGGGAGTCATACTTGTTTCCATACCCGCACACTTCCAAANNAAAGCAGGCGCCGATCGCATGGGTGTGCTTACCGCATACTACAAGGACAGAGTGGAAGAGGACTGTGCTCTGGGTCTTGTATCGAGAGCTGAAACTCCCATCACAAAGTTGTTGGTGGTGACTGCCACCCTAGACCCCGAAGACGAGATTCTCGAATGCAGTCAAGAGTTTGTCAACAAGTACAAGGAGAGATTTGGACAAGACAGTCTGAGTGAAGTGCTGCTCGAGGGCCACAACCACTTTAGCACCACTCTTGCATTGGGCACCGGGATTGAGCGGGAAGAGTCTTTGGGCAAAGAAGTGTTCAAGTGGATGGGTCAAGCTTAAGAGCATCTATGATATGCTATCGTCACTTGAATTCATACAATTTGACATTGACTTTGACACAATTTGTAATTTCGAAATATAGGAAGCAACGAACAGCTCCGAGGAAGCCGGCCATCAATGTGCACCGGAGTTAGACGGCTTTAGCAACCAATGACGAGCAGTGACGTCCACCATGAAACCCAAACATGAACCCATATATCAACGACAGAGCAGTGCTTCTCCTACTCTGTAGCAATTCAAACCAAAATCAATCTACACAAGAACAAAAATGTCGCCAAAGGTCTTTTTCGTCACGGGAACATCCACCGGCTTTGGTGCCGAGTATGTCAAGAAGATCATCTCTGAGGGTGATCATGCAATCGCTACTGCTCGCAACTCGTCCAAGCTGGAGAAGCCCGAGGGAGCTACCGATGACAACTACCTTGCTGTAGACTTGGATGTCACCAAGAAAGATTCCATTGACGCTGCATTCAAGAAGGCCATTGACAAGTTTGGACGCCTGGATGTCGTTGTCAACAAGTGAGTCCACGCCTCAACAACACATCTGTGTCGCCGGACAGACAACTGACAGTGTCTTCNNAGTGCTGGATACGGTCTCGCTGGCGAATTCGAAAGTCTGAGCGAAGAGCAAATCCGCAAGCAGGTAAACGCCTCACCCCTCCTTACCCTACCACAACACTCCTTCTAACACTCCTTCTAACACTCTCTCTCATCCNAGATGGAAGTCAACTTCTTCGGCCTCCTCGACGTAACCCGCAAAGCCCTCACCAGCATGCGCGCCCAGTCCCCACAAGGTGGCGTAATCCAACAAGTAACCTCGATTGGCGGCCAACGCGGCGTCCCCCTCTTCTCCATCTACTGCGCCTCCAAATGGGCAGTCGAAGGCTACACTGAAGCCCTGAGCAAGGAACTCAAGCCCGAGTGGAACATCTCACTCACCTGCATTGAGCCAGGAGGTTTCCGCACCGATTGGGCAGGGAGAAGTATGGACTTCGGCGCCAACAAGAATGAGGATTATGATCATTTGGATGCGAAGAGCGCCATGCAGAAGAGGAATGGTACGCAGGCTGGTGACCCGAAGAAGGGTGCTAGGTGCATGTATGAGTTGGCTGTTATGAAGGATCCGCCATTGAGATGTGTGATTGGCACTGATGCCTATGCTGGTATCAATGACAAGTTGGATCAGTACAGGGAGAACGTCAAGAAGTTTGAAAAGTTGAGTACTAGCACTGATGTTGATGGGTACAAGGCTCCTTCTTAGATACAGACACGACACTTCCCTAAAGATCTAAAGACAATGCGTATACACGACTGAACGAAGAACATTTCAATGATCCTGATACGTTCAGCTCTCCATCTTCGTGAAGTGGTCGATCTCTAACTCTAGTGTGTAAATCTAAAGTCCAGTCGCTTGTTGCCTTCATCCGTCGTGGTAGCGAGATAACGCTCCTTTTGCTCCTTGGTCATGACATTCCACTTTTCATCGCGACGTCTGTTGNNATAAACCTTGTCAGTACAACGATACACAGCATGAATCTCAACGATCAAGACTCACTTGTTCACAGTAACATAAAAGACCTTGCATCCGACGAAAGCACAAATGTTCCAGCAAACTATACCGATTAAAATCTTGTTTCCGGTAAAGTAGTAAGGNTCTAGGGAGTGTTAGTGACTAGGATGTGAAGGACAGGTTGAACAAGTGTCTTACTTGTCCTCTGTGCGATAAATGTTTGACGCGTAGATGTTGGAGGCTTGCACAAACATGTTGTACAGTGCGGTAGCCACAGCTCGAGTACGGACGCTACCGCCATTTCTGGACGTCACTGCAACAATGACTGGGTGGATATAAGGCTGAGCGTAGACCAGACAGCTGAGAATCCAAGTCGCCCAATGGCTTCTCGTCGTCGGAAGTACCTCGAGCGCGATGAGGCACGGCAGAACGAAGAACTGAGAAATAGTCCCGATGAGGAAGCGATCATTGACCTTTTCGGAGAGATAGGACAACCATAGCAAGTTGATGATGAAAAAGCAATAAGCCGGGATGCAGAGAAGGTTGACCTGGAAAGTCGTAAAGCCAGCGCTCTTGAGGTTGAGCGTGAGGTACGATGTCATGGGATTTGCCGGTGTCATCCAGGTCAATCCAAGCAAATAGATTGGCCACATGTGGTAGTCCTTGAGGCACTTCCAGAACATGCCCAGGGACAGAGCTTGTCTGTTGTGCATATCTCCTTTACTGGGGTCGTCTCTCAAGACTCTGTTGACCATGATTTTTTCTTCTCTTTCGTTGAACCAGCCGTCTTTGCCGCGGAACTTGGAGGCGGTCTGTGTGGGCGAGGGAGGTATGTAGAACCAGGAGATTACGCCGATGATGCCGGTGAGACAGCCTTCGAGAGCAAAGAGCCAACGCCAGCCAGCGATGCCGTTGATGCCGCGCATGTGTAGGAAGCCAAAAGCAAGGAATGCCGATACGATACTTGTAAACTGATATGAGAACCAAAAGTAGCACAGTCTGATGGGAAGCTCGCGTGTCTTGTACCAGTAACTCAAGTAGAGGATGTTGTCAGGGATNCTAGCAAAGTCAGAAGGCGTTAAAATTTCTTGTACTGCAGATTGACTTACAAAGCCTCCCTCGATAAGGCCCAGCAGTGCTCTACAGGCCAGAAATCCGGATTTGTTGTGGATGAAAGCTTGACAAGCGGCGACCAAGGACCACAAAACCATCTGAATGGGCACCCAGTTGTCGGGTCCAAACTTCTTGCCCAACATCTGACTAGGCAGTTCTGCGAACAGAAAGCAAAGATAGAAGATAGTCTGTCCAGTATTGTAGTCGTTGGTAGAAATCTCGATATCAGTGAGCATGTTGTCGGAGAGCGCTTGCGAGATATTGCCCCTGTCGAGTTGCAGTGAGAAAAACATGAAACACACCCATGAGCAGATGCGCAGGTCAATCTATTGTCAGAGCGTGTTAGCAGAGATCTGGTTTACAACTTCCAATGATCACCGACCTTTNCTGACAAGCTTCTTCTCCTCCTTGTCTTCCCACTGGAACTGGGGATCCCATCTGTGATATCCTTCATAGCTTTCGATCGGCTTGTAATAGCTGCCGAGAGAATCGGTGTCGAATGCAGACTCTCGAGTCTTGCCTGCTGTGTCGAAAATTACCGGCTCATCGACTGTGGCCAGAGGGAAAGCTTTGGTATCCGAGACATGCTTCGAGTGGTCGGAGCTCGTGTCACTGTCCGATTTCTCGATCTCGCCCATGTTTGAAGCGAAGTAAATAGGTAGGTGGGTGCGATGGACGAAAAATATTGATGGATGCAGGCACCATCAGTTGTGATATGTCAAAATTTCAAGGCTCAACGTTAGTCGTACGCAAACTGACACACGTCCATCATCGTGGCAAACTCTTCAGCATAAGTGGATAGATCGATATCGTTGAGTGCTGATAGTGGACCGCGTACTCAGGACCATCGTATATCGTGAGTGGATACTGCCCCTCTCAGACAGACATTGCAAGGGTAGCATTCCGCGGCATCGCCATTCTCTCCGATGGCTAAACAGCAGTAAAAGAGAGTACTGCATCCTTCAATCATATATCCGACACTGTATTGTTGTGTGATGGGCCACTTTGTTGCAGCCAGACGTCCAGAATTGCCTAATCGGGAAGTGATTGTGGTATGGCGTGCTTTGCGGAGTACATTGGCAAGGATGGCGACATTTGCTGAGCAACGCATTAGCCTGATATTCTTCTGATTAAATGCTGACATACTATAGGTCTGTGATGTTGTGATTGATATGAAGGATCAATGTTTCGTCTGAGGTTGTATTTCTCCTGTGGATGCTACCCGTACAACTGCCGTGATTCGCTTTGGTGGGGAGCGACAATATTCGACCATCGCACGCAATGTCGTGTGCTTGTCGCAAGACAATGTTGTCCGATCGATTATCTGATCAACAGAGTCATTGTAGCTCTTCCATGTATTCAAGTCGATTGCCGATATCCGATCTTGTGTTCAAAAGTAGCTTGATAGCTCGTTCCATTTAGTCTCTGGTTTATCTCTTTTGCTTTTACACCGTGACAAACCTACAACTTCTCTCAGATCAACGAACCACCATGGCTCCTGCCCTGATCGAAACCCCGCAAGACTCGGAGAGAATCTACGTCAAAGACCAAGTCCAGGAAGGTTACAAGGAGGCCTTTGCCCAAGGTCCCAAGACAACAAACTATGACAACGAATTGAAAGGCGTTGGAAAGCACCCTCCAGCAAAGTATCCACTCTACCTCCCAGTATGGGACAACGAAAAGGATATTGGAGGAAAGTATCCTCCCAACGAGCCCTTTGAGGCTTACGAACACGGAAGAGATGCCGATCCATCATTCAAGAACCTGTTCAAGGGAGCCACATCAGTCGAGGACCTCACTGCAAACATAGGAGCAGAGGTCAAGGGTATCCAGCTGAGTAAACTCGACAAGGCCGGCAAGGATGAGCTGGCCCTCTTCGTCGCACAAAAGAAAGTCGTCGGTAAGTACTTCGGATATCACCATATCAGCGACACAACTCTAACAATCCATATCANNGCATTCCGCGATCAAGACTTTGCAGACCTACCAATCCAAGAAGCTCAAGACTTTGCCGAATACTTCGGCCCCTCACACATTCACCCTGCCTCTGGCGCTCCAGAGGGCTTCCCAAAGGTCCATCTGATCCACAGATCAGCAGCCGACACAACCGCCAAAGACTTCTTTGAGGAACGCACCAACAGTATAACCTGGCACAGCGATGTGACCTACGAGCAACAACCCCCAGGCACCACATTCCTCTACATCCTGGACGGGCCCTCTGCAGGCGGCGACACTTGCTTCGTCAACCAAGCAGAAGCCTACCGTAGACTGTCTCCAGAGTTCCAGAAGCGTCTGCATGGGCTCAAAGCAATTCATTCTGCTCATGAACAAGCGCAAAATGCTCTTGCTCGCGGCAGCATTGTACGACGTGATCCTGTCGCCAACGCTCACCCTGTGGTCAGAACACACCCTGCCACTGGTGAAAAGGCTTTGTTCGTAAACCAGCAGTTCGTGAGACGTATCGCAGGGTTCAAGAAGGAAGAGTCGGACTACTTGCTCAAATTCCTTTACGACCACATTGCGTACTCGCAGGACATCCAGGCCAGGGTCAAGTGGGCTGCTGGAACCGTCATTGTTTGGGATAACCGTGTCACTGCTCACAGTAAGTTGTCGCTCGATTGAATTTTTCTCTGGGAATATGCTGACCTTGCTTCCAGCCNNGCCATTCTCGATTGGCAAGACGGCCAACGGCGTCACTTGGCTCGTCTTACTCCTCAGGCCGAGGCGCCATACGAGACTCCATTCGAGGCGCCAAGCCAGTAGATGATTGTGATGGGCGAAAGATGATACATGTTGGGATAATCTTTTCTATGTTGGAGGACGAATAGTATGATGAAGATAGTCGGAATGGAAATTGACAAAACAAGAATGTGAATGAAGTTGTAATAGGAGCGTACGAATCTGGATCGCACGTTCAACCTCGTCCATGTCGTGATATTGAATTCAAGAAAACACTGTGACAGCAGTGATATGACAGAAAAAGCCCATACCGTGTAAACCCATGACCGTGTCCCAAACCCATGAGAGCGACGCCAATTGTCCCTGACCAAGCCGAACGAAGAAAGAGTAGTTGGTACGAAAGATGCAAGACTAGTCGCTGCGCAACATGCTCTCGACCAACTCGCCCAACGGACCGTACCATTCGGCCTTGGCATCTCTTCTACCACCCTCATCGGCAAGACCAAACTCTTCCACAAACAAGACGTAGTGCTTGAAGCCAGTGTTGAGATGAGCCTCTAGGCCGAGACCTCTGATGACGCCGTAATGATGGCAGTAGATGTGGGCGTAGATGCGATAGAGGCGCTTGAAGATTTGCTTGATGGTCGATTGGAAGGTTGGAGGGAAAGGCACTCCTGGATGGGTAGGGAAGATGTTTGCGTCTGAGAGGAGGTTGGAAGTCCACGAGAGGAGGTTGGAGATGTAGCTGGGAGCGGGAAGACGGACGGGGCGAGGGAACTCGGGAGGGTTGTGCCAGAGGTACTCGAANTCTATGAGAAGGGTGGTCAGCGATTGGAGACAGGAGAGAATGGCAAGCAGTGTGTCTTACTCGTCCGTGGCCTTCATCTCGGGACACGAGTGTGGGCTGCAGAACTCGGTGATGGCGCCGTACAGCAGGTTGATCTGGTTGTAAAAGTCGACGACATTGACTGCCAGCCATTCGTCCTTGTCCTCGCCCTCGGGCAGGCGGACAACCTTTCTCAAGCTGCCGCTTCCGAGAGTCGCCTCGGCGAACTGCTTAAGCTGCCAACTGTTTGTGCCCTTAGCGGTGCGCGCGGGTCTGAAGGATGACCGCGTGCCACGGTTGGCGTTGCTGCACGTCGAGAACATGTTAGCATCTGAGTGTGTTCCTCTTCCGAGGGCATTGCGGAAGCGGTTCTGGAGGGGTGACGACGATGAGGACGCAGAGAGAGGGCTGTCTGGAAAGCACAGCGACAGTTGCGACCACGACTCGCTGGCCGCCAGCACGTTCGAGTGCAGCGCGGGCAGCGGTCGCGCCTGGACGGGAAAGAGAGGACGGGGAGGGGAGGATTGCACCAACATTGTCTGCATGAAGGTCGCCATGCTGTGTAGGGTATGGGACTATGTCTTATCCCTTGTTCAGCTGCTGTCTGCCACGCTCATTCCGTCAGCCGCTAACGAGGAATGAAGACGTTGCCGATACATCCTCACCCGATCTTATCAGTCACACGAGAGCTGCGTCAGTTCTGATTGCACTTTGTCCCAGAGTGTCTTGTTGATTGCGGGACGACGACAGATGCCAAAGGACGCTGTTGATTGCTCGTTTGTTGACGCCGACAGCCCTATCAATCCCGCTTCCCCACACGAGCGCCTTCCTTTGTTTATTAGCCCGCCAAGCATCACATGCTAGAGGGAGTTGCTCATAGTAAACAGCATTCATAGTAGACAGCATTTCCAGAATGCCATACCGTCTTGTATAGAGATTAGCTAGTCTTTACTGATCCATGACTACTCCCTCTTTGCTGCCCCTCCACTCCTGACCCATTCACCCACCTCGAATCCAAGACGTCGCAATGTACCTGCTTCGATCCCCTCAACTCCGCCGTTCTCTTCACTGCCTTTGAAACGGCGAACCGCCATGATCCGATTCTCCTCCTTGATCTCCACTCCGCCTTTTCCTCCATCTTCCGTCTTGTCAGCCTCCTTGACATAAACCGTCATGTCCGGTCCGACGATTCCGCGCCACAACGTCGCTGTCCACTGCCAGTGGTCTGCTGCCTTGTACGCGTCCTTGATGGCCACCCGTGATGCAAATACGTTGGATGCTGTCACTGTGTACGTGCGCAATAGTATCACCACCCTGCTGCTGCCATGAGACGAGTCAACCTCCATGGCCTCGCTGTCAGGCATTGAGCCCGGTTGTGAACTACAGTCACTGTCCTTCCTCTCCTTGTCTCCACGAGCCACTTGTTCAATCTTCTTGCCCTTGTCATGCCACTCAGCCACAGTTCGGAGTAGCTCTGGGATCTCGACCTCACGTCCGTCCTTGCCTTCTGGTAGCTTCGGGCCATCGACCACCTTGACCACCATGTCGCCTTCGCGGCCCAGGAACTCTTCGAGCCAGTCTGTCACGTTGCGCGCCGCTTCTGGGTCATCGCCCTCGATGGCGATTATGGTAGCTCGCGACTTGTTGTGGTCGTTTGTAGAGAGAGGCGGTGCAACTCGACCGAGAATCTGCACCTTGGCCATGAAAGACATGGACACGATGATTTCACCCACACTGCGCCTGTCGGGCTCCTTGGGGTCGCTACCTCTGTTGCCGCTCGGCGGCTGTCCAGGCCCTACTCTGGTGGATGTCGGAGGGCCAGACATGGTGCCGGCTTGCAAAGGNGGTAGTGTCAGACTGAGCTCTGGTCCACCTGTGCGTTGGCCTTGACTCGCTCGATGCTGCGAGTAGCCTGGTCCAGGACGAGGCGGTGGGCCCATCATGTTTGGTGGCACTGGTCCTCGTAGAAAATCGACTGGTCGTGGTAAGCTCTCCCTACGGACATGCTGCGCACCAGGTGGAGGCGGGAATTGTTGAGGTGGGCCCATTTGTTGATTTTGCTGAACATGTGGCTGTCCTTGCGGGCCAAAGGGGAATGGCGTGCCAGGGCCTGCATTCTGTCGTGGAGGCATGGTGCGCGTCGACATGACATATGTTCCTTGTGGTGATTCGAATCTGCGTCGCTTTGAGTCGGGTGATAAGATGGATGGATGCTCATCTTCGCCACGCTGGACCATGAATGGCTGCGAGGGGCGTCCGTTGCTCATGTTTCGAGGATGTGGAGATGACAGAGAAAGGTTGTTGAGCATAGGCAGATAACGCGTCGAGGGGGTTGTGGTCGACGATGGAGTTGGAGGGGGAAGTTGGAATGCGTTCAGACGTGGAGGGTGAGGATAGGCTGATGAAGGACTTGTTTCCAGACTGCGGGGGTTCTCAAGTCGTTCTCGTGCGGAAGAAGGTGTGCTTGGTGTAGGATGGATGATGGTTCGGCCACCGCACTTTTGGCACTTGCGGTGATCTGATTGCGAGAAGCCTGACTCGGACGAGACGCTGCCACGTCGTCCTGAACGCTTAGGCTGATATCTGTAAGAGGGATATCTTTGTTGGTGCTGTAACTTCTCTTCCNNTGTCATCCTGTCAGTATCGAGTTTCCGGCTTGGCATACAGATCTGACCAACCTCTGCGTATGCCTTCCACCGATTCTTCTCTCCCTCAGGCTCGTTTCTCCACTGCTCACCAATGATCTTTGAGATCTCAGGATTGGCAAGACCTGGGTTCTGAGCGACTACAGCAGCTTGGCGGTTTTGGCGATAGAGGATGAACGCNTGTAATCTGTCAGCATTTGCAAGATACATAACAGCAAGACGTTTCGTGTACTGACCGTTCCTGGGTCTGGGGACCTTTGGCTCGGGCTGGCACAGACAGAAGCTGACCAAGGACTCTGTACTTCCGTCTCTGGTATGCGAAGGGCTCACGTCTTGACCCTCCTCCTGATCAAGAGCGTCGGCGCTCCTCTTCTGATGGTCGCGAAAAGGCGGCGACTCTTCAGGCGTCAGCGGCGTGTCCGACAGCCGGGATTTGGGCGAGTGCTGCAAGTGCGGAGCGATGGATATGTTGGTCGACACTCTGCGCGAATTGATACCTCCGTCGCTTGCGATACCTTGGGAACTTGTACTCAAGTCGTCGTGTTCTGCAGATGGCATCGTTCTCTCCCACAACTGCCTGGTGAAGACGATCTGTGGTTGGGCATGGGAGGGCTCAGCAGTCGATGATGTAGTAGTCGGCGACAATGTCGAAAACCTAGGTTCCGATAGGGGTACTCGTATGACAGACATTGGAAAGGGGATGGCCAGGAATGCACTCTTTTGTTGTCAAAAATGCCGTCTTTGACGTCCTCATGTCAATACGCGGGCAGAGGTCGAAAGACGGGGGCTCGCGGCCATTATTCAACAACGCCCACTCCTGGTCTTTCTTGTCGCCAGAGTCGGCGATTGGTCCTGCCATTTCTTTGTGTCATGACGAACGAGTGCCCTTCATGTCCGATTGTCCTGATCAGATCCGGCCTGACGGCGAGGTTGCGACAGACAACCCGAGCTGGCACTTCTTTGTTCTGGTGGTGGGCAGATTTCCGCAAGCGGGAAATTCGGGCCAAGGTGAGACATTCCGACCAAACGCAAGGAGATTGGCCTAGGAACGCACCACATGTGCAATGCGAACAAACCGATTATTGAAGGCAGTCGTCCCCCATTTGACCAACCCCAGTATTTACAAAGCTTCTGCTTTTCTGCCTTGTCGTTCAAGCCAGGTTGTTCACTTTGCCCAAAGGCAATGGACGATTTGATTCCATCTTTGGATCTTCGACGCGCAAGACCTACTTGACAACGGTGCTGTTACGAAGCATCCCAGCGACGTGTTTGCCGAGTAGCTCATGTGCGGCGCCGCTCAAACGCGTATCATCNCCTGGAAAGCGCATCAAATTGTGGGTTCAAACAAAGAACTCAGCTCAAGCTTGGACATACCAGAAAAGNAAGTGCGATGGATCATCGCATATCGTAAATGGCCGGGTTTCGATTCCATCTCCACTGGATAGAGCGGTGTAACTAACACAGGGCTTGGTCACCTCCGTAAATTTGGCAGCTGCCCTGATCTTCGACACTACTCCTAGGCCAGTCTCGTCGATCTCGGGTTCACGCATTTGCTCGAGCATCCACGCATAGAAGTCGGGCACGACAACGTGAGCTCTGTCCCACATGGCGACCTTTTTTTGCAGAAGATTGTTCCAGAGATCGGTCAGGATGACAGCGTGCCGTTGGAGCTGGCCGTATTTGTCTGTGCCGTTTGCAGATGAACGCTGGTTGATCCAGCGAGGGAAGAAACTGGGATCCGGTATCGTGGGTATGATGATGGTTGGACGATGCGACAACACCGACTTTGCTTGGACGAGGCGGTCTAGCTGGGCAAACATTGAAGCGATGCAGTCCACCACAGCGGGTAATACAGCCTCTTCTGGTAGGCCTACGAAGTCCCATACCTCCCAGATGCCGAAGAAGACTGTAAAAATGATGGTGGTCTCTATGCCCCTTTGTTCTCCGTCATCTTGCCGTCGGGCATCGTCTTGGGCGAGGTATTCATCAACTTGGTGCCCAAAGTCTCCAATGTTTTTAAAGTCAGCAGTGAGGTTCATGGACTTGCTAAGATTGGCGCAAATGGCGTTATCGACGACAGGGCCTCGGCGGTGGGACGGAGAGGAGGGTAACGATTGGCCAAGGTCGTAGATGCGGTCGCAAACAACCNNTGTCTGGGTCAGGATGAGTCAAGACCAAGCGCGTCAAACACAGCATACCTCTGAGCAAAGGGTGTCCACCCACAGCTTCTTGTTGGCTGGCGACGGTGTTCGTTCGATAGGCAGTTCGAGGCGATTGGTGCTCCACGAGTCTCCAAACACGATGACTTCGGTCGTCTGGCGACTCCAGACCTTCTTTGCTCGCGTGATCGGATGGTATGAGCGCAAGTTCCATGTCACAAATAGCAGAGCCGAGATCGCGAACAGCACAACCACATTGAGACGAGCGAAGAGCTTCATGCTGTCGTTTGCGTCTGTGGTCCAGATGGTTGCCTGGGTCGGCTCTGTTTATACCAGCAAGTGGTTGGTCGTGATTTCGTGTCTCGTGTCAAAGAGCAATCAAATCGATTATGTTTTAGCAGCAACAGCACTACCACTCCTTCACAAACAAACCAATGAGAAGAGCGCTAGGAAAGTAACGAGAGCAAGACAGCGACCCATGACGAGTAAGTCACAGATCCCAAATCAGCTGCTTACCTGCCAGGCTGCCCGGTGCCCGATGGTTTCTACCGGGACAAGCGAATGTACTGACGCGTCCTCCGCGACAGCCGTGCTTGCCAGATTTCTAGCCGCCAACGGCATTGCGAAGGTGACGAGGTCTTTCTCTCGCTCTAGGCGACATGTTGAGAATGTTGTCTTCTGAACAACGACCATGAAGATGTTTTTATGTTGGACCAACGCGTGCGAGAGGTGCTGGCAGTTGTCGGAACGAACCTCTACTTCGAGTTCTCCAGGCCTTGGCCGACGTGTCACCAAAAGCTTGGTTGCCCTGATTTTGCGCGAACGTTCGTGGCTAAGTCTGCCTGTGACTTCCACTCTCCTTCTGACAGTGCAATATATGAGATAATCTGGATACAATGTAGTGTCAATGGATGCCATGGATTTCCAGCTCTCTGCGGACATCTTTCGGAGCGGAAGACAATGGAACCGTACAATAGCTGTATGCGTGTGACAAACTTGTGGACGGAGCTCTCTCCGAGTCCGGGTTGTCCTAATAACAGGGTTCCAGCATCAAAACTCATCCATTATATCTTTACCGCCTCATAAGAGGTACGCGCAAATTATTACTTTTAGATAGCTCAGAGACTCATATGCTCATACTCCATAGCACATCAGTCAGAGCCTCTTGTTGAAGCGGCTTCAACTCGTGCACGTCAAGGGACTTGCAGCCTTGCGTTAGGTGACAAGATGAATACAGCTCACAGCATGAATTTGTCAAACTGCCTTTTGTATGAACACAAGCATCACTATTGTCCATTCAGAACGTCAATGTCTACGGAGAACAAACAGGAAGTCAAGGAAAAAGACCTTGTTCCTACTCACTTTCATTTGGCTCAAGGACTCAAGGAGCTCTTTCCTCGTAAAATCCATCAGTGACGCTCGGGCCGCCTTTCCTTCCTTCCAACCTTCCTCTTCTCCTCAACTGGCGCTTCCACTTCCACGCCACACACGACTATCCTCTGATGCGCATCTTAGTTAGTACAACTCAGTGCCCACATGATGGCGACACATCGCGGGTCAGTTGTGGTGGACCTAACGAGTGACGAGTCTGACGACGAGCCTGGCCATATCTTTCCAAACCTCCACACCACTCCAAAATCCTCGAGACTACCCGTATTCACATCACCAGAGGGTGCACGATTTCTAAGCGATTTAGGCAACTACGTCTCTATTGGATCACTTGTTCTAGGCGAAGTGATTGGGACTGATGCCGAACCTTTCTGGGAGGAAGCCACCAATGTCACAACACTGCAACAATCAGGTCTCTCTGAGCAGAACGCGCTTGACATAGACAAGCTCCTGGCTCGCCAGCGCATTCGTCTGTTTGTGAGTGTTCCATCAAAAGCTGTGCTCAGGGTTTATGTCCTGCCCAGCGACGTTGGACACAGATTCCTGCAGCAGGACCGAGGGATGGACTCACTTTTGTTTTCGCTAATCCAAAACCTTGACGTGTCCCCCGAAGCATGGAATGGGCATCCAGACGTCCCAGAGCCATTCCCCCTGTATGCTGCTGGTGAAGAGGGATCACTATACTATCTGTTCAACAACATTCCATCTCCGAATCCAACATCGGAGCGAATCATGAGTCACTTCCACAAAGAGATCATGCTGGACATCCTCGATTCCGAATATCAACTACCTGGTCTCAAGACAATCCTTTATCCGTACCAGCGCAGGTCTGCAGCTCAAATGCTACAACGGGAGTGCGAAGAAAGACTCGAACTTGATCCTCGACTGGAAAAGCGTGTCGCTCTCGATGGTACAGATTATTACTACGAGCCTTGGGATGTCTCGTTCCTGCGAAGCCCTCGCTTCTACGAGGCCTGTAAAGGGGGCCTGCTGTCCGAGTCAATGGGATTGGGCAAGACACTCATCTGTATATCGCTGATTCTCGCAACTCGTGGCTATCTCCCTCGTACGCCTGCTCAGTATGATCGAGAGACCGTTCGACCGAAGGTCGGCAGTCTTNTGGAAATGGCTATCTCAGCCGTCAATCGAAGCTCTGCTCCATGGTCGTCGTTCTTTGAGAAACATGAAGACGCGACTGGCGAACACATGAAACATTGCATAGATTTGATGCGGCACAACGCACCTTCCTACGAGATCCCGGTCGAACCAATCCGGTGGAATCGCAAGACCACGGTTCCTTCACCANAAAAGCTAACACTTGCCGCAACGACCTTGGTCGTGGTGCCAAGAAACTTATTATCGCAGTGGAAAGCAGAGCTGGAGAAGCACACGACAGGCGTCCTGAAAACGCTAGTCATGGAGGACAACCGCGTTGCTCTTCCCTCTCCAGAAACACTAGCGACCTTTGACCTCGTATTGTTCAGTCGAAGTCGATTCGAGTACGAGGATCGAGATGGTGCAGACGCACATGGTCGACGTATGTCAAGATATCCGATGTCCTGCAATTGTCCATATATTGGAGCTACTCGGACGCGAGATTGTGTCTGTGTACGCATTGACGTAAGTTCGCGAGCTCTGTCACACCAGAACCTGCTGACCGCTTGTGATAACAGGNATCTCTACGAATCACCACTCAAAGCTCTTCATTTTCTAAGAGTAATAATTGACGAAGGCCATGGAATGGCCACCGAGAACACCAGAATTGCAACTGTGGCGAGTAGACTGGTCGAAGCTTCTCATCGATGGATCGTTAGCGGTACACCAGCAAAAGATCTCATTGGCGTCGAGATGGACTTGGTTGGACCTGTATCGCACACCGGGACCCCAGCCCCCTCCGATCGTGATGATGGAGATTCGCAGTATGGCTCCGGCTCTGGCATTGACTCCGCAGCACCTGCACTGCGCGATGCCGCAGAATCTCTGCGGCGCGATGCTCTACTCAATCAGAGGAGAGCGTTCAACCTCAAGGATGAGAAAATAGGAGCAGTCCGGAATATCGGCGCACTAGCATCCACCTTTCTCAAAATCAGGCCATGGTGTTCTGTTGAAGACGAACGGGGATCTGACTGGACAAACTACTTCTTTCGTCATGAGATGCTCCGCCCACGAGCTCGCACCTACTCCGGGTTCACAAAATGCTTGCGCCAAACGCTGGAATCGATTGTTATCAGAACACAGCCTGCAGATGTCGAGCGCGACATAGAGCTACCACCGCTCACACACGAGATTGTGCGATTAGAACCGTCATTTTACGACAAGCTCACAGTGAATGCCTTCGTGTTCGTGCTCACTGCCAACGCTATCACCAGCGAGAGAACAGACATTGACTACATCTTCCACAAGGCTAGCGGCAAGGCACGAGTTCAATTATTGAACAACTTGCGTGCAAGTGCTTTCTATTGGACCGGTTTCAGCGCTGCTGATATGATGGCCGCGATAGAGCAAAGTGAAGGCTATATCAAGAAGCAAAACAAGCTGTGTTCAGAAGAAGATGAGACTCTGCTTACACGTTGTGTTGACCAAGCCGGAGTCATGGTCGGCTCTGAGGGGTGGAAAAACTTGACGCAAAGCCATGAAGTTGGATTGTTTGTGAAAAAATGGCCAGTCGAGTCTGCAGCGTTCTGGTCTTTTGACAGATCAGGTGAGTCGTTAGCGCCAAAGAAACACCTGTGCATGACCAATCAACTTTCACTAACGCCTTGATCTCCAGATCCGTCTAAATCTCATTTGCTGTGTGGAACAACACAGTTGATACAAGCTCAAGACCATGTCAACCGCCAGACCAACTTGTCCGACCCGGCAGAGGGTCTTGCTGGAGCTGGTATCAGAGCATTGTCCTCCCTGCGCTCACAGCCAGCGGATGAAAGAACGCCTGTGCTTGTCAAATCAGGCATACCTTCGTCCTCGCTCGCGGTCAACCAAGCAGGAACTAGGCGTTCCTTAGGGGCAAAAGCATCAACCTTACAACCTTCCAAGGACGAGTCACCTGAACGCAAGAACACTGCTTTGGAGAATCTTGTTAAGGATGCGCAATTGCCAGTCGATTCGGCCCTTCTCAAAACAAAGATTGCTGGCACTACATCGTCGAAATTGAGCTATCTTCTCTCCCGTATTGAGGAGTTCTATCGTGACGAGAAGATACTCGTCTTCTACGATAATGACAATACGGCCTACTACGTAGCACAAGCCTTGGAAGTGCTTCACGTTGACTACCTCATTTATGCCAAGTCACTGTCGGCTGCAGTCAAGTCTGACTACGTCGTCAGGTTCAATCAGAAACCAGAGCACCGGGTGCTCTTGATGGACATTGGCCAGGCTGCATTTGGGCTAAATTTCCCTTCAGCTTCTCGAGTCTTCTTCATCAATCCCTGCAACAGGCCCGAGGTGGAAGCTCAAGCTCTCAAACGAGCCCATCGTATTGGGCAAACGCGAGAGGTCCACGCAGAGACCTTGATCCTCAAAGACACGATCGAGGAGAAGATTTTTGAGCGGGCTAGAGTCATGAGCCGGAGCGAGCACAAGAACGCAAAGGAGTTGGAAGACGATGGTGGCATCCGAGAAATCATTCAGAGCGCGCAGCCTATACCAGTATCCATGCAGGAGGGCCGGATCGCGTTCATTCAGAAGCCTCAGCAGCTGTTCGCAAGGCCAGGTTGGGCAGATTGGAAGAAAGTTGCACGTGAGAATTCCAAGCCTCGCACTGAAACGACAGGGACGAGTGGCAGCGGAAAAAGGAAGGCAGAAGGTTCCAAAGAGAAGAACAATGGTAAGAAGCGGGCAAAGAAGGAGAAAGGATGAGGACTTGTAGGAGAGTAGACCTTGTCGATATCGCGTGGGAAAAGCCCATTGCTGTAACTTAGCTCTTACCATGATCGGTACATTAATACACACACGAGTACCAGCAGTTCAGACCGCTGGCTGTATTGAAGATTTTTATTGCCAGCATATATCTAGCCAGAGAGTATAAGTACGAGTGTCGAGATATGGAGAAGGAAAAAGAGCGCTCCCGATACAAACAAACGCCGCCGTTTCCCATCATGATGGTCCAGTTTCGTACATATTGTATTACATGATCATGCCAAAAGACGCGTAGTGGTGGCCTTTGGCTGGAGGAGAAGGGGGTCGTCGATCATGCACTGTACGCGGTTATTCTCTGCGAACGATACTTAGACTCATATTCCGATGCGGGGACAGCAAAGGTGTAGAAGTCAGCTCTAAGCAGTCTGGGATGAGGTACTTACAACAACGATAGCGTCAAGTCACCACGAATACTGGCCTTGAGTTCAATTTCGACATCGAGATTGGCATCCAGCTTCAACTTCAGACCGTCAGTCTCGTCGAGCAGAGATGCCTCCTGTTTAGGCGGTTTCTTGTAGTAGGGTTGGTTTGGGTTGCTGCCTCGCATGGGGATCTCTCCTCTGTCTGCGCGGGCCTTTGTCACGGGGCCGTCCATGGATGTTGAATCGGGTCCGATGCGCTCAAAGGGCTGCATCTCGTGGAGATCGCCATTGGCATCTGCTTCCTCGAGGGCTTCGAGGGAGTTTGTGTGCATGTATTTGCCGTCGCGCTGGTCGTTCTTTACTCGCTTTCTTCGGGCGCGGCGGGAGGAGGATCTGGAACGCTCGGTTTGCAGGCCTNNGAGCGGTAGTTAGTTGGGTGGGTTGTCGTTGGGAGATCGATTGTTCATACCGGTTTGACGCTTCTCCTGGTTGTAGAATTCATTGTGCTTCTTTTGTTGCGTTACGGTTCTTTGGTTTTGTGCTTGCTCGGCCTGGCTTCCTTGGAATCGCTTCTCGTCTCCGGAGGGNTACTCTGGCTCCCAGTCCTCGCGGGCCTGCTCGATTTCCTCGTCGGTGGGTTTCGACGGCATGTTGGTAATAGTCCTTTGGAATTGGTGCTGAGGGTAGAGAAATGGGACTGTGGTTGTATGGTGGGTTCGAGTAAGGAAAATCACAGGTGAGTTGGGCTAGTGGTCAGAGCAGCAAGAACAGTTGCAAGGTACAAGCAACGAGGAAAAGCCAGTGACGTCCGCGGGAAATGCAATGGAAAAGACAGGGAAAACCACACTCATCACTTGCCAGGGCCTTACCTTTCGATCTCGACGGACCCAAACCTCCCGCCTACGGGCAAGCAGCAAGACAGCTAGCGAGGTTTGGTCCCCGCGCCTGCGCCATGATCGAATGAATGTGCCACACAAACCTGATTTCCTAGGGATCCGCACTGCTTCTTGCACACCAGCCACACGTCATAGCAAAGGGCGGCCCCTGCTGTCCTCGTTGCAGACACGCGTTGCTGCAAAGCGACTCGATTCGGATCCTCGAGCAAGGGTTGACAGCGGGGGTGAAAGCTGCTCAGCTGCTGAAACCGCAATCTTTGCCGAATCTGTGGCTTGGGCGACGTAAAAAGTGGCTCCGCTTGCATATTGTGGAGAAAAATCAAGGCACGGCCACATTCTTTCTCCCTAGGGCAATTTGCTGCCAACAAGGAAATTTTGCGAGGTTCGCTCGAAACACTATTCGTGATCGAGGCGCTGCGCCTCTTTTGANNCCGGCATGTCGACGTCAGNGTTGTCAGAAGATCCTAGCGAGTTGTTTGTCGTGATTCCGAGCTTTGATTGATACGAGAACACCTCGAACAACTCCACGTATGAGCATAGATTGATTCGATCATACGAGGNTTGGGCTGCAACGACGGATGTGCNGAGAGCAATCGAAAGCGAGCAAGACGTCGTCTGAGGCATGTGCGACTCGTACAGTACAGCCAAAAGATCACGCGTGTGGAATGCCTTGGATGNGATAAAAGTCGTCTCGTCGTCTTCGATCTNAAACGTACTTTACATGCTGTAGCAAAGGAAAGAACANNGTGAACATGTGGTAATCCAACAAGGGCCAAAACTCCATGATATCCCATTATAAGTGTCGTCNNAACATTGGTCGTACGCAGCCAAGCNGTATGTGCAGCAGCAATATTTTTAGTTCCTGGTGATATGTTAGTTTTGTGAAATGAGACAAGTCTTCGATATACGTACAGCAGTCCAAGAGTCAAGTCACCGTGAATCTTGGCCTTGAGCTGAATCTCGATATCAAGGTTGAGTTCCAGTCTCAGACGGAGTTGCTCGCCCTTGCCGCCGTCTTCCTCTTCCTCACCACCACCTTGCTTTTGGCTGCCGCCGCCGGTCAGACCGCCGAGTGCGTTACCAGCAGTATTTCCGACTTGGTCGACGGCCTGTCCGGCAGTGTTCTGAACCATCTCGCCGGCTCCGCCGACTGCGTCACCTCCAGGGACGTTCTCGGTAATGTCGTCCAGGGGACCACCACCACCACCGCCTCCTTGCTTCTTCTGACGTTGACGTTGACGGCGACCACCGTTTGCAGAGGCATCACTTCTGGCAACTGATTCGGTGTCGCTTTCCTGTCCGCGGCGGCCGCGACCACGGCTTTGGCGTCGGCGAGATTGAGATGCTTGACGTGACTTTTGTTGTTGAGGTTCCGGCTCGGCTTCTTCTTCTCCGTCGGCGTTGGCGCTGGCATCGGCTTCTGCGTTTCCTCCAGCCTCTGCCTCAGCATCGGCACCACCGTCTCCTTCCGACTGGTCGGGTGTGGGCTGCTGTTGAGGCTTCTTCTGGCCCAGCTTCTGAGGCTTCTTTCTCTCGGGGGCACTGGCACCGCCCTCGGCTCCGGCAGAAGCTTGCTTGTCCGACATGGTAGAAATCTTTTGTGAGTATGAAGGATGTAGTAGGTGTAGTGTGGGGAAGTGAGGTTGCTTGCGAGGAGAAAGAAAGACGAGAGAATTGGAAAAAGACCCGGCTAATACTTAGAAAACTGGCAGAGCACCCTTGGGCATCCGAACAGGTTTCGAAACCCGCATCAATGTCAAAGGGCGGTCCTTTGACGTAACATTGGCTCACCAGCCACATTTCTCGAGGACCGAAGTGGGCACCTCAGCATGCAGGCGTGCTGATCGCGCGTGAGCCAATGCCGCAGGTTCGCTAGAAGTTGCAATCTGCGGGCCATGTCAAGACCAAGCCACAGGTGTTGAGGCGTCACGATCGAACTGCGTCTGTGCATTAGCTGACGGCACTTCAACCTTCCGGCGCGCAAGGCGCTCGCTTGCTTGGAGTGTGGACGCCGATTGACATATTGATGATGATTTTGTCTGTGTTGGAGCGTGAGACGCCTCAGGTTGTCGCAAATGGCAGGAGCGATGATCGAAAGTGCTTTTCGTGATCATCGAGATCGAACGGAGATTGTTGAGAGAGCTGTCTCAATCTGGCGTCGTGTGCTCCGACTTCTTTTCTGCAAGCACAAGGCTCGCCTGGAACAAGAAAGAGCATGTGCCATGCGGCCTTCGTTTCCTTGCGCAACTGCAATCTCTCACGTACTTATCGTTCTCACCACACTGATTTGCTGTGAATCCACAAGACGCTCGCTCGCTCGCGTGATCTTCAGATGGCAGTTCGGAGGGCGTGTCGCTCCGGTCCCATCTGTACTTCCCCATATCACCGAGGTGAGGACACGAACAGATCCTACCAGTGGACAAGTACAGGCTACCACCCACCCGCTGCTCTTCCGGATCACGAAGTATTCCAAGAGCATGAGCCGTAAGAAGGACTCCCGTTCCATGGCGGATGGTCACGACTTTTGACCATCGGGAAAGACCCGGAGTCCAATCAGCCGGCCCCCGGCTTCGTTATACATATCATCGGGTTTCCTGAAGGCAAGTCGTCGTATATTGATATCATCCTTTCTCTCCAAGTGCAATTCCCAACTTCAAACACAACATGAGTGACCAGGCATCCAAAGATGCAGCAGCGAAGGCTCGTATCATCACCCACATGAATGCAGACCATCATGACTCGGTAGGTACAACTGTATCTGGGAAAGTATCTGTTTATTGACAAAGAGTTTAAAGGNTCATTAGATATCTCGAGAGCTACCATCATCTCTCAGGCTACCAGGCCTACTACGGCAAGATCTCCGATATATCACTCGAGTATATTGCTTTCGAGTGTGCTGGTCTAAACTACAGGACGGCACTAAATCCCNCCATGACCTCCTTCCGGGAAGCACGAGAGCGTCTTGTGCAGATGGACAAAGAATGCCTCGAGGAGCTCGGTCGAAGCGACATTACAGTCAAAGAGTTCCTAGCACCGACTGGACTGTATCTCGTGTTCTTTATCATTGTGTCAGCAACATTCGTGGCATTCAGGACCCGAGGAAACTTCGAGGCTGGGAGCGCCATCGCTGCTGTCGTGCCCGGTGCATTCGCTCGATTCTGTTGGACGATACAGCCATTCATCTGGTACGGAATGCTTAGCATCCACAGTTTGGAGACGTGGCACATGGCACGTGGACGACTGAGAAAGCACAATGTCAATATCCGCAGCGGAGTCTGGTGGTCATGGATGGCAACGACCTTTATCGAAGGCGTCGGTGCGTACACCAGGTTAGTTTGCTACGTTCGTGGAACACAAGTCTTGAAGGGCATTGACCAAGGTGACNACAGGTTTGACAAGATGATCAAGGAGAAGAGGGCGGAAAAAGACAAGCAAAAGCACTGAACAAGTAAAGTTGGGGGTTCTCATGCAACTTCCTCATTGCGGAGTCGGAGGCGTCGAGCGAGTCGCAGAGGTGGCAGGAAGTTCTTGACTTGCACGACCTCAGAACGCGACAAACGCGTGACAGCGCGGACGCCGTTTCACAGAAGGTTGGATTGTAACGTGTGCCAGCAGAACGGGCGCAGATTGTTATCGTAGATAGAGTGTGGATAATAGATTGGAAGAAGCGCCAAGCCAAGCCATTGTGTCTCGATGGTGCATTCTCCGAAGACGATCAGTAGATGCCGAGCGGAGCACATGTCGAGTATGCGGCCTTGTACATTCTGTGCTTGACCTGTTCTTCATTCTCCTTTCGTGCCGTCTTCAATGCACCGGTCGTGACTGCGTAAGGAGGAACTCGATCCGTGTCTCATGTCTGTGTTTGTCTCTGTTTCATACTGATCCAGCACGTCGTCTGCCAGGAAGCGCAGCCACTGCTACAAAAGTCCGACGGCCATGAGGCATTCGACATGAACGACTGGACTTCTTGATCTATACCGCATCCAAGGCACACCGATCCAGCATGGCGCGTAATCCGGCCATTGACCCTCCGCGACTCGCTCCACCCGCGAAAGCCTACTCGACCTCTTCGTCGTCACCCACGCACTCACGATCTCCTTCCCCATCGCGACGCAACCGCAATCACTCGCAGTCCGACGATCCTTTGGGCCGCGATCTTTCTCCGACACGTACCTTGAGAGCATTCACCTCGACGCTGGGAAGCGAAGAGAGCAAGAGTCACGCCGCCCTAGTACGCTTGATCGAGAAAGCATCGACTTCGGAAAGAGCCTTTGGCATCAGGATAGCTCAGACGTGCAAGGACATCAAAGCCTGGCACGCCGAACTGCAACAATGGCCCTGGACTGGCTCCTTCGAGCCTCCCGCCCATGCCGCACACGCCGCCGAGGGCCCCTACTGGGGCAGCCTTCGCGAAAGCCAAGTTGTAGCATATGAGCAACGTATCCAGGACATCCGCGAAGCCTTGTTCGACCTGGACGTCGACGAGCTCAAAGACTATGTCCTCTCCCAACACGTCCAGCCAAAGACGTCCGACTACGAGCTCTACGAACGTCTCGACGACTTTACAGCCTTGATCACTGCCACCATCCTCCGTGCTCTGCCCGATCTCTCACGCTTGGATCGCTTGTTGGACACTTGGTCGATGCGCGTTACGCTGCTGCGCAAGGTCCCTGGCTATCTTAGAGGCCTTGATCAAGCCAGGACTGATCTGGATAATGCGTGGTCTGCCATGACCCAACATCTTCGAGACGCGAACGATGCATCTGCCATGCGCAACGCTTTCCAAACGACTCATGAACAACTGGAGTCCCGCATGGGTAAGGTCGGTGGACGACTTGACTCCATGTTGGACGATCTCGAAGGACGCGACGAAACACTTCCGGATGCCTGGATTGACACGTTTGAATCGTTAGAAGCGAACTACAGTGACTGGCGCACTCAGACTGGCCGCCACATTGCTGGTCAGAACGTGCCTCTGCTTGTACCTACTAGGCAAACCAAGGCTTCTATTAGTGCAGCTATTCGTGACGTCTCTCCACCCTCTGTCAATTATTCTGACCACGAAGAACAACCCCCTGGTGTACATGCTACCCCAGAGCCGAACATGTCTTCAGAAGTTGACTCGAACATCGCTTTGCCGTTGAAGGGAGGTTTCACTGGACCCATAGATCATGGTGACGAGCATTCTCATGTCCAACTGGTTGAGAGCCCTATCCTAGGCACGGGCTCTACATTCTTACCAGATCTGGATGAAACTTCTGACATCGAAAGCGACAACGTCTCTCAAGACCTAAAGAAGGTACCCGTGGCGTCAATCGATACTGCTCAGCCAGCTGTGTCTGCCGCCGATTCTCTCCACCGAGCTGGCAGCCTAAAGTCATTGTCACCAAGTATTGCGCGCTCTCGCCATGTGCCTATTGTTGTCAATTACAATGAAGCTGCACTGCCAAGCCCTTCATCCTCAATTGCACCAACCCCCATCCTAGGATCTCCGACGATTGCCGCTGCGACGTCTCCAGCACCAACCTTGGAGCAGGTTTCTCCGGCTATAAATAGTGTTCGTGCCAGGGCAGCTTTCCTAAATGGAGGCATCGAGCGTACCCAATCGCTGCAAAAGTCTGTCAATAGTCCTGTCCGACCCTTTGAACATGCCTCCATGGCTTTCACAAAGCTGTTCAACAAGACTAACAATGCTTCCAATGGCACTCCTACTCATTCCAGGACCAGCTCTACTTCCAGCCGAGCAAGCAACCGCAAAGGTCTAGGCCTAGGCCTCAAAAACCACGAGGGCTTCCGTCACTTCCACCGCTCTTCTTCTCTGACAATGGCCACCCAACCTGACAAAACTGGTGGCAGAGTTTTAACAGATGAATCACAGCTACCTGTGCAATCCTCGTCACCACCAGCCCCGAGACTGGATTTCGCTTCAGAACAAGCTGCCGGGACCCGTGCTGTCTCTCAGCCTGCGCGTATGAACATTCCAGAAGACCTCGGAAGACCAATGGATGCATTCGTCACACCAGAGATCGAACAAGACTACTTTCCCTCTACCGAGAACAGCAAATCAACACTTGACTCGAACTGGAGTTCACCAGCACCCAGTGAATTTCCAGAGAATTGGCCCTTACCTGTCAGAATCTACGATGATGAGATTCATACGCCCAAAGATCCAATGGGCTCTGATGTGTTTGAGAAGATGTTCGTCGACAGTTTACCTGGAACACCACAGACCAAGTCTCGACCACCATCACAGGAAAGCAACCCATTCGAGAACATGTTCAGACGGAAACGTTCAACATCAAAGGAACCGCTCTTCGATGATGCGATGCTCAGTGACATATCTCAACATAGACCTCGCAGCGGGCAATCATCACCTGTTGGTTCGAGACCGCGACAAATGTCTAGGCCGAGCACTACAAGCTTACCTTTTGAGCCTATCACAGAGCTTCCAACACCTGGGTCGTTCGACGCGACCCCTGAGCTTCAAGATGCTTCATCCGCAGGCTACTTCAGGGCGAAGCAGGTACAGACATCACCAGGAATCAGGACGTCGCCGATTCCCAGGAGCAATACTTCGTGGAGTAATTTCAGTTCAATAGGAGCTGGACACGATGAGGTCCTCGAAGAACCCGACGAGCGCAACGTTGACCACAGCTCTACCAAGAGGCGTTCGATGATCAAGAGAGCTTCTGTGACTTCAATCGAAGCCCACCCGAGATCAGAGCTGACCACAATCGAGATACCTGTTATGTCCAGACGATCTAGTCTCTCATCTCCACTCACGGCCAAGCTAGTCAAAGAACAACCAATGGATGACCTACATGACGACCAGGAGGATTTTGGTGGTACACCGCCTGCCTTTGGACTGCCTCCCCCAACAATGCGTTCAGATACAGAGAGAAGCAACATTGCCAAAAGTGTTGGAGCTTTGAAACCGCCTCCACTGAATCTTGAGGTTCACAAGCGTCGTTACGTTGTCGAGCCGGAAGCTACGCCTAGAGCTTCAGAAACTAACCGCAGTATCTCTCAGCCTGAGACGGCTAGAAAGGGACACACTCGTAATACATCCAATACCGAGCAGCTGGATCGACATGTCAGCCGCGTTCTAAACACTCTGCCATCTCGTATCGCATTTAAACCCTCCCTCTCGCTTCCATCACGTGAGCCATCTCCTGCGCCAAGTACTGCTCCTGGTCCTGCTCGACCACGTCCCGTTTTGTCAAGCAAGCCCGCTCGTACGGGGCTCACGCTGTCAGCCGCCCAGTCTGAGTTGACATCTAGAAGGTTGAACGCAAACGATGCCGACGGCAAGATGTACTATCTGACACAAGAAGGGAGAGAACAACCCATCAAGCTATTTGTCCGCCTTGTTGGTGAGGGCGAACGGTGTATGGTACGTGTAGGTGGCGGTTGGGCCGACCTAGGCGAATATCTGCGCCAATACGCGGAGCACCACGGCCATCGTACTTTTAGTGACGGTAAGCTGGAAGTGGGCAGCAAACGTGTTGGTGGGGGCACGAAGATTCGCACCCCACTTAGTAGACCCGGAAGCGTTCTCGATCGCCCAGACAGCAGTATGAGTTTCCGCAGTCGCTCTTCCTTTGGTGCTGCTGGGGCTCCGATGCCAATAGACATGCTGCATAGCAGTCCTTCGGCCACGACCCAGCCCATCGATCTCACACCCACCACGGCCCGCAACGGTGCCTACCACACCNCCACTGGCTCTGTCAAAAGCTTCAAGAGTTCTTCACGCCCGTCTACCGCCGACACATTCTTGAATGCCTCTCCATCATCATGGTCAGGCCAGGAGATTGGCCTTGCAGGTCCGTCAGCCAAACACTCGCGCGGCAACCGCGAGCTCGATGAGCAAAAGGCACGCTGGGTGGAGGAAATGATGACTCGAGCCAAACAGGCCAGCAGCGTTGAGAGAAAGAAGAGTGAGCCCGACCGCGCCGCTTGGGCAGACATGGGCAAAGTCGGTGGCACGAGACGTATGATTTTCCGACACAAGTCCAGTGGTGAGAATGGTAGTGGCTAGAGTCCACTTGTTCCCGCTTGACCTCTTGACTTTTTGTGTCTATTGACGTTTGGGAATTTCTTTTGCACGAGGCGTTTTAGGGATATTATCGGCCCCCTTGTATGTTATCCACGACCAGTTTTATGTTTTTTTCTTTGGAGGGGTTCGTTCTTTTGTTCTTCGTTGGCAGGAAAGAGGAGCAAAGCGTAAGCAAAGCAGTGTAAACAGTACATTTGCCAGATTTTCATGAATAACATCACAGTCAAATGTTCTTACTTCTCTCGTTCGTCGCATGCAGTCATTGCGTCCCATGCTGTGTCTCGGTTTCGCCGTATTTGCTTGCTGACTCGCTTGCCTGTGCTTTCCCATGTATTGGCTGAACCATTGTGCTTTAAACTATCAACGGGTTTTCTTAAAGGCTTTCTTCCCTTTCGCGAAAATTTTGCTTCATCTGTCTACATGGACACGACTCGCTGTCTCTCAATCCAATGTCTACCATGTTAGACTACACCCAGCAAGGCTGTCAGTCCCTGCAATTTTTAAGACTATTTCCCCCTCGATCATAGCCTTGTGCAACGGGAATGTAAAAAGCCGATCGCCCGTTTTCTCCTTCAACAAAACGCCTCCCAAAAGCCGCCGGGATACTTGTGAAGAAGAATACAATGGGCTGAAGTCCGAAAGCACACCGATTCAAATCTCGGAACGGGGATGATGCATGTAGTTGATGCATCTAGATCGTTTGTATGCCGTGTTCGTCTAGTCGGCATCGTACATCCGTCTCGCTAGCTGTACAAGTGAGGGGTAGGGTGCCTGCTCTGTTTGGTACTTTCACTGCTCACACGCAGGGCATCTAGAACAACACTCAGGAGACGGGATCACCTCTTTCAGTAGTAGATACTGTATTCTTTCGTCATTAGGACATGCTAAATAGATTCAGGGTATAGAACAAAGAGTGCCCCTATTTTCGTTATGCTAGGACTGATTCTTCTTCCCAAATTCCGTGGAAGGAGGGTGCAAGATGTTACTGTTGTTGGTTTCGCTGCTGTAAGGATCCGTGATGTCCTCCCCCTCGTACCAGTTGTTGTGTGTAAAGTGTCTGTTGGGGTTGTTGATATTGTTGACCATTGGATTGCCAATCCTCGCCATGGTTCCAAGCTGGCATAGGTTGCATCTCTGTCAAATGCTGAGGTATGAGTTGATGATAGTGGGTAGGTACGGCTGGCATCGGGGCAAGATGATAGGCGGGAGTGTACAGCAGAGGATGTGCAGAGTCTCGTCGTGGATCCAGCAGTGCTGGGTGAGGCATCAAACCACCTTTAAAGCTTGATGGTTCGGGAGAAGGCACGACTGCAACTTCAGGAGTAAGTAGACCGCCAGCAGAGGGTGGCCCTTTGCGTCGAGCGGCGCTGGTTTGGAGACCTGGATCTTCGAGAAGGAACATGCCGGTCGCTCCCATGACAGACTCGTGCAAGAAGTCACGGCTGCGTAGCTGTTGACCCATACTCAGATCGAAAGGGTTCTCAGAGACTCCCTCGTGACTTTGCGGTACACTCATAGGTGATATGGCATGTTCGTTCATCGACTGTTTGCGTGTCTCAGATTGTTGTCTCAGCAGTTTGAGCCCGTCTGTGATCTGAGACATGGCCAATCCTGTAAGCTGGTGCATTTCCGCTTTGTCCATTTCCACAAATATCGCGTATGCTTTTTCTACTCTTCCAACATGTTCAATACTTCCGCAGTCGAGGCCATCGAGCAACAGGATCATGCAAGCGTTGAAAGCTTGTTGGCCAATGGTCCAATCGACGAGCGCAGACGGTACGCGTTTGTAGAAGAATTGGAAGGCGTCCAGTAGTGCCAGACAAGACTCGATCACTAACGGCCTACCTCGCGGCACCACGGGAACGGGTGAGGGGGTATGTGATGTTGGTTGCACAGGAAAGTCGGGGACAGCGCCGAGATGAGTAAATCTTGGAGAGCGCGGTCGGTAGCCTGGGCTATTTCTATTATTCTCGATGCGTTGGCGATTGAGCAGGATGATGTAGTTGTGTATGCTGCAATAAGATACNTGTGAACAGGGTGGTTAGCGGTCTTTGATCTGCGCCGTGGAAGAGATCTATATCTTACTCGCTGCTCTTGTCTCCAGTGGCCATTCGGGGATCTCTGTTTCCTCTTCGATCCAGGTCCTGTTGAACTGCAGAGAGTCTGGCATCGTATCCCACAGAGCAATAAGACGATCGGTGTACATATCAATCTTTGAGTCTGTGAGTTGATTACTGCTCAGTATCTGTCGCCCGTGAATCGTGAGTTGGTCAAAGAACTCGTTCAGTCGTAGTGCCACTGGATCTGTGGTGAGAGGGTCGGGTGGAGGGCAGTCTCCAATCCCAGAGATGCCTAACGGCCGACCAAGAGTCATCGAGTACTCCTGATCCATGTGCAGTAGCCACCACCACAGGTTTTTGCGCACTGCAGACTCCCGGAGCGATGGCGCTGGGTCCAGGTAGCGAGGATTGCGATGCAAACCGATAGAGTGAGCCAAGCGGATCGTGAGGCCCGAAAGGGACCAAGCATCGAGGAATCGTCCACTGTTTGTCAAGTAAGGGGCGAGCATAATCAAGGCTTTGATACCTCTCAGGGTGGGACGACTGGTGAAAGATGCTAGACGAAGAGCTTGCATTGCTGCGACAGCNTACGTTTATTAGCAAAGAGAAGGAAGTCACGAACACGTCAGCGACTTACAAAATATTTCGCCCTTGCGACTGCTGGTTTGGGTGACGCCAGGTTCTGCGTCCTTGCGACTTCCGAATGTGTCCAGCTGCACGCCCAAAGCTAGCGCTGCAAAAATGAGTGCGAGCAGATCCGGAACCTTCTCAGCATTCTCTTCAGCCTTCTCGAGGAAACGCTCGACTTCCTTCTGCGACAGGTCTTCAGGTACATAAGGGAAGGCGAAACCTCGAGCTTTTTGGCTAAAGACGTCAAGGTAGTGGTAGAGCTGATCACGCGATGGCAGACATTGTAGCAAACCGTGAGTACGCGACATGGCAGGCCAGAGTGTCGGGAAAGGATACATGGCGTCTTGAGTAGCATACATGTCTGCCGCTCGGGGCATCGCGTGTGAAAGTGATTTTGGTTCCACCTGTAGATTCGCAAANCTAAGGAGGCTGTTAGTTTGAGTCTCACGATTTTGCAATACAAATATCGCACTCACATCAGCTATGACACTCGCCAATCCTGGAGATCCAAAATAGATGCTGTCAATCTGCTCGCTCGCGCGAAGTCGTCGCTGACGGTTCACCTGTCTTGCAATGGAATTTGTTCTGGCATTTGCAGTACCTTCCTCAGTTTCACTGTCTTCCGACAGCGAAGACCTCTCGGCCAAGAGACGCTCCTTGAGTCGTTGGTTCTCAGCCCGCAGTCTTCGAAGTTCAAGGGACTGTTGGATAGGTCCAAAATCGGCGCCCTCTCCAAGGACAAAGTGGCATTCTTTGGGAAGGCCCCTGGCACAACAAGCAGAGCATGGTTTTGTGCGGTCACACTATCATGATCATGTGAGCTAAGATCTGACATGTGTATAGAGTCTGGGGTCTGTAAAAGCTTACTTTNNTACTTTGCGTTCTCGACATTTAGTGCAACTCAGCAGTTGGCGTGGTTGGATTTGCTTCTTGAGTTTCTTATCCGAGGCGGACAGGGACCTCTCGGCCCGCGACGAAGACGACGACAAAACTTGCGGAGTATGGGTGATGGTCGGGATCCCCTGTGCTTCCCAAGGGTTTGTTTGCTCCATCAGAAGACTAACAAGTTGTTCATGACTCTGGCTCGAGGGGTGCGAATCATTAACATAGTCAAAGTCCTTTCAGCATATAAAGACACGGATGCTATGGCGGCACGTCAGCATGAAACGACGCAACAGAAAGTTTGATCTATGCTTTTTGAGCGGTGGAGCTAAGGCTGTGAAAGGAGAGTGGACTAACGACAACAGTGATGAGGCCCACATCCCCAATTTTGGACAACGCAATTATCTGGAACTGGTTCTGAATTTCAAGCTTAAAGAACCCAAGCGACACCTGTCAACAGTCTCAGGTGGCTGAACTCTGGGGAACCACGTTCATTAACATAATATGTAGAGATGGAGAAATCATACTTTTGCTTGCGTACTCGGCGTTCCTGGACTGGATGCCATCAACTATCTTGCAGATGGTTTCGAGACAGTCAACACTTTACTCTGTGCCTCATGTCTGCAGGCTCTGGTTGATCATGATCCCGATGAGAGTACAGCGTGACTGAGAGGTCTAGGCCCATCAGAAGCGCACACAAAAGCGCCATGTTCCTGCAAGTCGGGTATCGATGGAAGGTGGTGGTGGTAAGGGTCAGATCCAAGGCTACGGTTAGAAATTGACCAAGAAGCGCCACGTTCCTTCGATACGGCCCTCGTCAATCACGCAACAAACTAATAATGTCTCTCGTTTTCTTGATCTTTCAGGTCAACTAGGACAAGACGTGTGACTTGACTTTAGTCATGCATAACACACTTTCGGCTTTGACCGAAGAGCAATGATCAAGCCGCCTCCGGGAAGGCGGGTTGGCAAGCACAAACTTTTAGCCGTTACGGCCCTGTGCATTGCCAAACCCGCGAAACCATTATGAGATCATTGGCGGAGGTCTGAACTTGCGTAGCTAGCGACGTCCTGGTCCTGTATAGAGAGTGATAAAACCTCATCACCCATGAGCAGGTGGTTTTCGGGTACCAGTCCTAGCGCGATGGCTGCAAACGACTTGCTGATGAATTTGCAAATTGCGATGCATGTGGACGGAGAGAGTCTCCTTGCTTATACAGACGCAGTCGCAAGACCGAATGATACACGTGCAGCGTGGCTTGCAGATGGAGAAGCAACGAAAAGATCTGGTACTCTGAGTCGATGAACGTCCTCGATCTCCAGCAATAGAACGCAGCAGTATGGATAACGAAGAGCGTCTATCTTCTCCAATAGGTCGAAGCCGTGACTAATTGTCCCAGGTATCCAACAGTCGGCTGCTTGCCGGCGCATGAAGTTAGCTCAAGGCCCATCCCGTTTAGGTACAGCACAATAGGCTAGGTACATCAACAGCCGTCGTTCGTACGCACGTGCGCTTCTGATGGAGATGCTCGGAGCGACGCACTCGGTGTGAGATTAGGTCCCATAGGAAACATCCGTCTGAGATCGTCTCGATAACCGGGTGTTGCAGGTCGTCGTCGACGAGATGTGGATTGCCGGGTGTATAGGCGGTAACGGAAGCAATCTCTGCCGGAGGTCATCAGCCTTGTCAATAAGACACGATTGAGAGAACCTGTCAAACAACTGAGCGGACTTGTGCCAATGCACAGGGCCATGTAGCTTCATGTGGCTTGAGAGCTTGGCGCTTTTCTCGCAGCCGTTTCATTCGTGGCTGCAAGGTGCTTATGCAACACGTGAGACTCATCTGATTCCTGTATGTAGAATGCTATGCAGCCCCTGGCCGAGGTTCCGTGGCGGTATATTGGCCCGCGGAACCTTGAAGGATTCAAGTAGGTAGGGCTGGGGTGGTGGTGCGCGTCTTGTTTCGACCAATTATACGCAGCAAGATCTTATAGCTGAGTCCAATCGTTTGAACGGATCGAAAGAGGCGCAACGTCATTCCAGGTTTGTTTCAAATCTCCACTATTAGCAGGGATCGGCTTCCCCGGGCTTCCGCACCTACTTTATCTATCCAGGTATCACGATCATCTACACCCCCATCTGCATACATGCACTGGCACGCGAAATCGCTCAAGAGAAATCACTTCATTTGATGGTAGCTAGATTGAGTAGGAAATGGGTCTTTGGCTGTGGGGATCTGAATCTTTACATGAGTTTGTGAATCATGCTTCGCAAAAGAACGCGATTGGTTCGCTCACTTGTTGTGCCCAGAGATCGTTTCATAGCAATAACTAGTCACGGGATTGAATTGAGGGGAATGTATACTATTAGAGTCAACTCCACAAACAGCGCGAGAGTGACATTCAGACCCCTCGAAAGCCGATTTGCGTATTCGGTTCTTGATGGCTTCTCGTACTCGCACATGACAGTGTCTCCACAATATCTATCCTTCCCAGCGGTCAACAAGACGCACAGGCTTGAACAAAATTCTTCGCGTAAAGACATCGACGCTCTCGATCTCACACTCCCAGGTGTCACCTGGTTTGGCCTCNCCAAGACCAAAGGCTTCTGGCTGACTCAATGTAGCAGCCAGACTGAACTCNTTGATAATGACGGCAAACTCAGACCTTTGAGTGCTGGGCTGCATATGTATATAGGCGTTCATGGTAGCTGGTAGCTCGCATTCTTTATAATAGTGGGCACGGAAGAAGACTTGAGCCTGCCAGTGCTCCTCAGCATAGGTGGTGGCGCGACGAATCATCGACTCGCGAGGTTGTAGTCCCTTTGCTATCGTCTGGAGAGCTTCATTTGAGAAAGGCAGCATGTGCTGCTTTGGGCCTTCAAAGTTGACTTGACCGCCTGCTTTTGCTTCTTCACGCAGGGCTGCTTCAATCTGCCAATGTAAAAGCATATCACCATATCTACGAAGCGGCGATGTAGCCTTGCTGTAATGGGATATACCAAGGACGCGATGGTGTAAAGGCTTGGTTGTCAGGACGGTGGAACCAGAGTTTGAAAGGTATTCAATGGCAAGATGCATAGGAGCTTCGCCGTTGTTCTTCTCTGTGGCCGGAGCCAATACCTCGTCGTAAAATCTCTTTGCGTCATTAGTTTCGGGGTCGATTAGGGTTCCTCTGTAGATGATGGGGATGCCACGTTCTGCACACCATGATGCACCAATCTCGCATGCTAGAAGCATGTGCTCACGAACAAGAATGTCGGAAACTCCTTCGCCAGAAGAGAACCACGAAGTTAGTGGTTTCGTACGATATTCAAGAATGGGATCGCCTTCCACATATCGTGCTTTGACCCTGGATGGGTGCTCCCACGGAAGTCCAGGATGTCTGCCATTATACCAGACACTGATCTCAGGCCGATTCGAGTCGAGGAACAGACCTCCAGCCATGCGACGCTTTGTCTGACGTTTCTCGGCGAGCAGTTGCAGTTTCTTCAGCATCTCAATCTCGGGTTCGAGCAGAGACTTAGCGGTCTTCTTGGGTTCGTGACGAGGCAATTCACCACCGACTGTTAGGACAACATCTGGGTGCAACCCACCTGCAACACCGACGATCCGGGCTGCCTCGCCAGGACTTATGAATTTCACATTCCGGATGAAGCCAGGCTGGATCTTCTGCTCCATCGTTTCGCCTTGGGAGTTCAGTCTGGCGCTGAAAGTCAAGACAGGACGTTGAGCCCGCAGACTGAAATGTTTGTTGGTCGACCACCTTGGCAACATGACGAAAGCACGCTCCGGCATGTAGATGGTCTCAGTCATATGGCGTGCCATCTTAGCAAGAGGATTGTCATGGTCGAAGAATGCGGTCGGATTTGCAATGTGAACGTGAACCCAGTGTTCACCATCCCCAGCATCTTCCACTGAAAGGCCGTCATCGATCTCATGAGCACCCTCGCCATCAATACAAAAGACAGGTAGTTCGCCCCAGTCCTTGCGTAGATGCGCCATTGAATCCACAAAGCGAGGGTGTTCGGCCATTGAGATGACTTTGGTCATGAGCTGCTCAAGGGGTTTGGAGTGCTGCGAAGAAGGTAGGAGCAGATGGCTGTCGAACCGAACTCGATTGTCGTAAGGGGTTAGGACACCGATTTCTTGCAGAAAGATGAAGCCGGACCTCGGGTCCAGCTTGTGCTCCTCATACATGCCAGTCGCTTGCAGGATAAGTGGAGGTAGGGCTTCAATACGAGGGAGACCCAGAAAAAGGCTAGAGCATGCCCATGCCTCGAAAAATTTGATCAGCTCACGGTCATAATCATCAAACTCGGTTGTCAGCTCATATTTCAGTACGTCTTCCTTGTTGATATCGAAACGTGTTTTGCTGATACCCAGACCACCGAAAAGAGTGACTTCACGAAGTTCACGACTCTTCTCGATCAGCGATTTCGCCTTGTGGATAAAGTTTGCAACGTATTGGCCTCTCTGCGAGAATGTGTGACTTGCAGATTTGCCCGCTGCAAAGATTGCCAAATCATCTTGCCATGCTCTAAGCCAGTTGCGCACCTTTTCGACGTTTGCCACCTGGTCCTTGGATCGAATTTGGATGAAGCCAGTGATGCGATGACTTCTTCGATCATGGCCAAAAGCAAAACCTCCTCTCGAAAGAGCTTTGCGGACGGCATAAATCATTTCTTGCGAGATGACTTCGCCCTTGTCCTTTCCCAGGAGTCGGGCGGCTATCAAATCGAGAGTACCAAACTTTAGGTCGGTGGGATGGGCCAAGGACCAGTGAGCGCCGTCGAGAGTTGTTGCGTTCTGGCGATAAATTTCTTCGCTCGTCCTCTGGAACCCGAGCATTTTGGTAACTAAAGGAGCCGAGACGTCTCTGGGGACACTAAGATCGAACATTTGCGCTCTGTCCAGCAACTCTTCAGTGACACCAGACTCGGGGAGATATGATAGAATGGGATCGACAAGGCTCGAGGACACAAAGTCAGTGACAACGTGCTGGATGTTTCGTTCGACGGCGTGGAGCCATTTTCCGTTGATGGTATAGAATTGAGATTGTGCGGGCTTTCCGACTCTTCGTACAAAGATGGCAAGTATGGGTTCTCGTTCGGAGCGGGGGAAGTCGAGCACAACCAGGTCGCTCCTTNNGCGCAAGAAACGATGGTGTGGATCCCACTCTTCAAAGTCAGTGGGACTTAACAGATGAGACGAGTCTTCGCGTTCGTTCTCAAGCTGCTCATCCGGACGGCGGAAGTTGTCGACATCGCCTAAACGAGTAAAGTTGTTTGTTTGTTCGCCCGAGGCATCAACATCGTATTCATTGCTGATGTCATTGTGTAGGTGGCCATGCTCCTGATGCCATTTTCGCAGTTGGTCTCGTATACCACCACTCCGAAGGGTGTCGGGAGATTCTAACCGATCGAGAGATTGGACTGCAGGGTTGTATACGGGTGGGTCTGAAGAATGCACAGGGTCGAGATGTGGGCGAGCTAATTGCTGTGAGAGAGTTAGTGTATGTGCTAGGATGGGCGGGTGAGACGGTACCCTTGAACGCGAAGAGAACAAGGCTCGAGGAGCAGAGCGCTTCGGCAAGGACAGGCGACTAGAAAGGGATCGTGTAGAAGTTGACGGCATGTGATGTTTCAAGGCGCAACTCCAGCACATTTTGGCAAGGTCCGGACGGCGTCGCACCGTGTCGCCACGAAGACTGAGCATGGCGAATATCCTGATCCCGGCAGTCCTGTTCGTTGGAGTGCAGATTGGGCCGCCTGCGGGAGAATGCCACCAGAGAGTCGAGGTGGGTGCGCGCGTGGACAGAGTTGTGGCAACAATATCAAAGTCTTGAATCTTCACATGCTCAATGATGCACGCCAAAAGATGCTTCGGCAGCGCGATAAGATAACCTCCAGCACAGACCAGCAGTCAAAGCTGTCACTCGCTCTTGCACCGAAGCTTTCTGCTCTCCCTCTTCTTTCCAACCCGAACAATTGCAAAAGGTCAGTACCCTCTCTGTTGTTATTTGTTGTGTCTGTCTTTACTTTACATGATGAGTCAAGAAAAAATAGCATGTATTATCTTAGCATCCTTCGGGGTCTAGACGATGAGAAACTCTTGAGACTGATTATCACTCCTTTCCACCACTTTGTTCTCCACGCAGCCTCGAGTTGATCCAATGCTGACTTTGCAAAAGACAGTCATCATGCCGACGTCCAGACCTCGCGCTGGCCATTTCAGCATTCTGTACTTCGCCTCTGCCGCATCCTTCACCAACAAGTCGTCGGATGACTTGGCCGCCCCTATGAAGCTCTCGACACTATTTGACCACCTCGAAGACATGTATCCTGCAATCAAACAAAAGATTCTGCACAGCTGTGCTCTCACTGTGAATCTGGAATACGTAGATGTCCACGCAGATGCTGACATGCTCATCAACGAGGGAGATGAGGTTGCCATCATTCCGCCCGTGAGCTCTGGATGAGCATGTCTGTGAGCTCTGGATGAGCATGTCTGTGAGCTCTGGATGAGCATGTCTGTGAGCCCTGGATCAGCATGTCTGTGAGCTCTGGATGAGCATGTTTGTGAGACCTGGACGAGTACAATCGTTATACATGATCAACAAAGACTTGGTCAAACCCACCTGTGCTCGTGCCGTATGACAGTGAAGCGTATCGCCAGACGCTGCGGCTGCCCAATCAAGATGCAGACTGGATCAAAAGTGTCGTGCCATCCATCCATGTCGTATCTGATCGGGCACACGAGAAGTCTTCCTCGGACGCTGCTCGAGAAAACGGGCAGGAAACGGCACAAATAGCGTCATAGAGAGCGTGGCCCGTGGGGGATTTGCTTGTACTATTTTTGGGCCGACTTGGCTGCGATCATCACAATACTCGAGAACGAAGGGCAATTCGAGCCTTCGAGGTGCCTGTTCTACTCTTGCTTGCCAACGAGGACTGGGCTTCGTCGTTGCAGAGCAAAAAGACTGGTCAAACACGGCAGCGCATCACACCAAGGTCCCCTCACCAGCCTTCGGCCGTCAACGAAACGCTTCTCCCAACCTTGTCAGACGTTGGATTCATCCTGCTGCGCTTCAGCGACTGGACAAATATTCTCATGCCGCCGTGAGACGGGCGCGCTTGGTTCACACATGCTCGTCGACCAGACGTGAGAGCGAGCAACAAGATGCGATGCAGCCCTCTGTCGTCGGCGCTGGCCCTTGGCTGCGCCGTCCTCGTCCTGTTTGGCCTGCCGTCGCCAGTCGACGCCGCCTTCATCACCTTCGACAACTGCCTCGACGAGAACATCCGCAACTCGAACCCCCTGCATCTGCAGTTCATCCCGCTCTTTGTCGACGCCCGCTTCAACACGTCTGACCCCAACCACAATCTCAATCTCACCATCTACGGCAATGTCAGCGGCCAGGCCACCCAAGGCAGCTACCCGCCTCCCGACGATCCGCTATGGTCCAATCCGAACGACACGTTTGGCAAGATAGTCGACCTCTCGCCCTCCAACAACAGATACTCGACCCTGTTCCAGCGCTACCAGGTCCTCACCTTTGACGCCTACCAGGCCGAGCCCAGTCGCTTCTGCAATTCGACCCTCAACGACTCGTGTCCCTTGGGCCCTTCTTTCTTTGCCGACTCTTACGATCCCCAAGAGCTCTCGGCCTTTTCCGTGAGCCATGACTTCTACAGTCCGTATGCTTTCGCGACCATTGCCACAACCATTACTGCAAAGTCTGGTGATGCCGGCGCTCCAGACATTGCGTGCATTTCTGCAAACATCACCCCGGCTCTTGGGCATACCTTGTCAGGCCTTTTAAGATACCTCCCTGTCGCCATCCTCATACTTGTAGCTGTTGCGACCGCTGCTGCCGGCATATACTCACCGTGGGGCTCCACCGACCCCTTCAAGTGGACTACGAACTATGGCCGTGATCAGGATCTGCTGCGTCTTGTGACGCCAGGCTTCGGTGACTGCTTACAATACATACAGTTTATTTTCTTGACTGGCGCGCTTAGCCTCAACTATCCTGGCTATTATGCACCCGTCACCAAGCAGGCGAGCTGGTCCGCTCTGCTTTTCAACTCAAGTTACGTCTCTCATGGAGACGGTACCCAATCTCTTCATGATGGAATCTATATTACTAATGGAACTTACGGCATGACTCGCATGAGCCAGCTGGTGGGAATGACTGCAGTGCGCGACATCTGGGCTTGTATGGCTGTCTGGCTACTGGTCGTCGCAGTTGCCGTCGTTCTCCTCTGTCAGCTGGCCTTCCTTGTGCGCTGGCTGGTTCGCCTTCTCGCCAACACCCCAGAAGAGGATCTTCGACAGAAGAACTGGCCTCTGAGTGGTGGTATGGTAGTGCGCATCATCTTCAACTACTTCCTCCTACCCATCGTTGCCATTTCCATGTTTCAATTGATAGTGGCGCCTCGCTCGCCTCCTTCGGTTGTCGCCATGGCTGTTATACTTCTACTTGCCATCATCGCCCTTGCCCTCTGGATCCTCAACCTTATCTTCCGCACGAAACCGCGTGCGTACCTCTTCGACGATCTCCCAACCGTCTTGCTTTACGGTCCGCTCTACAACACTTATTCTGACGAGGCGGCTCCCTTTGCTCTCATTCCTGCCATTCTTACGTTCATTCGAGGTATCGCCATTGGAGCGGTACAGCCCTCGGGCATTGCACAGCTGGTCATTATGGCCATCTGCGAGGTTATTCTTATACTAACGCTCCATGCGTTCCGGCCTTTCCACTCACCAACCCACATGAACGCCTATCATACATTCTTCGCTTCCGCAAGACTTGCGACTGTTCTCCTCATGGTCGCGTTCGTGCCATCTCTGGGTGTCACTGAGGCGCCCAAAGGATGGATTGGCTATGCAATTCTTTTGGTCCATGGTATAGTACTCATTTTTGGTTTCTTTATGAACGCCTTGCAAACTCTTCTAGAAGTCTTTGCCCGTATGGCAGGTGCAGGAGGTGATCCTCAACATGGAGCACAGAGAGGAGGCTTGATATCGTTCGGTTGGCGTCAGCTTCGTAAGCGGCAACCAGGTAGGCAAGCAAACAGACCTGGTAGCATGATGTCTGATGCTGCTATCCTAGCCAACGACTCTGACGCCAAATCTCTCAATCTGATGGGAGGACGTTCGAGAAGCATGTCAGCCAGCTCCCAGATGATGCTTAGCCAGCATTTGTCTGACAATCGTGCTAGTGGCGGCTTCGATCAGTTCGCTCAGTCCGAGTATGCGTATACTCCGACAGTGGAAACGCCGACTACCCCTTACAGTGCCGTTCCACCATCCGGCGGCTCTGCTGCAGGAGCCGTCGGTTCTGGCAAGCGTCCAGTCTTGGGTATCAAGACAGAACAGCCTCTTTCCGATCCATATTATCGAGCGCCTCGCCCGCGCAGAAACACCAACGACCCATATACTCCAGGTGCCAGAAGCCGACACTCAACAAGTGGTGATTGGAACAGGCTACCATATCAAGATTCTCCAGATCATTCGGGAGGTGTTGATGATCATGGCGAAGGAGGCTCAAGTGTGCCTACATACCTACGCACTCACCATAGAGGTGGTTCAGATCCAGACTTGGCAGATCTGACACCTAGAGAGAGGACTGACTACGCTGTAAGAGAAGTCGATTTCTACTATGGCGTCAGAGGCCCAGCTCTTTCGAATGCGCCAGCCAGGAAGCTCAAGACTGGACCCGCGGACCCTGTAGGTCCTGTTTCGTCTGCTACCACATGGTTCCAGCGTCTTGTTGGTGGGAAACGAAAAGATAAAGGCAAAGGGTTCGAAGTAGTCCGCAGTTCTCGCGTGCCTGCTAACATGACACGCGAACCTTTGGAGGACGAGGAAGGGCAAGAACTGCAAACCTCGCCACCCATGAACTATCAGCCCTACTCGGATTCGCCAGACCTACAGTCAATGGGAGGTGCTCGTAGGTCCATTAGTCCTGAGAGATATGGAGACATGGGCAGTCGACTCGGCGGGACGTGGAACAACTTGGAAGTTGAAGAGTCGGACTCTGAGAGCGATATCACAGACACAAGACCATCTTCACCACCATATCTACGACCTATATCTCGAACTGGTAGCATCCGATTCGACCAAGACGACAAGCCAGAGAGAGCACCTTCAAGTGCAACCGACAAGGACTATTTCCCGGTATCGCCACCACCACGTCACCCATTCCATGTCGGCAACAGCGTCGGCGATAATGGAAGGCCAACCAGCATGGGTACGGTGCAACAACGTGTGACAAGTGACAGCGTCTATCACAGTGCTGGAGTTGGTGAAGGAAGCATAGCGGAGATCGTAAGCAACGATCGAACCATGAGTATGGAATCTCGTCAATACGCACCACGATAGTCGTGGTTTGTTCCAGTTAATCAAAACTACCGTGTAATACTCTTTTTCGCTCTGTTATACTGGGCAGGTTATGGTCAGGCAGCGACGGAGTTCTTGTGGCAAAAGTAAACGGATATCGTATGTACATAGTCTAGCTAGCGTGGCGTTCGCTTGGTGTATTATTCCCTCAATACTATAGAAGATCATCTCCTACACCCACTCGCACCTGCTTCGGTCCAATTAGGCCGATTTTCCAAGTCGTGGATACTGGACGGTCAAGCCTCGGGGAGGACGGGAGTGAGTGAGATAAGCGATGGTCGGAGCTTCTGTCCGCCGCGACTTCTGTCACGAGCTCTTGTCCATATCAGGCCAGCCCACCGCTACTCACTTCTCAATATCCTCGATGTTCTGTCTTGTTGTAGTCCCCTGCGTTTTCTCTATCTGGACTTGATAAATATTGCACAGACATGACTGATGAAGTTGTTGTTCCACGATGGCAGCCGGATGGCGAGCTTTCGGCATGCTCTATCTGTGGAAATGCTTTCACCTTCCTCAACCGAAGACATCATTGTAGGAGATGTGGGAGACTCGTCTGTGGGCCTTGCTCGCCTCACCGCATTACGATACCACGCCAGTACATTGTCCACCCTCCAGAAGAAGAACCTTTGAACCCCGATGGCAGCAGCCGCAGCCGGAGCAGTACAGGACCACCTCTTGACTACCCTGAGAATCCAGCTCTAGGCGGCGGCGAAACTGTCAGAGTCTGTAATCCGTGCGTGCCCGATCCAAACTATGGACCACCGCCTCAGCAGCAGGATGAAGAGAGATCGCCACCACCTTCAACACGATCACGTGCGCAGACTTATGCCGCAGACGAAGGGACAACATCAGGCATAAGTTTTGCTAGGGTTTTTGGCTCATTGAATGTAACGGACCTAGGTCAGACTACTTGCCAATCTGCGCCTCACAATGCTCGAACCTTGAGCGATTTTAGTGGCAACCTGTCCGAATCAACAGAGAGGCGGCGAGGGTGGTATCGACCGCAGTTGCACACAGCGAGGTACCAGGCTCTGAGCAGTGTACCGCAGCGCCCGAGATCATCAACTCAGGGGCTTCGTACCCGTTCTGACAATGATACGGCACATCTATCGCGATCACGATACCGTTCTACCTCGTATACACCAACGACGGTCGCAGCCGCACACGCCGCAAAGGTGCAAATGCAGCAACCTCAAGGTCGGGAAGTGTTGAGTGAGGAAGACGAATGTCCTGTTTGTGGCACTAGAAGTCATCCCTTTGGCACAGACGGCACCAGTGGCACGAGCGAAGAACGGGAACAACATGTTCAGTTTTGCATTTCAAGCCACTTAGCAGGACCCAGCCACGGAGGCACACCGTCAGAAACAGCAGATCATACAGCACCAGGCGAGACGGAAACAACGTCTGTTGGTAGTGTGCCACGACAAGCGGCATCAATGCTAGGGGCCAATACGGCGAGGCATCGCATGCTGGTGTATCACGCAACCGAGAAGGACTGCTTTGACGAAGACGGACAGGCGCAGGAGTGTGTCATTTGCTTCGAAGAGTTCGAGGAAGGAGCTGAGATGGGCAGACTGGAGTGTCTGTGCAAGTTCCATCGAGCGTGCATCAAAGGATGGATGGAAACACGAGGTCGAGGCACGTGTCCAACACATCAGTTGCATGATTGAGGGATGTAGGAGCGAGCCGAATCTGCCTTGAAGACGTCTATCCTGTACAGAAAGCCAGCAAGCTACTTGCCTAGAATCTACGCTCATACCTATGTGCAGCTGCAACGAGACAGGATTCGAACGAAGCTGGAAGTGTCAAGGTCAAGATGCTCATAGGGCAGTCGCGAAAGAGCTAAGGGCAGGTCGAGGCGGACCGTGCACGCCTTCCTTCCAGTCAGCAGCTTCTCAGCTTTTGGCAGCCAGACGCGTCGTGTTTCCGTAGAACGATTGACATACAATAGTCTCAGTCGGCACCATGAGCGCGCAACCCATCGACCCGCGTCTGGAGGCCAGTGACGCCGTCCAGGCAGCGTACCAAGCACAAGCACAAGCACAAGCCCAGGCAGCTCAAGCACAAGTGGCTCAAGCACCAACGCGGCATCAACCTGCTCCGTATCCCGCGCCGGCGCTGACGCGCTCCGACTCTCAGATCAAGCTGTACAGGGACGCCGCGCAGACTGCCCAGCAGGCCCAGGACGTCTCGCAGCCCTACTATGGATATGCCGCCGCCCTGCCGACCGGCCAGTCGCCCAGCGACGAGGATGCCGACCGACGAGGAAGCGCTGCCGGCCCCGACATGCTTGACATGAGCCCTGGCGGTGCTGCTATGCTCGCTGCCGATGCCAAACGCTCGAGAGCTTGCGAAGCCTGTCGTGGTCTGAAGGTGCGCTGCGACATGGACAACAGCGGCCAGCCGTGCAAGCGCTGCGCCAAAGCTGGTCGTCAGTGCATTGTCACGCAGCCCAGCCGCCGTCGCCAGAAGAAGGCCGACACACGTGTTGCCGAGCTCGAGAAGAAGATTGACGCCCTTACCCAGGTTCTCCACCAACAGCAGCAGCACTCTCACATTCCCTTCCAATCGCCCATCCAGCCTGACGCCTACCCTCAGCCCACATTCGACACCATCAAGCACGAGGCACCTCTTGCCGACATTGACTATGAAGCCGACGACCGTCGCAAGCGCAGACGCCTCGATGATCCGTCCAAACCGCTGTATCAGACCATCTACAACGACTATGGCGACTACGTCAAGCAACGCATTCGTCAGATCATTGACTGGAACTCGGCCTGCACAATCTTCGCCCACTTCAAGGACCGCTTGATCCCCGAGTTCCCCGCCATCGTGTTGCCGGCCGATGCCACTCCCGAGTGGACGCTGGACAACAAGCCTATTCTGTTCTTGTCCATTGCTGCCGCTGCATGCTTCAGGTTTGTCGAAACTGAAACCCAGGACGCTTTGACAGAAGAGGTTTTCGACGTGCTTGCTACAGCCGTCATCCGCAAAGGCCTGAAGAGTCTTGAGATCATTCAGGCTTTGCAAGTCGCGTTCCTTTGGCATAAGCCTCCGGATCGTGCTGCCCAGGCCAACTTCTACATGCTCATCCACATGGCTGTCGTCATGTCCCTCGATGTTGGTCTTGGAAAGCGCTTCAACCCGAACAAGGTCAAGCGTGGCTTTGGCGGTGTTGGTGCCGACCTGCCTCCTGGTCCCGGCAGTCAACTCGTCGACTCGGACGCCATTGATGCGCGAAGAGCATGGCTAGCGTGCTACTACACCTCGGCGAGCGTCTCGCAGGTCTTGCGCCGCCCTAATCTATTGCGCTGGTCAAACTACATGCAGGAATGTGTCGACATCCTAGAAAATTCACCCGACGCTGCTCCTACGGATGCTCTGTTCGCTCAGCACATCAAAATCCAGCGTATTTGCGACGAGATCTCGGTCTCGTTTGCCATGGAGGACCCCACCGCCTCGATTTCTATTCTGGACCCAAAGGTCGCTTATACTCTGGAAGTACTGCAAGAGAAACTCGACAAGTGGGAGCAGGAGCTGCCATCTCACCTGAAGCTCCCTGCCCTGATGTATTATAAACACGTCACGTCTCTATATCTGCATGAGATCGGTCTTCATGTCAACCACAACACAGACGACTTCAAGGTGCCTTTTAGTGGTATGCTTCTTTCTACTCTTTACAAATGTCCTGTATACTGACAACCATGACAGNAGGGAAGCCTCAGGTCCGGCAGTCACTTTTCCGAAACGCTCAGCCAGAAGCAGATGGCTTCGATCGAGGCCTGTCTCACGGCATGTCACAACATCATTGAGACCTTCTGTGACTTTGGTCCCGAGACCGTGTCCACCCTCCCTGCCCTCCTATACTTTGTGCGTATTGTGTATGCTCTCGTGGTCTTGATCAAGATGCATGTCGCGGCCACGTTCCCTGGGTCCGAGCTAGGCAAGGTCATCAAACCCGAGGATATCAAGGCCCCTGAATTTCTGGATCGTGTCTATCAATGCTTCGTCGCCTTGGCGCAAGGTAGCTCCCAGAAAGCTTTCTCAAAGGCTCACCAGATTCTCAGTCTCCTGCGTGAGTGGATCACCTCTCATCCCAACGGGGTTGAAAGCTCAAAGGAACTCAATGCTCGCGGCGCCCAATCTCAGCGCCTCTCCTCACGCGATAATGACAGTCTTCGGGTCCTGAGTGAGGCTGCTACTGCAGGTGCTGAGCAAACACAACAGCGATCCAATTGGGGCTTCGATTCTCCCTACGCACCGGCGTCACAATACCCATCTCACGAAGCACCCAATCAGCCCTCTCGCTCTCAAAGTGATGCTTACAGCAATGCAGCAAACTACGCCTCTACTGTCATGTCTACGCCAGGCTCCACAAACCACCAAGCCATGTCTGCTAACGATGCCTCTGCCCCTGCCTATGCTAGCATGCTTGACCCCAGTTTTGCTAAGCAGTTCGGTGGTGCTGATTGGACTCAGGGGTTGGATTTCGAACAAGCTATCGACGTGGCATTGTCGGGCCTAGACTTCTCGGGCGACATGTACACGAGTTTCTTTGGCGACGGCGCCGACGCTTTCCAGCTTCCTCCCGATGCTGCTGCCGCCAGTGGCAGATGGTAAAAAGACCTGAATTCATGACGACATTGTTCTCTTTCTGGCGAGATTCATGTCTTCGACTCGTGCTGCTTGTTAGAGCCAAGCTCTCATCGCTAGCATCGCATCTTCCTTCTTTGTTTTGATACCCAATAGTTCGTTGCCTCTTTAGCTCTTACTGAATATATGTAGCCCACTCGATGTTGCGAGCCTGATGTTAGCTATTTTCTACATTTGCTGTCAATAGACCTGATGACGCGCGTGCTGTAGTAGAGGTAGACTGAGAAGGTGCGAGGCGTGGGACCTAGCCGTCGATACACAACACCTTGCGGCCGACTCGACTGGAAAGAGCTACCTTGAAGTCACTTCCACTGTAGACGCAAAAGACAGCTTCAAGTTTACACGGCGTCCATCGTTCTGACACGAACATCATCATCCGCCATCAATCTCTGCATCGGCCAATATGCATCTTTACTCGGCTTTGGCTGTCGTTCTTGTCGCCGTCAAGTCATCATTGGCAGGCTTTTCTGATCAAGTGACCAACTTTGACCTTGGCCCAGTATTCGCCTTCCGACATGGCTGCAATATCACCTGTCAGTTGCTGCTCGAAGTTACAAACCGGTTAGACCTTGAGTTTGTGGGAAAGTTTTTCGATGAAGGTTTCTATGCGACGGCACCCGAATTCACCTCGTCGTCTCCAGGAGACGTAAGGACGTCACGTAAATACTCTCTCGACGTGGCTAATTTGGTATAGATCTTGAAGATAGAGTCTTTCGATGCATCAAACCTAGAAATTCCTACCAGCATCAAAACATACCGTTTCCAGTATACTTCCATCGATGTCAATGGCAGCCTCGCGCCTTCAACCGGATTCCTTGCACTACCGGCTCCAAATTCTTACGACACGCGAAGCAAGTTGAAGTTGATTGCCTGGGCTCACGGCACGACCGGTCTACACTGTGGCTGTGTTCCTTCCTCTGCCCGCAAGCTCTGGGGCTATGATAGCTGGGGACCACTCTCAGACCAAGGATATGCTGTTGTCGGCACTGATTACGTCGGTCTGGGAAACAACTACACCTCACATAAGTACCTCAGCCTGGCAGCGCATGCAAATGACATCTACTATTCGGTCATGGCTGTACGAAAGGCATTTCCAGATCTTTTCACTGTCAAGTGGCTGAGCATTGGTCACTCGCAAGGCGGCGGTGCAGTATAGAAGCTGTCCGAACATTCCCTGGTGCAGCACTCCCGAACGGGCTATGTAGGCACCGTAGCAATCGCTCCTGCCGTAAACGCACTTGATCTTGCGACTACACCTTATGACAAGATTCTGCCTCTGCCCATTTCAGATGACTACTTTGCGAAAGCCGAAACACCGTTACTTCTCATGGGCATACAGGCAGCATTTCCGTCTTATGGAATGCCATGGGCCGCTCGAGCACTCAAAGAAAGAATACAATACGCCAGTGCTGCTCAATCGTGTCTCTTTGCGACTGCAGGTCTTACACTCGATCTCACAGACGAGCAGCTTGTCGTAGCTGGTGGCGCACACCCCAAGGACGACGACACCCTGAAAGAATGGACACGACAGCAAGCAGCTGCGCAAGGCGCCCTATCATCCATGCCAATTCTTGTCATCCAAGGCCTCAGCGATACAGCCATACTTCCTGAATGCACTCGGAGGGCGTACGAGAACGCCACTCGTTTCAGTCGCATACGCCTTCAGGAGTATCCTGGTGTAGGCCACTTCGAGATAGTCAGTGCATCAACACCTGCATGGCTTGAATTTGTACGAGACCGCTTCTCAGGTTATCCTACGTCCTTCGAGAGTTCAAGGCACGTAGTTGATCTGGACGATCCGACCCTTGCTGGAACGTCCATCGATATGAGTGGTATTTCGGCTCAGAGGATGCCTTGCGCCCGTGACTGCTATCTTCGAAACTTCTTTGGGAAAATGAGGTCGGACACTGCATGCGTTGGTGAATGGTGTTCGCCAGCTTGAGTCCGTTGTGATATGGTACCCATAGTTTTCTCTCCTCTTCTCTTTGTTTAGTCGGTGTTCTTCTTCTCCTTCCGCGGGATTTTAGTTGTGACTCCAAATACTAGTCTGTCTCAGCATTCGAACAATGCAATTCATCATCATCTTTATCAGCCAATCTTATTCTTTCCTCCGAGTGAAGATGTATCTTTGAGTTCTTGACTCCGTTCTTTGTACTCTCTTCCGAACACAGATATGTCCATTGACACGCCCTTCTGGCCATTGTCGTTGGAAACAAAGGCATTGTTCATTCTCGCCATCCAGCATTTACTACATAACATACTCCATCTCCCTTTCTCTATCAGCAAAGTTCCACTTTGATATCTAACCAACCACTCCCGACTCAGCAAAGATGACTTGGAAGTGCCACAAATGTCTTAATCCGAACTGGAACAAGAACAACCACTGCAAATGGTGCCCTCATGGCCGCTGCCGCTTTTGTGTTTATCGCAAGTGGTGGCAGTACATGCTTTGGGACATTTCTTATGACTGCTTTGCTCCTAGAAGAAAACCGAGAGATGAGTAGGTGAGTCCTTTGTAGGTTCTTTGGTTTTTGACTCGGTAAGATTGGGTGTTTTGAGTGGTATTCTTGATGTTTCGCTACAAGATAATGGTATAAATCTGTTTTTTCTAAACAATTGATATTTCTCCGTATATATGTGCGTATGATGTGATAGAGTCTTTGTATAATGTTAGCATGCTCTCGAAAATGTTACTTACTCTATTATACAGCAATATCGTATGTGTTTTCATCGTGATGGCAGGTCGATAATCGTAGGCAGGGTCGGTCCCTCGACATTGCGCTGTATAAACATCATGTGCCGGTCGCTAAGGACTTGTATGGCCGGCCGGCGGTGACTAATGCCATTCATTGCTTTTGCGTCCCTATCTATTCCCCAAGACATTCAAACAGCCAGCCTTCTGTACAAACATGGAAAACATCTTTCTTTTCTTTGTTCTTGGCCAAAAAAGAACACACACTCTTTTTACTCTTTCTCGTCTGGGCAATCCGTTATCAAACTCTTGGGCCAAGATGGCGCACCAAACCGACTGCCAAGCTGCGGTAGGAAGAGAGTTACGTTATGAAAATTCACCACTCTCCTCGCTGCCCCAGTGCCCAGGCACGTGGAGAGCAGGTAGGTTGCTTGGCTGAGTGTGTGTCTGTGGTTTGGCAAAGGGCGGGAAGAGGACCCAAAAGGATTGCGAAATCCCCTTTGTCTCTTCTTGCAGTCCCGGTTTTCTCTTGTTTGCGCAAATCCACAATCTGCCATCTCAGCGAACGCTCTGCACAGCTGCGTAAAAAACGGTAGAATCGGAAAACGGTGAAATATCTTTTGACCGTGTTTCTGCGACGACTTTGGACGATACCTTGATCGACTTTGACCGACCCCGCATAACTCATTCTTGATATCGAAAACACCATTTGCGCGCGTTCGCGACTTTTCAGACCCTTGGATCAAATGGCCAATCTATCCTATGGTCGCGGCGGAGCAGGTATGACTGCAAAGATGCGCACGCACATAGCAGCGAAAAAAAAAGGCAGCCCGCTCACAAATATAAACCACANNGGCAACATGGCACCCGCCTCGCCCAGCCTCCAACCCGCCGACCTCAAGACACCCACCATAAAATCGCAGACCTACACCACCGGCCGCGGAGGCCAGGGCAACATGCAACCAAACGTACACCCGGACATCACGCGCCAGACCCAAGACGTGGAGGCCCATCCGCGCGCCGGCCGCGAGCCCGAGAAGAAGTTTCAATGGGGTAGGGGTGGTGCGGGCAACACGGCTTCCCTCAGCAAAGACCAGATTGTGGATATCAAGGAGAGAAATGCTTCTAGGCAGCGTGCTGAGGAGGCTGCTGCTGCTGCCAATCCCCCTCCTTCTGGCGAGTCCATGGATCAGAAGCCCAAGAAGGAGAAGGAGACTAGGGCAAATGCTATGGGTCATATGCTTCAGCGCGTCATGAGTTCTGCCAGTGGAAAGAACCAGTAGCCAAAGCATGAAGAGGGGGGGATAGGTGAGGGATGACCATGGCGTTTTGTTGTCTTGTGTTTTTGTCATTTGCCATTTTTTTTTTGATACCCATTGGGTTTGCCGGGAGAGTATTTATTCATGTCTAATATCATTCGCACCTCTTTCATTCATCTGATCATTACCCCTCAGCTAACGTTCGAGCCAAGTGCAATCAAAGAAGCAGCAAATGAGTATAAGGATGCGGCTGTGCAAAGAGACACAGCGGTCTGCGTCTTGATATGCCGAATGGAGTCATCACTCACAATACAACTGCAACGACCGAGAATACCATCATCCTGACTTCAGAAACGATCCCACCTCTTTCCATCTATCCCCACCACCTAACAAGTCTCAAACTCGACAAGTCACGGTAACAAGACATGGGACAGAAGACAAACAAGTGTCTCTTCGTCAATACTCTAGGCACTTTGCGATATACATCTTATCATTTTCGCACGAAGAAAAGGGAAGACCAAGAGCATTGCGTACTCTTGTAAGGCGACGTCGAACGGACGTTCCTTCCGGGAACTCTTCTAAAGTTGCATCGCAGAGTGTCAGCCTTCGTTGCTTCTTCCGTTGACTGTTCTTGCCCGATTTACCCTCTCTTGCAGGATTTAGGCACACGTACCGAGGCAGTACAGCCAATCACTCCTTCCTGAATATGGTAGATAGAGCGGCTCAAAGAATCCATCAACAAGGGAAGTTGACAAAGTGACATGCAGATAACATATAAAAAATCAAGGCTTCGAGCGAACAAATCAAGAAATAATGCATTCAAGATAAGAAAAATAACCAAGCCCCATTTGCTCTCTCTGTGTTCGTGTATGTCTAGATGGGAACAATCACATTGACCGCCTGCTTACATACCGCCAGTCCAAGGTCCACCCATGGCCTGCCCTCCTCCGTACCCACGATATCCTGCCGGCTGTGCCCCTCCCTGTCTGATCGCCTCTTCTCTACTCCCCAATCTCTGTCGCATTCTCTCCATGATGGCTCTATCTTCATCAGTCTGCACGTGGGGCTTGAACGGATTCTCGAATCTGCTCTTCTTCTTACCCTCTTTGGCTTCGGTGTTTGGGGTGTCGCTGTTGTTGGGGAGTAATGAGGTTTCTTGTTGTTGTTGCTCGGTTTTGGACTTGTTGCGTTTGAGGAAGCCGAAGCGGGATGATGAAGAGTGGGTTTGGTGGATGGATTCGGAAGGCTGGATGGTAGATTGGGTGAACACGCTCGATACTTCCGGATCCAAGTCGGGTTTTCTGGTGGAGGTGTAGGGATCATTGTGGGCTTGTGTTGATGAGGTAGAAGCATTGGTTTGTTGTCGCCCTTGATTGTTGTCTTCCACGTCGAAGATGGACTTTGGAGCTGACGAGCGCGGTAGAAGGGTTGGCATCTTGTTTAATTCTGGTGTGTCTTGATGATTGATGGAGTGTAGACTGATGAATGCTTGTATGAAGATGAATTGATGCTTTTGTCTCCAACAAGGGCAGCAAGCTATCTATATGGTGTCCCTTGAGGACAGGGTCGGCTGACCCCTCGTCACATACTAACCGGGGAAGCAACGGGGGATCACCCACGCGGGGGGACTGCGCCATGGAGGGATCCAAGGATCTCTGCAACCGAAGGCTTCATTCGCGACAAGCATTTCCGAATAAAGGCTCATTGCGGCCGTAGAACGATGATAGAAGACAGGAAGGAACAAAAGGCTGAGCAAGTAATGCAAATATCGTCATGTTCTTCGTTAAAGTTCAATCCTACCCAATTGATGGACCCAGAACTCCTTCTGTTCACAGCCCTCTGATCCAAACTCCGTGTGCTAAGCCCCCCACACGATATAGCTGCCTGATATATATACACACCAATCAAGGATAACGCGGCAATTGAATCAACGTCCCTTACGTCCAGTCGCGACGAGTCTCGCCCTCAGTTCTCTGATTGTCGCGTCCCAACCCTCGAATCCTTGACCTCTGACCCTCTTGCCTACGAATTCGGACATGTTCTTCTCATTGTAAGGCTCGCCATACACCACCTTGGCATCAACATCAATCTCGTGTTTGATATCCAAGTCTTGTGCCTCAGGGTCTGAGAGCGTGGCTGTCAATTGCAGTCCCACCCTGACCTTCGTCTCAACCTTGGGCAGCAGGATGCAGACATCAATTGCGAGACGCTCATCGCTAAGGATACTGACATTGACGAGCTGCTCCAAAGTCAAACAGCGCACTTGCTCAGCGATGAGTGAGGCGGCGTCCCATCCTCTCTGCACGAAGCCGAGAAGCTGCTTCAGAGAGATGGTGTTTTGATCCAGACATTGCAATTGTGCACGCATCAGCTGAAGGAAGAAGCGCTTCTCTGTCGTCAACGTGGCAGGAGTGATGTGTGTAAGTGATATGGGCGAGTTTGTTGGGTTTGTCGCCTGCGCGGAAGAAGTCGATTTGAAGGACGTTGTGTTGAAGTAGAGCTGCAGTGTGTTTGTATAGGTCATTGTGAGGTTGGTACCGGAGGCCGAGGCGATAGACCAGCCTGTTTGCTTCTCAAGCTGTGCCACTGATGCTGTGATTCTGTTAGTGGAGTCCCAACATCAAATTCGAATCAATGCAAACATACCTTTGAGCGATTGAACCTCGTCGATAGTGAAGCCACGACATGATTCCTTGACACGCTCGGCTTCCTGTATGGCAGCCAAGCTTTCGATCTTGCTTTCCTCATAGGCTTCGGCAAGATTATCCTGCTCGTCAACATCACACTGAAGACTAGCCAGCATGCGCTTGCGCTCTTCGATTTGTTCGTCCACTTCAACAAGACGAGCGCGGGAGGCACGCAACTCCTCTTTCTCTTCTTCGGAAGTTGCAGCTGCTGCTTGTTCTAGTTGTTCTGCTTCCTTCAGAAGACCTTCGTAATGCTGTAGTAGCTCAGGGAGCTCAGCGTCCAGCGATTGTTGCTTTTGGCCCAATATTTCAGCGTCTGCATCAAGTCCTGTTTGCGTTCGATCAAGACCATCTGAAAGTCCGTCCAGGAGCTTGCTACGCCAGTCATACCAAGCTTCCTTGCTTCTCATCCTCGCGTTCGTCTTGGCATCTCTCATGTTGCCGTCCAATTGAGACTTACGCTCGGGTGTGGCATCCATGTAAGCTTGGAAGAATGGTGGAGGGTCATCATAGACCTCGGCTTCCAGACTTTTGAGGGCAGACTTGCCTTCAGAGATGGATTTCTTGAGTTCACGGCAGGCATGCTGGAACATATCGAGCATGGGCATTGTGCAAGCACCTGCAACAACGGCTCCTTCAAGATCCATGTTCTGCTCTTCACCATCGACCCCGTGTGGCTCGCTAGGCGTGGGAGCAACAGTGTGTCTACGCTTCGATGCAGTCAAATCCATGAACTTGATACCGGCGAGATCCAAGAAATCATTAAGTCGGACTTTTCTTGCTGGAGGTCCAGTCTTCGGCACCGCAAAAATGTTCTTAGCGGCTTCAAGGTCGAGCAGACCTGGTGCATTTCGGGTTTCCACGATGAATGGTGTAGTCGTCTTCGGCGTTGCAATCTTCTTCGGGGTCATTGCCTTTTTCGCGGGTGACTTCTTGGGCGTCAAAGCACGAAGACGCTTCAATGGACTTGTGCCGGTCTCCTTACTTGGCGTCGAAAGGAACTTGATAGAGTCTGCAAATGTACTGCGAGGCTCCTCTGTATATTGCTTCGGTTGCTCAGGGGTTGCCGCAAACTTGACAGGCGAACTTCGGAGCTGCTTCTCAAGAGATGGTGATGTTGGATTGAGCTCTTCGAGATCAATCGGCTTAGGTGTGGCAACAGCCGGGCTACGTGTCGGTGATCCAGCCATGGTGACGGCTGTATGATGGTGCACTGCTGAAGGTGCGGAGGGTGTTTCGGTAATTTGCGGTGTGGTGGTTGCCTCGGGGATTTGTGGTTCGACTGTGCTGGAGTCGTTGACCTCCGGCTCGGTAACAGGTAAGGCAGGATAGCTGACCTCACCGATTAATTCGTCGTGCGCTTCGTGTTCGTGTGCTGGAGAATGCTGCTCAATCTGCATCTCGTCTGCAGCATGCGTAGTAGCGGTTGGTTTCGAAGGAGTAGGCATAGGCGTGCTCTCTTCGGTTAGCAAATCTTGCTGCGGTTGAACTGCCGCAAGACTGATTCTNTGCACTTCGACGGGTAGACACAGAACTCTTGCGCGACGATGGTTTTGAGACTGGGCTCTTCGTGACAGATGCAGGAGTGCGGGCCAAGGACGCAGGGCTCTTGTGTACAGAAGCGAGCTTCTGAGACGAGCCATTTTGCTTGACAGAGACGGGGCTTGTCTGAGCCAGAGGAGTGTGTTGAGCAGACTCGGATATCTTCTGAGAAAAGTGTGGACTTTTCGTTGCTGATACTGGTGTCTTGCGGACAGACGAAGGAATCTTTTGAGTAGACAACGGAGTCTTTTGTGTAGATGAAGGAGTCCTATGGGACCCAGGACTCTTGCGAGCAGATGCNNAGGGCTCCTGTGAGGGGATACCAGAACGGCCGGACTGAGGAAAGGTAGAGTTGTGGTAGGCTCCTTCGAGGCAGACTTGCGAGCAGAGTTCCTCCTCGATCCAGCAGAATCTTTAACAGCAGAGCCAGGTGCTTGCTTCTCGAACAGTGGGGTCAGGAGCTTCTTGGCTGCCAAATCCCGCGTCTCCTTGAAGCGATCCTGGTCCTTTGGCGTAGTGGGAATTTCTGTTCGGGCAGGCGAAGGAGATTTGCGAGGTGTAGCTGGACGTTCGTTTACGATGGCTGCTTGCTGCTTTAGGATGTTTCCAACAACAGCAGTGAATTCCATAGACATGTCTTCGTTCTCTTCTGCATCTTCCTCCTCAATGATGGACGGTTCTCTGGGAGATTTGGGTAGCTGTTGTAGTTGTTTGATGCCACCCACAGCCATTGTGAAATCCATAGTCTGCTCGTCCATGATAGATGAAGCGCCAGAAGAGCGACGGCTGCGGGAACTCAATCGTCTGTCTTTCTTGACAGGAGATTGCTGTCTCTGCTGGATGGCACCGACTGCCACAGTCAGATCCATAGTCGCATCACCCAATGACTGACGAGACGAAGATGAGCGCCTGCGCTTCGCGTCGCGTGCTTGAGCTACAGTACGTCGCGTGGGCTCCTCGAATACAGGCCTCTTGACCGACGGAGAAGCAACATCTTCTGTAGCAAAGCTCTCGAAGCGTCTCTTGAGGGCACTACGAGGCGGCTGGGCTTGAGGGTTCCACTGGTGAATCTTTCCAACTGCTTGGGTCAGGTCCATCGTCTCGTCTCCAAACGAGACGGTCCGCTCGGGAGATTGTTGATACAGATCCTGGTGCATCTGGATGATGCGGCCAACTGGTCGGGTCATGTCCATGGTCACGTCGCGTGTCTCGTCCTCTTCCTGCTCTTGCGATTGTACCTGAGGCTGAAGTGCGGTCCAGATTGTGCCCATGGGTTTGGTCATATCCATTGTCATGTCGCCCTCGTCTTCGGTCTCCTCCTGCTCGTCCTGAGGCTGTTGTTGGGGCAGAATGCGACCTACTGCACGTGTCATGTCCATGCTCATATCGTCATCTTCCTCATCACCAGGCTGCGGTCCGGGGCGGAATACCGAGTCGAATGGGTTGTTGTTCTCTTGCCCTTCTGCAGCAAAGTGCTGGCCTTGTGCCCAGGGCTTGAATGCATTTGTGATTTCGTCGCCAGCCATTTCCATAGACATGTCGCCATACTCGTCAAAGTCAATGCCTCGAGTACCAGCTTGAGCGGCAGCTTGCTGTAACGCAGCGTCCAGGCGAGCGCTTGAACCAGTACTGTCTCCAGACTGCTGGGAGAGTAGAGTGTTGTCTCCTTGGTCCAGGCTCATAGCCGTGCTCTCTCCGTCATCTTCAGACTCGACATCTTCTTCAACATCGCTACTAGCTTCGACATTGCTACTGCCGCTGACTGGGGAGGAAGAGTAGTCGTCCAGGTCGTTGAAGTTCATGGGAGGGATGGCAGAACTTCGACGGCGTTTCTGCTGGTGAGCGTCGCGTTGGTGTTCGGGGGAGTGTGGTAATTCGTCTTCGTCGTCGTCGGCTTGCTCTGGTGGAGTGGAGGGAGGATCCGAGTCGGCCTCTTGGTGGGCTCTTGCATGGTCGGAGGAGTTGGACGAGGCGGTCGCATCGCGCATGTACTCGATGACGTCCCAGGTATGGAGAGTTGCTTCGGGTGCAAAGGAGACTCTGCGGTTGGCGAGAGATTTGCGACGGGCTTCTCGTCTCTTGGCTTCATCTTCTTTGGATGGTAGGATGGACTTGACTGCGGATGGTGGGACTGACTGTACGTGCGCACGTCAGTTGTTAAAGCAGGGAGATTGTTGCAGGCTGAGAGTGCAATCAGGAGGTAGGC